TTTCTTCATATATTCTTTTCTTCCCAGTTTTATGAGTTCTAACTGCATCATTAGTCTTGAGTCATTATAGAGTTTTTCTATAATTATTAAACTCCATTGAAATATAATAAAGAAAATTGAGACACAGATGGCATAAATGATTCGATAAAAGTCACACAGCCGATAATGAGCATTGAGATTACAATTTAGAATTTGGATGGCAATAATAATGCAAGATGCTAGCACAAAAGAGCTTCAGCTGTCTTCACATGACTGGGCGGTGGCTGAGCCAGTTTCAACATAGGGCGGCACTCTCTTCCCAGGTGCTTAGCAGACTTTGTCTGGCAGCGAGGGGGCTTTTCTGGCAAACTCTGGGTCCTGCATGGACGGAAGTCACTGGCTTTCACAGGGGAGCACATGGCCTCGTCGCCTCTCTGGAGCAAAGCCAAAGGAGAAGAGCTTGGGTTTGCTTACTGGGATTCTGTCACGGAGAATCGCAGCGGGGAAAAGGAGAAAAACCCGGCTCAGAAAGAGAAGGATAACTTAAAGCTTTCTATGAAGGGGAAGCAATCAAGGCCCCTTCTTCTGGTGAAAAGCATGGTGGGTCAATCACAAGGCTGAGCGAGTCTGGCTTACTATAAGCGATAAAAGCAGACCCCTTGTGAGGGCTCAGGAGACTTTCACGGGAGCAGTGCTGGCCAACCATATATATAATTTTAAATATTTTAATAAGCACATTAAAAACGTAAAAGAGGCAGGTGAAATTTTATTTCACTGACTATGTGCAACTGTTATCATGTCAACATGCGACACAGCCACATTTCAGGAGCTCGGTAGCCACCTGTGGCCAGCGGCTGTCGTCTCAGACAGCACATCTTCATAGAACCACACATGAAAAAAATTCTTAAAAAGAAAATTTCTGTGAAGAAAGAACACAAAGTATTTTAAAAGTTCATTATTATTTTACTGGTTTCAATGTATTTTAACCAAAACACAGACCGTTCCTAATTGTTAAAATCCAGAATAATATTTGAGACTATGAAAAGGCTTTCAAAGATTCAGCAGTGGAAGGGGAAATGGGGGTAATACTCATCAAGACTGATATAAGGAGTAAATGAGATAAAAATATATTTTACAAAATACAGCATTGTGTGAATATGCCTCTCTGACTAGCATTACTTCTTTATCTTATTAGGATATTGGCTCTTGGCTATATAAACACTTCAGATATTTGTAGATGATTCTTTCCCTCCAATATTACTGTGCTCTTTGCTTTTTAAAGCCATTCATTATACATTAGGAAACACTGACTAGGAATACTTTTGAAACTGGTGGCATTCTCTCCAAACATTCAAGGAATATATGGATCGGCACACATGGAAAATTGAGAGAGTTTCCAAATGGAGCAGCAAATGGAGGGGGAGAAAGAAACACTGCTGATTTCTCAAGCCTTTCAGAAAAAAGAATCTCTTTTCTGGGAGATATAAGTACATGCAAATATATACGTGTGTGTGTGTGTGTGTGTGTGTGTTTCCTCCTTAATGTCTGAGATTTCTGAATTTCTCTGTAATTGCATTTAGCAGGGAAAACACCCAGCCTGTGACAAGCAGCTCCCGGCAACCTGACAGCCCTCAGAGCGCAGTCACCCACCGATTACCACCCAGCCCTTCAATAAATACTATAGGCCACATGTGTGTGCACTTACAGAACTTCACAGGTTTCCATGGATACGGGAATTTTAGTGCTAAGGCACATTTACTATAGTTCTTCTTGTCACCAAGAGTCCTGTAAACACTTGTGTTTTAAGATTTTGTGCAGAAATTTAGCATTTTACAGAGGACCAAGTCAGAATTACCTGTTTCCAAATGCATTTTATAATTTCCCCTTAGGGCAAAGTCCCTAAACCATTTATATTTGTGGCCTCTTTTTAGTGATGTGCTTTTATTTATTGGACTAATAAAAGAAAATAAAGGTTTAACTATATTGCCAGTGTCACTTAAAAGTGACAGTTATTTGTGCTATGTAAATGTTACAATGAATAAATACAACAACTTGCTGGGAATTTGAAATGGAAAGAGGTAAATATGGTAGGCAGGACTAGGAATATTATGTATATATTTAGTCATTTCTCTTCCTGAATATGGTGAAATGTAAGTGTCATTTCTAAGGATACCCTTGTGTTGTATCTATCAACCAATCATAGTTTGAATTTATTCTGTCTTTAAAAAAATATTTAGTAAATTTGTTCAAGTGACATTAGCTAATAAAATTATGTAGGTTTCAACTATACAATACTATAATACAACATCTGTATATTGCATTGTGTGAATTTATTCTTTCTTATACATATTATACTCTTTGTATTTTTAAAAGACCTTTTTACAAATCTGTGAAAATGGCAGGCTATTTTATTATTTTTCCCATTTCATACATGTCCCATGTCACAAAGCTAGCAAGTGGCATGGGATTAGAATCCAAGGCTCCTGACTCACTGTTCATGGCTTCTCCATTGTCTTTTCCCTGTACAGAGTGCAGGCAACTTCTTCTATAGAAGGCATACTCATTTCCTTCCTTCCTTGTCATGTACTGATAAGTCTCTGTGCCTCTGACCTGGGCTCCATTAAATCATCCTTTTCTCCATCTGTCCCCTTGACTGCTCCAGAGACTCAGCTCAACCTAACTTACCAGGCTTAGTAATTTCAAGTGCACATAGCCATTGGGAAGCAGCAGTCACAGCGATATCACATAGCCTGGATGCACACTACACGAGGACTCTGTAGGGAAACAGGTTTCTAGTTCCAATCATATTGATCAAGAATGTACAATGCTGATTGAATGGAAGCCTCGAGCAATTTGTTCAAATATTCAATCTGAGCAGATGTGTTGCCTGGATAGTCCAGTCAAGAAAAAAAGCTTTTATTTTAACAGTATAGATATTGGGAGGGTGGACTTGGAACTATTTGAACGATTGTCCCAAATCTCACTTCTTATGCTCATGCAGCCAACAACCTCTGAATTACCTCAGCAAATATCTCTGTTAAGACCACTAGATATTTACAAGATCATTTTATTTTATTTTTTTTTTTGCACTTGTCTCATTCACCTTGTAGGTGTAGGTCTTTTGTTTTTGTGGTTTTTTTTTTTTAAATGTTATTGTTTTTTGTCTAAAAGGAAGACTTTGCTTTTACTGTCTGATAAAAGAGGGATTTGGGGGAGAGGAGCTCTTGACTAAGAGGCCTGCTCTGGGTCCTACCCCACAGACCCTGAGGTGAGGAGCCCCATGGCTCAGGACTCAGAGCAACTGCCAGGACCTGAATATGAGTTTCTTGTGAAGATTAAATGAAATAAAGGACATGAAAATACTTTGCTAATTGTAAAATGAGCATCTTAAAATAGGGTGTTTGTTTGTTTGTGTTTTTTGGTTTTTTTTGAGGACTCTCTAACATTACACAATGCCAATTGGTTTTTGTCTCCAGGTGCTAAAAAGGCAAATAATGACTTGTTACCTCACAGTGCTTTTACTGGAATGTGGACTTTATTTATTCAACATCAAACGTGACTCAGTCATCTCTTTTGTGGTTATTTCAATGTTTCAACCTATCACCCCAACTAGGCAGAGTGCCACCCAGGTGGTGCTTCCTTTAGTGTAAGAGCCAAAAGAGCAGGAACTTGTTGTTAGGTTGTAACCTAACATCTCCTCTCATCACATACCATGTGCATTCCTTGCGATCCCAGAATTACAACTCTAGATTCAGACAAATTTGGCTATTCCTGCATGAGACTAATTCCTCATTCTTTCTGAATGGAAATGTTAGTTCTGTGCTCTTCATCCATAGAGTACCTATGAGTGATTAACTACCTCTCCAATCTATAGAAATGGGGGAGCTCAGAGCTCTCCCGAACTACGAAGCTTTGTCTGTTTCTCCTACAAATTCCATTCAGGCATCAAACTGGAGTCACTCTTAATCAAATGCATTTTATCTATACCTGGCAGGGATCTAGGAGTAAAAATACAAGATTTATTTCATTTTAATTCTACTGTGATGCATTTAGTCACAAATACCCCAAAATGAAAAGACAATTTATCATTTTGCCCTGACTGAGCTACCTTTCTCGGTTGACATTCATGAATCCATAATATAGGGAAGAGACTGGATGATTAAGTGCCCGATTAGAGAAAAACAGATTAACCTGGCAAACATAATAAATTTAGCTCATAAGCAGGATGGCTTTATAAGTGCTCACAGTAACTCTCCTGTATAAAATCATGAACCACTTCCTTCAGTGATGACTACACTGAAACGGTTGGGGTACACAAAGCAAATGCATGTTTCTGGCTTTCTCTTTGAGACATTAAAAGGGTATTGAAAAGCATGTCCGATTCAATCTAGAACCAAAACTGTATTAAATAGGGAACGTGGAAGAAAAATAGAAACTCATATAAAACGAAGCTACAACCTCTCAAGTGTTCTAGTTTCCACTTTGCCAATAATTGTATCTAGATCCCACATGCTTTCTATGTCTTTCTAAAGATGCCAAAAGCCACGCAGATACACCCTTAACCTTCATAACAGAACCTGATTCCTTTATAAAAGCTGCTGCCATTTTTAGGTAGGTCTCTCTCATTGCAACAAAACACATAAAATTAGCAAGCTATTTCAGCCTTTGAATTAGAACGGGGGAAAGAATCTTTCCTTTTAGCTGAGATTCCATTTACATCAGAGTGAAAATCTAGGTTGTGACTTATTTGCAGAGAAGTCCTGTGCAGTGCTCCAAAACGCGCTCTTAGCCAGCAGCCTGCCAGGCGTCCTTACTTAGCTGCTGAGTGTGTCTGGCCTCCCTTTCTGAGCACTGAGGAAAAGGATACTCTCCATGGCCCAGCTTTATTTTTAAACTCATGGCCCTATTCCTGGAGGCCTCTGCTGGCCTACCTGGCCTGAGAGGCAGTCAGGCCCTGCTCTGTCACATGCACCCAAGTCACACTGAATAGGGGACTTGCTCTGCTTGTCTATCCAGAAGCCGGCTGCTGTTAGGGACAGGGCAGGGAGGTGGGAAGGGGAATGAGCTGCCGGAGAGAGTCTTGTCTCTGATGAAGGCCCCATCCAGAGCCAGGTAAATTTCCCCCTGGGGAAACTGGTACCTGGAGGTCTAGGGGAACAGGGGCCTCCACATCCTTCCTTTCTGCTTTCTCCTTTCTCCCCCTATCCCAATCTGAAGTTGATTTTAAGTTGGATGGTGGTGACAGGAAGGGGTCCAAAGGGAGCAGGGTCCCTGTGTGTCCTCACAGCCTGTGGGTGCTGGATCAGCTGACAAGCACATCGCTGGGAGGGTTGGTTTTTTTTGTTTGTTTTTTTTGGTTTTTTTTTAGGGAGGGTTTTTTAAGGCCAGTCCTTCCTCCCACCTTTGCTGAGTCAAAGGCTGCAATGTTTAATGTTTTCTTTGGGCGCAGGGACCGGGATTTTTCCAGGTTTTTTCCACAGGCATGAAGGAGTTTGTGGAGAGCTAGAAGGGGCGTACTTCTAGTGGGTGTAGTGTATTCGTGGTGCACACGAGCATTTGTGGGCTCAAGAAGACGAGTTAACTTTATAACCTCAGCTATCATAGTCACCGGAATGTCCCAGTGGCCCGGAGGGGTGTCATTGGTTAGGTAGGGCGCCAGGGCTGCGTTTTAACCCCTGGGTTGGTGGCTATCTGTGCGTGCGGAGGGAGGTGTGGCATCAGTGCTCCTGGGATGAGGAGGACGCGGCAAGAGTGTGGGGTGGCGGGGTGGCTGGCTGTGAGGGGGGCCATTGACGCAAGGAAGGGGGTGTCCTGCTGTGTCGCTGGCACCTCGGGGTCTCCACGCGGCGGGGGTGGGGAGGGGGGAGGGGTCTCCACGCGGTGCGGCGGGGGGGAGGGGGGGGCGGGCAGAGACTGGCGTTGGCGCCGGAGGTGGCCCTGGGTTGGTAGTCGGCTGCTGTTGCCTTGACCTACCAGGAGCAGACGGAGTCCGCCCACAGCCCGTTAGCAGGAGGGCAGGAGCTGTGAGGCCAGCTACCCTAGGATCCCTGCAACTGCCACCGTGGGGGAAAGCCGACCTGCCTAAGAGTGAGCTGTGCTGGGGACAGGGAGGGAGGGCCTCCAGGTTCACAGACAAACTTGTTTGAGGCAACTATAATGGGAGGGGCTCCAGAGAGAGCGTCTACTTTATTTATTTATTTATTTATTTACTTACTTACTTACTTACAAATGGGAGAACAGAGTTCTTCGGGAAAGAGTCACTTCTCCAAGTCACACTCCATTCAGTGGCAGAACCGGGACTAGAAACCGGGTCTGGCTTACCAAGGTTTTTAAGCACACGGTCCTCACCAAAGTGGAGATGAATAATAATACAAGTGATTATTATTATAAAAGATTAGGTTTTGGAAATATGGATGGTGCATTCAGGACCGTGACTATGATTTAGTGCCTGGAACCCCAGCCGCTCTGTCCTCCTGGCGGAGCAACTCCTCCCTCCTTCATCAACCACTCTGGGCAGTTATCTGTGGCAGGCTCTCAGCAGGGGACTGGGGGATAGAGACAAACAGGAAGCAGCCCTCCAACTCCAGCAGAAGACACAATCCTCAGACACCAGGACCTGATGCAGGCAGCGGAAACGCAATGGGCACCTGATACAGGGCTCTGTGCAAACTCGGAGGAAATTCTGGCTGACTGGGGGGAAACTCAGGGAGGGAGTGGCATCTGGCCTGATCTCAGAGTGAGCCATTTGGAACTGGGCAGTGCATTCCAGGTAGGAAGGTCAGTATGAGCAACCAAACTCCAGGTGAGTGTGAGGAATGAGGAAGGTTTGCTTTGCCTAGAACACAGGGATAAGAAGCTCACAGTTATAGAGGGCACAATTGGGGTGTCGGTAGTGGGGAGCTTTGGGGGGATTCCAAGCAGAGAATGAGAGTGCAGTGGGTGCAGAGGGTCACCTGGTTGGAAGGTGAACCCTCAGCTAGAGTGAAGATGTTGGGCCAGGGATCCCTGCAGCTCTGAGCGTCTGTGAATGAGCCAGTCTGGGAGCACAAGGCTTCACGGAGCCATCGCAGTGTAGCCGGGCTGTGGATGAAAAACGCCGCTGGAGTGGGAAAGGGCCCAAATTGAACTGGGAGACTGTTGGGCTCTAGGGGTAGCTTGTGATGGTGTTTCTGACTTCCATAGCATTCTTGGGAGTAGTTTGTGAAAAAGTGCTCTTGGTATTCCTGTAACATAGGTGGCCTCACGGACAGGAGCAGCAGTTAATCAGCCTGTCTCTCTCTGTGCATTGGGCAGTTACTTTCTTTGATGCATCCCCAGGGACCAACATGGAGCTATAACCAGGGCAGCCTGTTTCGGCAGTTGAAAGGGGAAATTGGCTGTACAAAGATTACAGACCTACCTTCCTGCCATTCTTTATTATAAACTCGTCAAACAATTCTGTGCAGATGAACTGTTCAAAAGAAGTATTTTTACTTTAAAGGTCAGACACAGTGCAGTAGAGGACTTTATAAATGCATCTTTAATTGGTTCTGTGTTATCACTTATGAAACACTACATTACATACTTGTACGTGAATGAAATGGGGAGGAGGATCCAGGAGGATCCAGATAAATCAAATTACCCAAACCAGACACGTTATAGGCACTTCCCTAAGGTCTATAATGCCTGAGTCTGGGCAAGGCTCTATTGTCATCACTCACTGGTTCCACATATGAATGTTTAGAAACTTTGCACGTTCTTATATGAAATATATATTTTGTGTGCTTTGTGGCTTCTCTATCTGATGGGGTATTTGGGAAGAGGGACAAGATGAAATATAGCAATTCCTTTGGTGAATGATGTTAATCAGGTATAAAACAGAAACATGCAGTCTGGAATAAGAAGACAGACCTGGAACTGAAATCTAATTCTGTCCCTCACTACCTGTGTGACTTTGGGTGTGACACTTAACTCATCTGAGTCTCCGAGTCTTCACCTGTAAAATGGTGGTCATAACAATCAGCTGACAGTTGTAGCAGCGTGTGAGGAGGGATGCTGAAATGTCAGCCAGGGAGGCCGTATAGCGTGCATGGGAGAAGCAGTCAGGATAGGAGCCTGACCTTGGAGGTAGGCTAATCTGAGTCCAGCTGTGGGTTCTGCTCTTTCCCGCTGTGTGATTTTGGATGAGTTCCTGAACTGCTGTGCACATCAGGAAATGATTATATCTATTTTGTGATGTTGATTTGAGGATTACATCTAGCACAGTTTCTGGAAAATAGAATGAGAGAATGTTACAGGTGAAAGGGACCTTAGAAGGCCTCATTACCCTAATGCCCCCTCCTCCCACCCCTGCCAAGGAAATTTTATTTTTATCAACCCTGACTGTGCTTAAATATTCCCAGTGACAGAACCTGCTATCTACACAAGGTACTCCATTTCATTATTGAATCATCTTCAAGGAAAGAAAATATTATTAACATATGGCTTAAAACTGCCTTTGTGTAACTTCCACATATTGGTTCTCTTCTGTGCTCTATTTAAAAAAAAAAAAAAAAAGCATTGGTCTTTAAAAAAAATTATATATATATATATATATATATTTAATTTTGAGGTAAGTGTAGATTCATATGCAGTTGTAAGAAATACTACAGAGAGATTCACTGACCTTTGTCCAGTTTCCTCAATGGTAACAACTTGCAGAATTGCAATACAAAATCACAACCAGGAGATTGACATTGACCCAATGGAGATGCAGTACATTTCCATCACCACTAGAATCTCTCATGTTGCCTTTTTATAGCCACACCCACTTCCCTCTCATCCTTTTTGTTCTCTATTTCTATAATTTTGTCATTTTGAAAATGTTATACAAATAGAATCATACATTATGTAATCTTTAGCATTGGCTTTTTTTTTCACTCAGCATAGTTCTGTAGAGATTTATCCAGGTCCTTGAAGGTATCAATAGCTTGTTCTTTTTTATTTCTTAGTAGTAGTATTCCAGAGTATGGCTGTACCATTCACCTACTGAAGGTCATCTAGATTTTTTCCAGTTTTTGGCTATTATGAATAAGCTGCTATAAATATTTGTGTGAAGATGAGTCTTCATTGTCTTCAGTCTCTGGGGTAAATGGCTAGGAGTGCAGTTTCTGGATCATTTGGGAGAAGGTCAGGGGAGGGCAGGAGCAGGGTGAAGGGGGTTAACGGGTAAAAAGGGGACATCTGTAATACTTTCAACAATAAAGATTAAAAAAAAAGAAACTGAGGGACTTCTTCCAGAGTGACTGTACCATTTTATATTCTCACCAGCAATTAATGAGTGACCCAATTATCCTGCATCCTTGCCAGCATTTCGTGGCCAATATTTTTTACTTGAGCTATTGTGATAGGTGTGTAGTTACCTCACCATGGTTTTCATCTGCATTCCCATAACAGCTAGTGACTTACCTGACATATGTGTCTTCTTTGATAAAATGTGCCTTTGTGTATATTGCTTAAGTTCTAATTATATTCTTTGCTTTCTTATTCCTGAGTTTTGAGAGTTCATTATATGATCTTCATATGAGTCCTTTCTTGGATATATGATTTGTAAATATTTTCTCCCACTCCGTAGTTTGTCTTTTTGTCCATTTCACAGACCTTTGGCAGTGCAAAAGTTTTAAATTTTGAGCACATCCAATTGTCAGTCTTTCCTTTTATGGGTAGTACTTTTGGTACCAAGTCTAAGAACTCTGTGCTGACCCTAGATCCTGAGAATTTTCTCTGGTGTGGTTTTTGTTTATGCTTTATAGTTTTACATTTTACATTTAAGTTTATGATCCATTTTGAATCACTTTTTGTATAAGGTGTGAGACTTAGTTTGAGGTTCGCACCCCCCCTCCCCAGTGAAAGTCCAATTGCTCCAGCAAAATGATGTGTTAAAAATCTTTTGGAAAATAGTATATAACCTTGGGCAAGACAAATTACCTTCCTGGTTCTGTTTCCTCTGTCTTACAAGTGAGGGGGTTGCATTCGGACTAGATAAGTGTCATTCAGGATCCATTCCTGAAAGTGGAAGGTCTGGGGTCGCAAGAGCCTCAGGAGCAGGAACAGTAAGGAGCAGATGGGGCCCCTCCCTGGCTTCACCCAGGGCAGGGCTGCTTTTCATGTTTAGGTTTTTGATGGTCTCTCTGATGTTTGATTTGATAAGGGCCCCACTCCTAAAACCAAGCTTGAAGAGCACTGAGTCAGGTAATATCTGAAGTGTCTTTCCAACTGTTCGGTGTCAGAAATCACTTTCCCTTTAATGTTAGCCTTCAGGCTCTTCTCTCCGTTTCTTGAGAATGTACTTATATGAAATGTTTTTCTTGTTATCCTGTCATCCCTCTTTATAAATATGACAGGCTTCATGAAATCAATGAAGTCACATTTCATAAACCAGTTTACAAGGTATATGTCAGAATTTAAAATGTGTTAAATATATTAACATTTTGCAGTGGAATCATCCATTCTAAAGAATTATCGTGGCTGAAAGAGAGGATAAGGAACTAAAATCACATGTAAGCCATGGACCCATCTTTCAACCTTTACAAACAGCCGGACCTCTCCTACCATACACCTGCCTACCTCTTGCCAGTTCACAAAGTACTTGCAATAGCTTTCAGCCAGTTCATGAAAGGTTATTTGCAACAGCTTGTCTTAGGCTTTCTTATGCCTGCCTTCAGAGTGACGAAACTGAGATTCAGACAATTTGGATGACTTTCCCAAAGTAATAGAACTAGCAAGTAAAAGACCTAAGACAAGAGCTCATATTTTTAACACCTCGTCTAGTTATTCTCCCATATATATATATTTTTATCCTCACTCAAGGATATTTTTTCCATTGCTTTTTAGAGAGAGTGGAAATGAGGGACAGAGTAAGGGAGAGAGAAAGAGAGAGAGAAAGAGGGAGAGAGAGGAAGAGAAAGAGAGAGAGAGGAGAGAGAGAAACATTGAAACATCGATATGAAAGAGACAAATTGAGCCGTTGCCTCCTGCATGAGCAGCTACTGGGGTAGGGGTTCAAACTTACAACTCAGGTATGTGCCCTTGACTGGGAATCGAACCCACCACTCTTGGGTGCATGGGCCGAAACTCTAACCACTGAGCCCCACTGGCCAGGGCTCTCCTTTATATTTTATAATGTAAAGATTTAGTGGGTATTTTTAAAAAGTTGGCATTTTCTATGGTCACTTAAAAAAATGTAAAATGGGTTAATAACAAATGAACTCAAATAGTTTTAGTTTTTTTTAAAAAAAATAGAGTTAATTGAGATAGTGCATTTGAAAAAAAAAGGTTACACTACAAAGTGCTGTTTAAATGATGGTTATTATTGTGAGCTTGGCTAGGTCTCTGCATTCTAGAAGGCAGCTGTGTGTGCTTGCTGATTCCTATTCATTGGAAATGTGTTTGTTTATATCATAGTATATTATCTATTTTTCCTTTTAGTACCCACGTGGCCACATTGGGAACTGCCATATTAAAAAGGCTCAAACATATTTGACAGGGTGGTTAGACTTAATGATTTCCATAAAGTTGTTTTTAATAGTTATTTTTCAACAGATGGACAGTTTCTATGGGCCACGTTCATGTGCCAGTGTGATGATTGAAGTTTTCAACAGATGGCATACAAATACTTGGGAAAACACCCTCCCAATATTAACTGCTGTAAAAAAGACTTTGAGAGTGCCAGGAAAATAATGGTTTGTCTTCTGAGTCCTTAGCTGATGCTATTATGATTATAATTTTGATGATTTGGAAGTTTCCCTTTCTGGCACTTGGATTTATTTTGTAAACGAGTGTACACATCTATGTTAGATGATGAGGAACACTGTTGTCAATTAGATGTTCAACATGGATTTCACGTTAAATCTCCTTTTGATTTTTGAACAATGTTTGTAACTTCCTCTTGTTGAGTCATTAGACTTCTGTGCCATAGATAGAAATGTTAACCTTCCATAAAAATAAACTTAAGAGACATATGTTCTTTCTGAAAAGTATTGATTTACAAGGAAAAAAATCTGGTCAAACTTAGACTTTTCAGACATGTTCATCATTATGATGAGTTCCTCAACCTTCCAAATTACCCCACTTCAAAGCTGACCACCTTGTACTGGTTCTGGAATCAGTAAGTGAAGAATCAGACAGTAAGCAGGGCAATGGTGGGGAGGGGAGAAATCTTGGTCATTGTTGTTGTCACAGTGACAAAGGGCATTCACTGTTATGCAGTGGGTAGCGGCCAGCGTGCCTAGACAGGCACAGCATAGTTCGGCACGAGGGGTAAATATCCTGTATCCTATTAGATGCCTGAATATCTGACTGGACACTCATCCAAGCCTAGAACTTATGTCTGCTTAAATTAACTCAAAAGTAAGTTTTGCAGTACAGTATTTTTTTTTTTGCACAGAATATTAGTAGCCTCCCGTACCTCTTTGATTTTATTATGCTGCTATATGAAAGACCTCTCATCGTCTGCTTTTCAATCCTGACTTTTTCATGTTCAGAAAGTGCAAGAACATAGATACTTTATTATGTCTTTTTGTGTAGTTATTTACATAGTAAAACAGATATTGATATAAATGTCCTTCCTGTTTCTATTCCAAACATGGCATCATATTAATGTTTTTGATAATTTTGTCTGTAGGTAAATAATATTATCTGCAAATTTTTGCACTTAAAGAGAATTATAAGATGCTTATTATAACAAAGGGGCCCTGGGGTTGATCAGGAAGAAAAGCATTGCAACAAGCAATTAAGCAATAGCAGACAAAGTCTTTCTCCTCTTGTCCATTTGTGCACACATAGTTCGGTGTTGGAATCATTCAAAGAAGCAGACCAGGGCATGAGTCTAAGTCTATACATATATATATATATATATATATATATATATATATATATATATATATATATATATTATTGGTCATTGTTATTGTCACGGTGACAAAGGGCATTCACTGTTATGCAGTGGGTAGCGGCCAGCATGCCTAGACAGGCACAGCATAGTTCGGCACTATATATAATATATAATATATATATATATATATATATAATTGATTTTTTACAGAGAGGAAGGGAGAAGGATAGAAAGTTAGAAACATCGATGAAGAAGGATAGAAAGTTAGAAACATCGATGAGAGAGAAACATTGACCAGCCGCCTCCTGCACATCTCCTACTGGGGATGTGCCTGCAACCAAGGTACATGCCCTTGACCGGAATCGAACCTGAGACCTTTCAGTCCGCAGGCCGACGCTCTATCCACTGAGCCAAACCGGTCTGGCTGTGAGTCTAAGTCTTTAATAAGGAGTGTGATCCCAATAAATTCTGTCTCCCATTGCTTCTATGGAAGTCTTAAACTGATTTTCTTTGGTCAAGTCATGTTGGCTAGATTTTCTTTATGTCTGTCATTACAGATGGCGGTGAGTGACTTTAGTTTGACCTACCCTGGCAACCCCCAGCCAGGGGACTTGATTGAAGTGTTTCGTCCTGGCTATCAGCACTGGGCCCTGTACTTGGGTGATGGTTACGTTATCAACTTAACACCGCTGGGTAAGGTTTGTTTCCAGCAGCTCCTGGGAGCTTTATAGTTTGTTGTTTGTTTGTTTTTTATTACCAGAAAAAATATCATAAAATTAAATAAACTACAATATAGAAAGCAGGTAAATGTAGCTGATCTAGGTTTAGGGAAGAACATTTTAAGACCGAAGTGGCATTGAAAAAATCACAGAGGCCAATTCACATTGAAATGTAAACCTTCTGGTTAAAAAAAGAAAAACACAATTAAAAAGTAAATAATCACCTGGGAAAAATATTTGCCACAACCATGACAAGAGTCACTGTTTTTTATATAGCATACAGATTAATTTCTCAATTCCTTTAACATTTATTTATAGATTACTCAATATGTGTCAAATGCTATTCTAGATGCTGGATATACATAAACCAGTCCCTGCATGGTGTAGTTTATATTCTAGAGGAGTTGGGGGGAAGAGAGAGAGAGAACAGAGCACAATGTAAGAATAAAGATAAGTAAAGGTAAATAATATGGAGAAAATAAATCATAGCAGCAGAACAGAAGTGGCAGGGGACAGGGGTACTGTGATTGTAAGTGAGGTGGTCAGGAACATCTCATGAGAAGTGACGTTTCTGAACTTGAAGGAGGGGAGAAAACTGAGCAGATTATATTTGGGAAAAGAGTATTTCAGGCCAAGTGGACAGAAAACCCCCCAATCTCCCAAAAAACAATTAGGTGAAGAATTATGAACAATTTGCAGAAGGAGGAAGCAACAGCTAACACCCATCTTTAAAGGTTTTAACTTTTTAGTCATCTAAGAATTGTCAAATAAAATGACAGATTTTATGCCTATCACATTAGCACAGGTTAAAAAACGGCAACAATCATTGTTGATAAGGGTACAATGAAATGAAAACAAAGATATTGCTGATAGAAATATAAGTTGATAAGCTAATTCACGAAAACAATTTAATGAGATGTGCTAAGAGTCTTAAAAGAGTTCCTATGCTCTTACCCTATAATTGTACTTCTATGAACCTGTTCATGGGAAATATCTAAAAGAGATAAATGTAACATTTCTGTATAAGGGTGTTCATGTCTACCTCACTTATAATGGTTTAAAAAAAATAGACAATGACTTAACATTCAATAGGAAAATGGTTAAACAAATTACTATTTAGCCGCAAAATATTAGGCATCTGTGTTTTGGCAGGATTCTTTAGTTGCAAGTAACAGAAATAAAACTCAAATTAGCTTAAACAAAAAGATAACTCATTTTTTCACTAAGGGAAACTATAGAAAGGGTAGAGATGGTGCTGGCCCCAGGACTGCCTACAATGAGAGGTTTGAACACTATTAAGACTCTATCTAACATCTGTATTTTTTTCTATTTGTTGTCTTCATTCTCTCAGGCTTTGTCTCTCTAAGGCAGGGGTCCTCAAACTTTTTAAACAGGGGACCAGTTCACTGTCCCTCAGACCGTTGGAGGGCTGGACTATAGTTTAAAAAAATACTATGAACAAATTCCTATGCATACTGCACATATCTTATTTTGAAGTAAAAAAAACAAACGGGAACAAATACAATATTTGTATTTGCATGTGGCCTGCGGGTTATAGTTTGAGGACCCCTGCTCTAAGGAGTGGAACTGATGACCATCAGCATCCTTAGACTCTCATTCTTATAATCTGGTGACCCAACAGAAGAGATAGCTAATCCTTGTCTGTTGCGGTTAGAAGAATCATGGAGAATGACTCTAATTCATTCAGTGGGCGTCCCATACCCATTGCTGGACCATCACTATGCCCAGGACAATGGGATGCTCGTTGGCCTACATAGAGTTTTTTCCATAAAGAAAGAGCAGTGAAGGGATGAGGTGCTAAATAGCCAAAAACTATCCTATATAATAAAAGGCTAATATGCAAATTGACTGAACAGCAGAACAACCAGTCGCTATGAGGCACACTGGCCACCAGGGGACAGACGCTCAATGCAGGAGCTGCCCCTTGGTGCACTTCTGCAGGGGGTGCGCTGCTCAGCCAGAAGCCCTGAGCGGGGCTCACAGCTGGCAAGCACAGCGCAGTGGTGGGAGCCTCTCCTGCTTCCATGGCAGTGCTAAGGATGTCCAACTTGCCAGTCGGACATCCCCCGAGAGGGCACAGGTCAGGCTGTGAGACCACCCCTCAGTGCACAAAATTTGTGCACTGGGCCTCTAGTAGCCACTATAAAAGCCATTAAAAAGATCACATTTCTGGACATGTTTAATTGTATGAGAGATGATCCTCATATAATATTTATTTGAGAATTCTAGATTAAAATGTAACATGCAATATAAAACCCAATTTGAAACACACACACACACACACACACATATATATATATATATACACACACACACAGATACACACACCCATGAATACACACAGATACATGCACCTTTATATTGTGTTAAAAAAGATTTAAGCACATAAAAATAATAGCAGTTATTTCTAGGTGGCAGGATGGTGGAATATTTATATTTACATGTTTATGCTGTATTTTCTGCATTTTCTACATGTTTATAAATGAGCACAAATTAATTTATTAGGAAAAATATGTGCAGATAAATAACCTGTTGTATTTTTTCCTTAAAAATACCTTTTAAGAAAAGTGTTGATATGGCTAAATCTTACTTTCTTGAAGTAGTTTTTGCGATATTTTGAGATAGTTGCTTTTTGTTCTAGAATATTGAAAATGGAAATGATAAATAAAATGACATTTATGATACAGAGCTGCTAGTTTCTGCAGAGTTGGGGATTAACACTTAGCAACTTTTTATGTTATTCCTGCAATGTTCACATCTGGGAAATAATATGAGATTTTGGTGCTGTTTCTTTATTGTCATGTCATAAGTTTCATATTGATGTGGTCCAAACACTGAGCAATGATTATATAGACTGAAATTCAATTCCCATTTATGTTGTTAACTACTCATGTGATATTTTGCAAGTCAATTTAGCTCTCCAAGCATCAATCTCCTCATCTGCAAATTGATTACATCAGACTAGTAAAAAAAAAGTTTTATAATTCTAAGTAGAATATGTTGTAAGTGTAAGAACTTTCAATGTGTAAGATTTGGAAATGCTGCTCCAATGAATAGGAGCTTGGTAGATAGGAAAAAGGAGGAGCAGGAAAGAAAGTTTGCTTTTAGTCATTACTAAAAGGAAAAGTATCTAAGCGCTGGTTATACAGACCTTCCCTCTCATGATTTATTGGAACAATAGCCAAGCATAGCATCTTGGACAGATGAAGAGAGACCGGAGTCTGGAGGTAGAGCTAAACGCTGAGGAATTGCCTGTCCAGCCTCGGACACTGACTATGACAGGCCAGGATACAAATGTCTCTGGCAGTCTAGGCAAATGCTAACCCATAGAGGCAGCTAAGACGTAGTGACAGGGCATGAGGCCTTATAACAGGTGGTGAAGCCACAGCCTGAGGCCACATGTAGCAGATAGTGCATACTAGGTCAGGTTCAGGTTCAGGACTTAGTTTCTTGGCCAAAGAAACTGACAAAACAAAAGCAGTAACTCCAGCTGACCTCAGTTCACCCATCAGAGGAATGGGGTAACTGTGCAAGTTTTAAATTGGACCCAAATTAAAGCATAGTTGAAAGAATAAGTGTAAAATTGAGGTAAGGATAAGGAATGCCGCTTAGACACCCTACTAATCATAATGCACTACTGCTCAAGCCCAAAAATATTAGCTGGGAAGGGCTCACATGCTGAAAAAGAGCCCGCTTTACAGAAAACATGGGCAATGGTCCCATCTGAACTATGTCAGAGACAGGGACCAAGATCTCTAATAATGCTACCAAGTGATAGAGAATTTATTACTCAAGAAGGGGTACTTACCCAATTTACTCTCGGGGAGATGTAAATTTTCCAAAGTCGTCTTGCATTCTCAATCATACATTATTGAATAAGTGTGTTGTTAAATTACAATGAGTGCCTAGGCTGGTAAGTTAAGTGATTTCTGGTTTGATGATACATTTGGAACAGAGATGGGTTCAGTTACCCCAGCACTTTCAAAGTCTTTAGATGGCATGGAAGTTCACTGGGCAGAGTCACTGCAGCTTGCTAACCAGAATTCTCCTTATAGAGGGTGGCATTCCTGCATCATTTACAAGCGCCAAGTCTGTATTCAGCAGAAAGGCCCTGGTGAAGATGCAGCTCTTGAAGGATGTTGCAGGCAATGACACATATAGAATAAACAATAAATATGATGAAACATACCCCCCTCTCCCCATGGAAGAAGTCATGCAACGGTCAGAGTTTGTTATTGGACAGGAGGTGGAGTATGACGTACTGGTCAACAACTGTGAGCATTTTGTGACTTTGCTTCGCTATGGAGAAGGAGTTTCAGAGCAGGTGAGTTTTCTTTAAGATATAAGAGTTTCTTATATTGGGGGAAAAGGTAACTATTGATTATGAGAAGGTTCCCAGGCCTCATACAAAATGACAAGAACACTGAAGGACCAAGAAGGGAATTGAGTTGTCCAAGGTCATGCAGCAAGTTAATGACCAAACTGAGACTAAACATGGATATTATAAATTTGGGGTAGAAGGGATTTGAAGCAGAATCAAGACCATAGCTTTCTGTTCGTTTATTGCCTTTTGTCTTTTAGAATCCACCCCCCTTCCCCATTACCCCACCATGCAGCAGTCTTAAACCAGTAAGCTTATATACTGAAAATAATATGCTGGAAAGATTGTTGACTTTTTTGAGTGGAAGTTAATTTACCAAAAACAGATGGTAATTCTAATATTCTTTTTCATTAGCTGACAGAGGCCAACTGATGACATATCTTGGTGGGTTTGTAAAATGTTTTCTATCTCTTTGTAATGCTAATTTCAAAGAGATTTTGTGCTTTTAAATAGATTTTTTGATTCATAGAGTTTTTGGATTATTTTTAATGGAGTAATTGACCTTTTTTTTATTGTTTAAAGTATTGCATATGCCTCCTTTCCCGGCCACTCAGGGCAAGCCCCCACTGCCCCAGTGCCTATGTCCATTGGTTATGCTAATATGCATGCATACAAGTTCTTTGGTTTAGCTCTAACCACCCCCCTTCCCTCTCTCTGAGGTTGGATGGTCTGTTCAGTGCTACTTTGTCTCTGAATCTATTATTCTTCATCAGTTTATGTTGATCATTATATCCCATATCTGAATGAGATAATGTGATATTTATCTTTCTCCGACTGGCTTATTTCCCTTGGCATAATGCTCTCCAGTTCCATCCATGCTGTTGCAAATGGTAAAAGTTCCTTCTTTCTTTATAGCAGTGTAGTATTCCATTGTGTAGATCTACCACAGTTTCCTAATCCACTCATCTGTTGATGGGCACTTAGGCTGTTTCCAAATCTTAGCTATTGGAAATTGTGTTGCTATGAACATATGGGTGCATATATCCTTTTCGATTGGTGTTTCTGGTTTTTTGGGATAGAGTCCTAGAAGTGGGATTACTGAGTCAAATGGGAGTTCCATTTTTAACTTTTTGAGGAAACTCCATACTGTTTTCCACAGTGGCTGCACCAGTCTGCATTCCCACCAGCAGTGAACAGGGGCTCCTTTTTCTCCACATCCTCGCCAACACTTGTTGTTTGTTGATTTGTTGATGATAGTCATTCTGACAGGTGTGAGATGGTACCTCATTGTTGTTTTGGTTTGCATCTCTCGGATGATTAGTGACTTTGAGCATGTCTTCATATGTCTCTTAGCCTTCTGTATGTCCTCTTTTGAAAAGTGTCTATTTAGGTCCTTTGCCCATTTTTTGATTGGATTGTTTATCTTTTTTTTTTTTTTTTTTTTTGCTAAGTTGTATGAGTTCCCTGTAAATTTTGAAATTTAAACTCTTATCTGAAGTAGCATTGGCAAATATGTTCTCTCATGCAGTGGGCTTTCTTGTTGTTTTGTTGATGGTTTCTTAGAAAACCCCAAAGACTCCATCAAAAACCTACTAGACTTAATAAATGAATGAATTCAGCAATGTAGCAGGATACAAAATTAAGACGCAAAAATCTATGGCTTTCTTATATAACAATAATGAAATCACAGAAAGAGAAACTAAAGAAAACAACCCCATTTACCATTGCACCAAAAAAATTAAGGTACCTAAGTTTATTCCTTAACTAAAGGGGTAAAAGACCTGTACTCGGAAAACTACAGGACATTGAAAAAAAGATAGAGGAAGACATAAACAAATGGAAGAACATATTGTGTTCACGGATTGATAGAATCAACATCATTAAAATGTCCATACTACCCAAAACAACTTATACTTTCAATACAATCCCCATTAAAATACCAATGGCATATTTCACAGATCTAGAACAAACTCTCCAAAAATTCATCTAGAATAAAAAAAGACCCCAAATAGCCACAGCAATCCTGAGAAAGAAGAACAAAGTTGGAGGAATCACAATATAAGATATCAAGCTATATTACCAAGCCACAGTTCTCAAGATCTTATTTTTAAAGTAGCTAACAACTTTGTCATTTACCTCCACTATTTTGTAGTATGGCAGCTTTCCAACTAAAAGTATGCTTGATTCAATTGCTTTTTCTACCTATCATCCCACCAACTCAATTCCATCACTGATATTTTAGCCTAAAGATTTTTTAAAGTGTAGAGAATCCTCTATAATAAAGAGGTAATATGCAAATTAACCCTTACACCTTCACAAGATGGCTGCCTATGATCAGGCCGGCGGGGGTGGGGGTATGGGGGGAGGGGCAATTGGGTAAGACCAGGCTGGCAGGGGGGGAAGTAAGAGATGACCAGGCTGGCAGGGGGGAGGGGGGTCAGTTAGGGGCAACCAGGCTGGTGGGGAGGGGTGCAGTTGGGGGTGACCAGGTTGGCAGGGGAATAGTTGGGGACTATTAGGCTGGCAGTGGGGCAGTGAGGGGCAACTAGGCTGGTGAGGGGCAGTTGTGAGTGACCAGGCCAGCAGCAGGGGGCAGTTAGGGGTGACCAGGCAGGCAGGCAGGTGAGTGATTAGGAGCCAGCGGTCCAGGATTGTGAGAGGGATGTCTGACTGCCGGCTTAGGCCCAATCCCTGGGATCGGCCTAAACCGGCAGTCAGACATCCCCCAAGGTGTCCCAGATTGGAAAGGGTGCAGGCTGGGCTGAGGGGACCCCCCGTGTACGAATTTTGTGCACTGGGCTTCTAGTGAATACATAAAGGCTTCCAGTATCTTGCAATGATGGGCCAGTTATATAAACATCTATTCTAAGGAAGGAGGTTAAAATTCTTCTGATGGAAACTGAGGAAAATGGGAGGTGAAAAATAAGAAAGGATACATTTGTTTTCATTAGGAAGTGATTTCATTGGAAATTCATTTTTAATTTAGAAAATACATTAACGTAATGAATGTACTACTCACATGGAATTATAAATTTTTTCTGAGCTAGAACACAGAGTATATATACACAATTCACCTTTCATACCCTCAATCAAGACCCATAAAAATCAGTCATCCCTTAACAATCAGTAGAACTCTTCTCTAACAAGTTCTGATGAAGATGGTGCAGTGACAACCTTAAGAACCCACCTTAGCTTTGGAATTCTGCTGACCTGAGATAGAACTCCATTTTTATCACTTAGCTGGGTGACTTGAGGCTCATTGTTTATCAGTTTCCTAATTTATAAATTGAGGTTGTTTTGTAAATTATAGGAGATATTTGAAATATCTTAGCATTATGTATCATTTTATTATTTTTCCTATCACCATTTATCCCCTCTATGCCCTCTTCCACCTGCCCCCCCCCTCTCAATCACCACACTGTTGTCCATGTCCATGGGTTCTCTCTCTCTCTTTTTTCTTTCTTAGCATTCGGTATTGCTTATCATCAATCCTAAGGAATGCTGGATATTATTAATTGCACTATTTAGGAATTTTATAGATTTTTCTTGGCACTCTTTAGTAAAATATCTGCTGATCTAAGAGGAAATACAACACTTGAATTATTTTTGTTATTGTCAATAATTAATAGTATTATTACTAGTAATAGCTAGTATTAGATTAGAGTTTTGGATCCCCTTAAGGCTTATGGGTCTTGACATTAGAACAGTTTTCTTGGGGAATGGCTGTGTATTCCCTCCAATTAAAAACGACAACATTGTAGATGCATTTTAAAAAGATGAGAAAGGTAGGTAGGATATGGCCCTATTTTTTTTCTAATTTGTACTTTTCCGTATTTTTTTAAAAAATTAATAGGCTTTATTTTTTAGAGCAGTTTTAGGTTCACAGCAAAATTGAGCAGAAAGTATAGAGTCCTTATATCTCCCCGCCCATCACCCATACATAGCCTTCCCCACCATCCATCCCCCACATCAGTGTGGTATATGTGTCACAAATGATGAGCCAAGATTTGTACATCATTATCCACCAAAGTCTATAGTGACAGAAAGCAGAATGTGTCACCCCCAAATATATCACTTTGGCATAAAGATTATTTTGAGCTGAAGGCATTGAGAAGAAGCAGATACACAAAAATCCCTTTCCCCTATTTGCCTAAAAGCAAGACATAAATTTTCACAGGTGTCCCTCCTCCTCTCTCTAGTAGGAAGGACAAAACTTAATCACTGGGACAACCTGTGGTTAAGGTAAGACATTTATCAGCCAGGAGGGGGCATCAGAGGAATCTGTATGACAAACTTTACTGACTAGCCACTATTTATTTACCATTAGTTTCTCATGAGTTGACTTTCCTACAGTTAGGCTTCTCCTTGGAAGCCTAAAACCGCTTTCCTTTGTCCTATCATTTATCTACAAATGTCTGCTCTTTGTTGAAAATGGTATACAAGCTTGAATTCTTAGCCACACCTTTGAGTTACCCTTCTCTAAGGTTCTCATGTATATATGAGATGTATATGTCAATATACTGCGTTTTTCTCTTGTCTTTTATAACCTGTCTTTTATTACAGTGGCTCATCTGAGAACCAAAGATGGGTAAAGGAAACATTTTCCTCCTATAAAAATAGTTTACATTAGGGTTCTCTCTTCCTGTTGTATATTCTACAGAATTTGGCAAATTATGTCATTAGAGTATCATACAGAATACTTTCCCTGTCCTAAAGTTTTCTGTGCTCTAGGCCTATTCACCCCTCCTCCACTTAAACTTCTGGTAACCACTGATCTTTTTACTGTTAAAATATGCATTTAAAATTCCTTCATGTCTTTTCATAGTTTGAGAGCTTATTTCTTTTCATCACTAAGTAATATTCCATTATCTGGATGTATATTCACCTACTGAAGGGCATTTTGGTAACTTCCAAGTTTAAGCAACGATGAATAAAGCTGCTATAAATAGATTTTGTGTGGATTTTGTGTGGATGTCTTTGTCAGCTTGGGCCGCTGTAACAAAATACCATAGTCTGGGTTGTTTAAACAAGACCTTTATTTCTTAGAGTTCTGGAGGCTTTTGCAGGTTTTTGGGTGGGTATAAGTTTTCAACTCCTTTGGGTAAATACCAAGGAGCATGATTGCTGGGTTGTCTGCTAAGAATATGTTTAGGTTTGTAAGAAACCACCAAATTGCCTTCTGAAGTGGCTGTGCCATTTTTCATTCCACATTCTCACCAGCACCTCGTATGCAGTGTTTTGGAATTTAGTCATTCTAATAGGTGCATAGTGGTATCTCATCTTAATTTGCCGTGGCATGAATCCGTATGATGCTCAGCATCTTTTCATATGCTTATCATCTGCATATCATATTTGGTGATGTGTCATTTGAGATCATTTGCCCGTTTTTAATTGGGTTGCTTGCTTATTTCCTTATTGAGTTTTAAGAGTTCATTGCATATTTTGGATAAGAATCTTTATCAGATTTGTCTTTTGCAAAAGTTTTCTCCCAGTCTGTGGCTTTTCTTTTCTATATTTTTTAAAATTTCTGATATCAACATTTCTCGCTGTTGTGCTGGAACAACTAATAAAATGTGTCTGTTTCTGTGGGAGATGGAAGACCCTTGAATAGGCCTGGACAAGGGGAGACACAGCACAACCTGACTGTACTGCACTACCCAGTACCGCAGCCTGAGGGTCCCCGGGAAGAGGCTACTCAATCAAGTCTGCAGCCATCTGGGATCCAGCTACAGTGTGTCTGACATAGCGCTCCAGACTCAGCTAAGGTTTCAGTGGGCACATACAGATCCTCAGAATGAGGCCTTTACTGTGGCCCACAGACAGAGAGCCCTATAAGGCCGATGTTTGCTGAGTCAGGTTTGGTGATTTTATAATCAATCCTAAGTAAGCCATAAAGTAAAAGCTCTTGTTCGTGTGGTTCACCGAGAACAGCCCTTGATGTTATAGCCTCACAGATCAGATCCCATTATATGCAACTCCAAGGGATTGTCCAAATTCCATGGGATTTTGCCATCTAGACTGCAACTTGAAATAAGTGTTTGGGATTTGGGAAAACGTGTGCACTGATGGAAGTGGCTTTAGTATTATTGTGTCTGGCCTGTGCAATCTTTGGTTTAGGATCAACTTGCCTGTCCCCTCCCCAGGCCTCTTAGGTTTATGGGATTTCTCTCACATCTTGTGTTTCTAAGTGGCTGAAGAATACCCAGTGAGTTAAGTCTGCATCTAGCTGGGCCACCCCCTACCCACAGGACCTTGAGTGTTTCCAGGGCTGGACCCTACGGCCATTTGACACCTCTGTTTAAAGACACAGAAGGCACTTTTCTGTTTTTGCATTGTCGGCCACATTTTCCTGTATTAAGCCTTCAGGGGAGCTCAGCATCTGCCTGGAATTGTAGGAAGGTTGGGCTTGATTTATCTTTGATTATTGATATTGTCTTGTGTCTTGTATCTCTCCCTGCCCCTTTTTGCAACCCAGGTGCTATGTGAGTAACTGTAAGCTTCTGGCTCTCTCCTGGGAAATAACTTAGGTAGCGACTAATTAAAAATTACAAATAAAATAAATAAACCAAACAAACAAAATTAGAATTATAAACTAAAATATGATTTGTCTGTTGTTTGCCAGTGCCATTCTCCCTGGCAATTGGGGAAGGTGGCAGATCAGGGGGTTACTATCTTAGGCCTTGTCCCTGCAGCCCACCGGATGGTGACAGGAAGGGTCTATCATTACACTCCTTTCCTGGCCAGGGCTCTTTCTGCCCATTACCAGCAGGGTGGCCCAGTTAGGGAGGCAGCCTGTGTCAGTAACATGGGGGTGGCAGGCTCACAGGATGGGTGAGGGGGGCCTGGGGCCAGACAGAGGGCATGCGCAAATGTGAGCTGAGTCAGGCTTTCCCGGATTGGGGCAGGCCTCCAGAGTCCCTTGGGAAAAAGGTTTTGCTTTGTGTGGGAGCCTGATCCTTAAATTCTAGAGAACACCTGTTGTTTCCAGAATACCTGATACAGAAGTATCTGGATGTGACCGTTGGGTCATAAAATTGTACTCAAACCCATGCAGATGGAAGGCAATACCAGTCAATTACCATGAAAACCATGAATATTCATTAGATCCCTCATGATGATGATGATTAATACCCTTAAAGCTATAACTGTCTGAACTCTTTTATGGACAATTGAGCTTGAGAATGGTTTATTTTAGTTTGTCTACATGGGAAATTAATTTTTGACATGATAATTAACATTACTATTGATTTCTTTTCAAGTTTATCAGAATACAAATGGAATCTACCAAATAAGAGCTTACAGATATTTAGCTCAGATCACATCCCTGAATTATTTTGCTAACAAACATTCTTAAGTCAGGGAAAACACCTCCCCCCCCCCCCCCACACACACACACAAACACACACACACACTATTCACCATGGTATAGATCCAACCAAACCAGTGTGTGTTTATGGGGTGGGATTGTGTAAAAGGTGAACACAGTGTTCAAGAGTCAACTTATAGCTAAGTCTGGCCTTATGACCTTGAGCAAATCACTTTTAACTTCTCAAATTTTGCAAAACATGAGTAATGATTGGTAAGGATTGTGATCATGGGTTATGTGTGTGTGTGTGTGTGTTTATCTATATATTTTTCATAATTATAAAAATTACAAATTCCATCTTCATACAAAATTTAAATTTTGCATTGAGCTTTAAATTTATTCACTGTACATTAAGATGGGTCTTCAGTTTAAGAAGCAACCAAAGCCTGACCGGAATGGCCAAGTGGTTGAGCATCGACCTATGAACCAGGAGGTCACGGTTCAATTCCCAGTCAGGGCACATGCCCGGGTTGTGGGCTTGATTCCCAGTGGGGGGCTTGTAGGAGGCAGTCAATAGATGATTCTCTCCCATCACTGATGTTTCTATCTTTCTCTCCCTCTCTCTTCCTCTCTGGAAATCAATAAAAAAATATTTTTTAAAAAAGAAGAAACCTAAAGCTTGGGTTTAGGATACTGAGATGCCTTTAGAATAAAATGTGTTTTTGTTTGCTTGTCGTTTCTTTATAGGCCAACAGAGCAATAAGCACCATTGGGTTAGTGACAGCTGCTGCTGGAGCCTTCTCATTCCTGGGCTTGTTTTCAAAAAGACAAAGAGCGAAATACTATTAACAATTTACTGAAGAGATATTGGGACTGAAGAAATCTGTGAGGCGAGGGTGGGGGAAGGGGAGGAAACACCCTGGGATAAATACTTATTTTCAATGCATCATTATTGTTTCAAACTCCAATGATGGATGGCGGGCTCTTTAATAAATTGCGTACTGATATTATCTCATCATTGAGCTAAGGAAATTTTTCTTCCTACTAGCATAGATTTTTCTGTGGCAGTTTGGACAAGAATCAGTAACCTTTTTAGTGATCCAGCAGAGGATCTTAACAAAATCACATTATTTTTTATCTTATACTATAAATATAAGTTTCCTTTTCCCTGAGGGTGGCTATTTTGTATTTGCCAGAAGGAAGAAGAACAGATTATATGTGATTTTGAAAAAAATGAGAATACCTCCAAATTGTTAGGGTTGACATCTAAATTCATACTCCTTTTCTGATCAGAAAAGAAATTGGGAAATTCAGCATTTGGCTAGGTAGATTGAGGAATTTTGATTAACAAGCCATTTGAGGGTGCACACTTATCCTTTGCTCCTGCATGGATGGGTGGGAAAGGGGGCTTTTGCTCCACTGTTTCAGATCCAGTGATTTCCCTGGAAATGACTCATTTATCAGAAGTCTGTGACAAACAAGAATAGGCTGTTACTTTTACCTACTTTGTTCCCTGTGGATTTTGAAGTATTTCAAGGATTTTAACCTAGAAAGAGATCATTAAAGTAGGTGTAAGGGGCCATATTTAGAAAACAATATCCCATATTACTTTTTTAAGGTTTTTATTGTAAGTCAAGGAGCATTGTGATTTTATTCTTGCATTTTATTGATTATGTGTTGAATGAAACAAATTACTTTTAATACTTTTCTAGTAGAATTCTTGTTTGCAGCATGTGGTGAAAAATGGTTGCAGGTCTCTATACCCTAAGATTTTATTGGACATTGTAGCATAGCACTGCTTTACAAAACACACAAGCAGCCAATGACATCATGGCATTAGATACAGGAAAAGTTCAAGTAAACACTGAGGGTGAGTGCCATAAAGGAACTAGGAATCTATACTAATGAAAGGGTAATATACTAATTGGACTGGATATACCAGACATTTTCCGGACATCCTTTCACACAAAGCCACGGTGGCAGGGGCCAAGGCAGAGGCAGTTAGGGGTGATCAGGCCAGCAGGGGAGCAGTTAGGGGCATCAGGCAAGCAGGCAGAGGTGGTTAGGGGCAATCAGGCAGGCAGGCAGAGGTGGTTAGGTGCTATCAGGGAGGCAGGCAGGTGAGTGATTAGGAGTCAGTGGTCCTGGATTGCGAGAGGGTACAGGCCGGGCTGAGGGACCCTGTCCTGTGCACAAATTTCATGCACTGGGCCTTTAATATGATAGGTAAAGGGACAGAAGACTCAACGAAAGACTTGAGCCTATTAAACAGATTTAGATTTTACCCCAGGGCCAAAAATACTCTACAGTTTAGCTGCAGGGTTAAGAATAGTGGTAACAGAAGGGGTCATGTACTGCAATCAGAGCCAGGAGAGATCTTTTCTCTTCTTCTTCCTTGTTCCCTGACTTTTCTCTTTTCAATCTTATGGTATCTCCCTTCCTCTAGTGGACCTGAGGGAGGGAGGGTAATGGATGTCTCCTACCAGATACCATAATCTAAAAATACTCATTCATTTTTTTTTCTAAATTTAGTTTCCTGATTCTTTTATGTCCTGTCCTCTAGTAATAGTTTTAAAACAATGAGCTCTTTTCTAGTATTATCAAATTAGGATGAGACTGATGGTGGTTTAATGTATTACCTCTCCCAAGATATGTTTATCTTTTAATAAAAGTGACTTTGGAGGGCAAATCTTAACCCAGAACAGGAGTCTTGGGTGTGGTGGAATTAAAGCATTGGTGGATGGGGGAGGGACCAGACGTGAGAACAGACCTAAGAATAACTCATGTCAAACCTTTCTAAAGAACTCTGGACTCCACCACTTCGGAAGACATGCTAGAGCTAGATAATGCCAAAAATGCACTTTTAGTTTTTTAAATTTATCTTTATTGTTTGAAAGTATTACAGATGTCCCCCTTTGTCCCCTCATTGACCCCCTCCACCCAGAGCTCCACCCCCCACCCACCTTCACCTTACTATTGTTCGTGTCCATGGGTTATGCATATATGCTTATAGTTTTTTGGTTAATCTCTTCCTATCCCCCCTCCATCCTTCTGTCTGAGATTCCTCAGTCTGTTCCATGCTTCCATGTCTCTGGATCTATCTTGTTCATCAGTTTAGTTTGTTCATTAGATTCCACATGTAGGTGAGATCATATGAAACTTGTCTTTCTCTGACTGGCTTATTACACTTATGAGCTTTGATAAATTTATGGATTAATTTTTCACATAGGTAGTATTCTAGGCTCCAATAATTTTTACCCTTGAAAGTAAGTTCACAGTTAGCCATCAGTGTTCCCATAAAAATGGCCACTCCTGTTGATGGGCAGTCTTTTTTATAGATCAGCAATTTTCAACCAGTGTGTGGTGCGCTGCAGGAAATTTTAAAACATGCAGTACCTGACTATTTAGTCAGGGGCACCGACCTCTTTTCCCGTAGATTGTCAAATAAAAAAAAATGACAACAGCCAACACAACAATAGCCATCAGTGTAAATGAATCAAAATTATACTTATTTTGCTGTCAGATCAGGAAAACATATATTTTTTGGTTGCCACAGAATTTTAGCAATCAGTTTATGTGTGCCACGAGATGAAAAAGGTTGAAAATCGCTGCAATAGGTGATCATTTGATATATGGCCATGCTCATGCTTTTATCAAAGCTTTTCCCCAAGGCTATTAAATCTTTCTCTGAGCATATAGTTAGCAAAGTTAAGTATAGACTTCAACTTTAACATATTCCACTTCCAAAGAAATCTGTGAAATAAAATGATCACCTATCAGATACCAAAAATGTTGTTGGAAAATTTGGGGCAAAAAAAAAGTGTACATTTATTAAATCAAGATTTTAAGCAACCTGTTTATGCTATCTGTCATAGGGTATAAGTTGAATCCTCCTGTGCTAATGGTCAAATTATTAAATGCCCGAGTTACATATTTTTTATGTTGACATACAATTTTTAACCATAAGATAAATATATGTTATCTTCTTATCATTTATTAGTAGACACTAAATAAGACACATTTTGAAAATTATCATTTTCCAAGAGCTGTGCACCAAAGTAAAAACAAGATTTTGCAAATAAAATGTAAATATAGAGGGTTGTTTTTATAAAAATTTGCATTAATGCTGTTGGTTTGTGTAACAAAGCCTTTAGTCCTATTTACAAATTGATGAAATGTAAAAATTGTTTTTCACTTCTAAAGGTTTCAGAATTGTAAATACATTATTGAAAGCATACATCAGTGTTTGGCACATAATTGGCACTCATGGAATGGGATGGTTACCTAATTACCTATGAACTGTTGAAGTTCTGTGAAGTTAGCAAAATTCGATTTATTGTTACAAATAATGCCTAGTAGGTAATACACAATGTTCACTAGAAATAAATATCCTCTCAGGTCACAGTGGAGTTGATATGTACTAAAGAGAATAGTGTACACAATATATTTGTAAAGGATGGACCCCTTCTTGTAGCTGTTAATGTGCATTGATTTAGATAATGAAAAGATGAAATGAAATGTAAGATTGTTTAGTAGCCTGAAAATTGTCATGGTATAGATACAGACATTATGGGTCCACCCCTCCCCTAGGATTGCGTTTTAAGATGAGTAATACGGACTTCGGGCCAAATTTTAGAGTTAAAAAAACAACAATTTAAGGATTTCACCTGTCAGTAATGAAGAGTAAATAGAGGTGTTGTGCTTCTTTAATGTAAAAGTACATTTTAATCGTTTATTTCATTACCTTTGTGATCGACTCTGGACATAGCTCATTGGCCCCAAAACAATATGTTTTGGGAAATGCCGTCTTTGGTGGAATTTGCTTAGAAGCTAGCTGTGCCCAAGCCAAGATTATATGCAATAAACAGACACCTCCATCATTCTCCACTGCCACACAGCTCCGGGTCACCACAGTCAGAGCTGAATTTTCTAAGTAAATGTCAATTCCTGTTTCTCTCTTACAACTGTACAAAAGGAGCAAAAAGGAATTTTGTGACCTTGGAAAAATACTTGTACATAAATGTTCTTCGCAAGTGAAGGTAAGGTTAAGTAAACTTGTGACAGTTTATTCAGAGAAGGTGTGTTTTTCAAATGCTTTATTTCTGTAGATGAAAATAAAAATATATTTGTGAAACTTTCAATGATCAAATTCTTTTTTAATTTTCCTTTTTTTAAAAAATTGATGTTCATACCATTATATTCACTACTGTGAAAAGCTGTATATTTTTTACCAGGATAATGCTATGTAATGTGAATAAAGTTTATTTTTTAAAAATAGATAATCCAGGAAATGTATTTTTTCCCCTCAGTGGTAAAGGGTAGGATACAGTCAAAATAAGCATCATTAAGGTTCTTTGTTGCAAAGCTCAGTACACTGAGAAATGTGTTTTGAGTCCTCAGCTGGAGAGAGAACAGATAAGGGTAAGCTACCCTCACCTCTCCACAGTCTGTAGTTTCTGGGGAAAAGGGGATGCTGTTAAGCATGTACAACAACAATTCTGATTACAGTCGGGTCCAAAAATGCTGTTCTGTGTTTTGGCCTCCCTGTTGGAGCTTTCCCTTTGGGATCTGTTCAGGGCTTTCATAGCCTCGGTTGATGTAGAACCCATTTTGGCCATCGCCTGAATAGTCCGTCCTGTTTGTGGGAGGCCAGGTGGGGTCTTCTGCCAGCTTCCTTTGCCAGTTCCTATATTGACTTTTCGAACAGAATCCAAATTTATTTTTGATCAATAGCCAGAGCTCTCGATTTTGAAGGATGGCATCCTGGGAAATCCAGTGGAAAAAAACAAACCATCATCCACTTCCCCTGCTGCCGGGTCGCTGGCTTCCCCCAGCTCCAGGCCCCTGCTACCACCACACGCTGTCCCCCAGCCTCCCCCTGAGAGGTGCTTGTTGCTGCTGCTATGCTGGCTTCTCCCCCCTGCAGGCCCCACCAAGTCAAACAGCCCCCCTTTCGTTCCCTTGAGAAGCAAGTGTACTTGTGTTCGCAGAAATCTGCTGAATGTAAGCCTTTCATTTCCACAGATTCCCAGTTAAATTCTAGCTAATGATTCACTTAGAATTAGTTGACTGCCAGCGTCCACCAGGTATTGTACTCAATAATGTACTCAAAATCAAGAAAAGACAAATCACTGCTACCTGCCATATGCCACCTAGAAGATGACAAATAAAGGCTTGTTGAATGAATAGACGGACTCTTGCAATCAAATAGATTTTGTTTTCCATTTAGGGCTCTTTTTTCTTTCTAGGCTCACATGCAAACGATTTTTACACATAACAGAACTTGTCAAAGTTTGCATTCCACTTTTGCTTGTACTAGACTTTCATATACAATTTGTAGCTACAGTCTTATTAATACTCCTTTTTAATGATTGTATAGCATCTCTTCAAATTTCTGTATAACTAAACAAACAGCATCTTTACTTTCAAACATGTGAGTCCAGTCTAATATCTTACCACTGTAGGTAATACTATGATAATACTGTCATACATGTGTGTTTTTTTCCTCTCACTTTTTTAAAAAAAATATAATCTCAGAACTAGAATTCCTCAGTTAAAAAGTATGAGAAATTTTATATTGGTTGCATTCACTGGAATATTTGTCTGTGTGTGTGTGTGTGTGTGTGTGTGTGTGTGTGTGTGTGTGTTTAAAAATTTGGTTGATTCTCTTTCCCAAAGAACATATGGTACATGAATATTTTTTTTTTAAAAAAACTATTCTTTAAAAAATATAGAATCTGAAGCTGTCACTGAGTAGGTAAAGTGACTTAGTGACACTAAGTAGAAGAGAAATGCTATCGGAGAAGACCTTCCAGGGTAAGAATTGACTAGAATGAGCAATGGCTTCCCTTCTCTCTTGATTAAGGAAGGCCTCCTGAAGACAGAGCTTCACTGTAAACGGTCTCATTGAATTTCCAAGCAGGAAGGTCACCTGGTCCAGTCTCTAAGGAATAATTGAGCCCACTGGAAAAGTACAATACAGTGCCTTCAGATGAGGCAAAATTAGAGCTATTTTCATGGTTTGCTTTCTATACTACAGATATCAAGAGCATTTCTATGCAGCCTTCAAAGAATTATAAATCATTCTATAAGAAATTTCCCCCAAAGCGTACATGCACAGTTTTTACAAACCCTTCTTAACTATCACTATTGGGGACAAAGGTGTTTGCTCTAAAAAATGAGCATCTGTGGAGAATGAGGCTCTTGATTTGCATATCTCCCTGGAAGAATGATAGGAACCACACAGAAATCACGTTACCTCTACAAAGAAGGCCACACAGAACTGGATGAGGGCTGCCACCAAAATTGAAACCCTCCATGATGTCGTGGTTGGGATGAACTGTGGGAAAAGGAATACTGCTATGAGACTTTTCATACCTTACACTTTGAAAAAACATATTTAATTTACATATTTGTAGCAACTCTCTAAGCTCGGAGGGTGGGCATTATTTTCAGCACTTTACAGATGAGAAGGTCAGTACTTTGCCCAGGACTCAAAGCCAATAAATAAAAGGCAGAGCCAGAATTCAAAGGAGAACCAACTGCCTCTTGTCCTGTGCTCCCTCCAGTGCCTGATGACAGACATGGAGTAAATGTGCCCTGGGCCACAGGCGTGAGACAGGGCATTCGGAAGCCTGTGTGTCTCTCTTCATTTTTGTCTTTTCAAATCCAGCAAACAGGGTATATGGTTAAATCATTCATCTAATTACATTATTACTTCTAATTCTCCCAAAGCTACATCTACCTGAAATTTATTCTTTCAGTAAAATTGACCTATGGGTAAACATAAGGGGGCAGAAGTTTAAGTTTATTTTGATTGAAGTGAAGGGAACATTTTCTGAACACATCTTCCCAGCCCTAAACCAATGGCTTGATGAAAGTCAAACCTACCCAAACCACCACCTTTTAAGGATCAAAGGGTACATATTGACTTATTGAATGAGTGTAAGAGCTACAACTTCCCATGGCTGCATCCATAGCAAAACAAACAAACAAACAAGGAAACAAACAAAAAAACAAACAAACCATACCCCCCCCCCACACACACACAAAAACACAGACATAAAAAAACTACAAAGCCCCATTTCTGATCCTAAATGGCAGAATATGGCTAACTATGCAGAAGACTGAGCTGCCTTTAGGACGAAAACTACAGGTCCTCCCCAGTATTAAAATGCTCACTTTTAACTCTCATGTCTATTCTGATATGAGTTATTTTCCCCCCAAGTGGAGACAGCCTTTCTCTCGGTTGTGAAAAACAGCACACTCAGTGCAAGGGTTGTCTGGAGAGGCTGTAAGATATGGTAGTAGGTCAATACTTTTTTATTTCTCCCACAATGTTGGGTCCAAGAATGGGCTCACTAACCTCTAATAAATTTAATTTTAACCCACTGCACCCTGGATCAAATAAAACTTACAGTCAGTTTCTGACAGATAGAAATATGATTGACCTATAAGTCTACTTTTTTCTTATTCCTCACAGCTATGGTATGAAGGATTTCTACTATATGTTTTAAAATATTAAACTTGAAAAATTAATTATTGAATCAATGCATAAAATTTATTATACCAGTATAACATTGAAGAATAAAGTATCTAAATATAATATTTCAGTTGTGAATGAAATAAATATACCCAATTGGGAATACCAATAATATGAAAACAATGAGAGGCTAGTGCATGTAAGATCCAGATATATCACTTGCACTTCTAGTAAATAGGAATAGTCTCTCAGTGATCAGAGAGATTATGGTAACAACAGAATTGGAAATTACAATGCAAATATGGTCCCACTGCACATGTGAGTCATAACAGATGTGCAAACGAATACCACTTACCTCCATTCTTCGGTATATAGCTTGAAAATCAGAAAACATGATGAAAACTGTGAGGCCCAAGACAGTTATCAGCATAAATGAGAATATATCTGAAGAAACACCAAACATTACTTTTAGATGCTAAAGGAATGTTTCACATAATTTGGCACACATTGCAGAATCAATTATCTCTGTTGGGAAAATACTAGATACATCTTTGGATGTTTTGAAATATCCTCGTATGTTTTAAAATATGTTCGAATGCTTATAAGACAAAGGTGATATCTTAAAGTCTTTCCTCGAAAGGCTGGGTGTAGAAAGCTGCTAATAAGTGTAGTAAAGTAACTTCCATAAGGGAGCTACCTCAACTGAGGAGTCCTGGGGAGGGGGAGGGGGGAGGAGAGCAGTGGCGGCAGGACCTTTTGCAGTGATCAGTCCATGTAAATGGTCACCAGACAGACCATGTATCTACTAAGTCGTGCCTTCATGGACAGTCAGTCCTCTTGATAGTACCTCATTCTTCTTCGTTGCCTACAGAATACATCCAAGGGTCTTCAATTCATGGCCTTCCACAGTGTGGTTCCAATTAGCCTTTCTAAACTGACCTGATTGCTCTTCCTTACATGCCCAGGGAAGTTAAACCATAAACCTGCTGCTTCCAGAGGCCCAACGCTTTCCACCTTCTGTCCCCCCGTTCACAGAATTCCCTGTGTAGATGATATTTTTTCTCTCTTGGCAAGTTTCAATTTTTCAAAAACAGCCCAGTTCAAATATGACTTTATCTTTAAAGTTCCCCAATTCTCTCTTTTAACATTTTATTTCATATGGTGTATATCATGATCTTTGCATAATCTTCATTTATGTATCAACTAGACTGTAACCACTTGAAAGTGACTTTGTACTTGCTTCTCTCTGGGGCTCTAAATTGAAAGAGTAAATGAGAAACTAGCCTGCACATCGGCTGGGTTCTCTCTCCCCAGCCTGCCAAAACTGCTTTACTTTTGGGAGCTAAACTTCCCAGAATGCAATGTGTCAACATTACTGCTCTTACCCCAAACCTCATCCACTCCTGTGTCCATCAGAGCTTTTAGGTACTTTGTAGATGGTGCCTTGGAAATGCTTTGATAGAAATAGCACTGGAGCATTTAATCAGTGTTTCCATGACATCAATGATTCTCATAATCCTCAAAATTTATTAACAGCCCTAGCTGGTTTGGCTCAGCGGATAGAGCGTCTGCCTGCAGACCAAAGGGTCCCGGGTTCAATTCTGGTCAAGGACACTTGCCTTGGTTGCAAGTTCCTCCTGGGCCTGGGCCCTGGTAAGGGCTCATGGAGGAGGCAACCAATCAATGTGTTTCTCTCACACTGATGTTTCTCTCTCTGTCTTTCCCTCTTTCTTCCACTCTCCCTAAAAATCAATGAAAAAATATCCTCTGGTGAGGATTAACAAACAAACAAACAAAAATTATAAACAAACAAACTAGATTTTCTCTTATGCTCATTATTCCAGTGTTGATTGTCTACTGGCCCTCAACTCTACATAGGTCATATCAAGGAGAAATCAAAGGCAACTGCTCCTCTACTGCAGGCCCTAATTTTTTAAACAACCAGAGCTCTGGTTTCACCCTTGTTCATCTACACCCACCGTCATAGTAATCTACATCTCACTTTATATACACAGCTAGATACAGTGCCTCCTGCAGAATACCCAGGCTTGCTCAGGAAGGACGTGAGGCTACGAGGAGAAAACCTGGGGCTGCATCTCCCCAAATTAAGCAATCTGAGCAGCTTGGTGACAAGAAGATCCCAGGAAATGGCTATGTGGATTGTTCATTTACTTCATTGTTTCCAAGTCCCAGGGACCCAGATGTTGGGAAGATGATGCCCCAAACATCCATCCTGATAAAGGCCTGGTGCTCACTAGGAACTGAGTGCATATCACACTGTCCTCAGACTAATGATCTGAAAAGCAGCCAGTGCATGAATGAGCAGTGTGGAAACAAAATTATAAGGCTCTCTTCTTTAATTCAGCTTTGATTAGAAAATGTAATGAACAAGTGAAATGAATGCTGCCCTCCTTGGTTAGTCACTATTGATGAGGAAATTTAAAAAATCGGGCTGTTTATACAGGTGATTTGGAAAGAAAAGTCCTGGGCAAGCCATTACAGATTATTTTCAGATAAGTGAATATTCACACCTGTTTCTATAAAAATTTAACCCATACTGAGAACAGATTGGCAGTTGCAAGAGGGAAGGAGGGTTGGGGGACTGGGTGAAAAAGGTGAAGGGATTAAACACTACAAATCAGCAGCACAGAATAGTCATGTGGATGTAGATTGCAGCATAGGTAATGTAGTTAATAATGAAATGATGTATATGTGTGGGGCTAAGTGGGTACTTGGGGCAACAGGGGACCACTCTGTAAAGTGTGTGATTTTCTGCCCACTTTGCTGTGCAGAATAGTGTTGAATGTAAACTGTAGTTGAAAAAAATTTAATCTATACTTTTTTTTTATATCCAATCATAAGTTGATCTTCTGCCAAAGGCTGTTAAGAAGGGCAAAGACTTTTCTGTTGTATCAATAGAAAATTGCTTGTATATTTTAATAGTAGCTCCAAGAACTTTGACTTATATAACCTTGAAAGAACATGATTTATTCTATTGGTTAGAACTTTTTTCATTTTAAATTATCAGCTATGTTTGACATAGGGGTTTGAGTTTACCCAAAAGCTTTAAATCACTATGATGTAACTAATTCAGCTCTAAAAAACTCAATTTAAGCAAAAGGACTCTGTGGCTATAATTCAAATTGAAGCACTAGCTAACGTAATATATCCCCCTTGTGAAATATCTATCTATATAAAAGCCTAAGCAACCATCGCAACTAAACGGACGACTGAATAGGCTGTGTGGGGCGACCAGGCTGACAAGGGGGGGCAGTTGGGGGCAACCAGGCTGACGGGGGGGGGGGGGTGAGTGGGAGTGATCAGGCCAGCAGGCAGAGGCAGTTAAGGGCAATCAGGCCAGCAGGGGGGGGGGGGCAGTTAGGGGTAACCAGGTAAGGGGGCAGTGAGGGGTGATCAGGCTGGCAGGCAGAGGTGGTTAGGGGTGATCAGGCTTGCAGGGGGGGGGCAGTTAGGGGCAATCAGGCAGGCAGGCAGGTGAGTGGTTAGGAGCCAGCAGTCCAGGATTGTCAGAGGGATATCCAATTGCTGGTTTAGGCCCGATCCCTGGGCCTTGTTTAGTTGGACATCCCCCAAGGAGTCTTGGATTGGAGAGGGTGCAGGCTGGGCTGAGGGGACTCTCCCCCCCCCCCCCGTGCACAAATTTCATGCACTGGGCCTCTAGTCTATATCTATAAAAAGCCAGTGACCAGAACACTGTAACAACCAGTTGTTATGATGCCCACTGCGGCCAGTGAACCAGCAGATCCAGGGTGGGGCCAGCCAGCCAACCTCCCATGGCCCCTTCCTCAGTCGGCCTTGCCCCCAATGGGCCCTCCAACTCTGATCAGGGGCAACCACCTGTGGCCCCTCCCCCTGGGTTGCCCTTCCCCCAGTTGCCCCCCTACACACCAATCGGGGGTGGAGCCAGCCAGCCAACCACCCACAGCCCCTCCTCCCCCTGGCTGGCCCCACTCCCAATCAGCCACCACCACCCTGATTGGCCTGTGGCCTCTCCCTTCAGCCAGCTCCACCCCTGATCAGCCCCCCAACCCCAATTGGGGGTGGGGCCCACCAGCCAATCGCCCACAGCCCCTGCCCCCCTGGCTGACCCGGCCTTGATTTGGCCCCAAATGGGGCCAGGCCAGCTGGACCCCACCCATGCACGAATTTGTACACTGAGCATCTAGTATATCCTATCTAATAAAAGAGAAACATGGTAATTAGCGTACGACTGCTACCCTTCCCATTGGCTAATCAGGGTGATATGCAAATTAACTTCCAGCCAAGATGTCGGCCGGAAGCCAGGCAGATGAAGTGAACAGGGAGACTTGCTTGCTTCAGTGACGGAGGAAGCCAAGCTTCCCCGCCTGCCTTGCCGGCCCCTCAGCTGCACTCTAAGCAACATTGTAACAAATATAGAAGCTAAACAAAACCCCAGAAACCTGCTTTAGTCCCAGGCTTCAGCCAGAAGGATCGCAACATTGTTTCAAATACAGAAGGTAAACGAAGGCCAGAAACCTGCATTCAGCAGCGGAGGCCTAAGAGCTGGAGCCAAGCCTCAAAGCTAAAGCTGGCCCAGAATAAAAAAAAGAAAAAGGAAAAAAGGAGCGGCCCCTCACCCAGACTGGCCAGGCACCCCAGTGGGGACCCCCACCCTGAGGAGTGTGTGACCAGCTGCAAAAAGCCATCATCCCCTCATCCAGGCTGGCCAGGCACCCCAGTGAGGACCCCCACCCTGATCCAGGACACCCTTCAGGGCAAACCAGCGCCCCAACCCCCAGATTGGCCCTGCTCTGTGCGTGACAGAGGGTGGCGCCGCAACCTCCCCATCGACCCTGCCTTGAGTGTGACAGGGGGCGGTGCCCCAACCCCCCAATCGGCCCTACCCTGAGCGTGACTGGGGGTGGCATCGCAACCTCCCGATTCGCCCTGCTCTGTGCATGACAGGGGAAGGCGCCCCAACTCCCCAATCGGCCCAGCTCTGAGCCGGACCAGGGGCTGCACCTAGGGATTGGGCCTGCCCTCTGCTACCCGGGAACAGGCCTAAGCCAGCAGGTCGTTATCTCCCGAGGGGTCCCAGACTGCGAAAGGGCACAGGCCAGGCTGAGGAACGCCCCCTTCCCCCCGAGTTCACAAATTTTTGTGCACCGGGCCTCTAGTATATATATAAAAGTCCAGCGACTGGAATGGTGGAATGACCAGAATGACCAGAACAACCAGTGGCTATGACGGGCACTGTGGCAGCCAACCAGCTTGATCTGGGCCCTAATCGGCCCCACCCCCTGGCTGGCCTGGCCCCTGATTGGCCCCCAACACCCTGATCAGGGGTGGGGCCGGCTGGCCAATTGCCCTCGGCCTCTCCCCCCACCTGCCTGGCCCCCACCCATACACAAATTTGTGTACCAGACCTCTAGGGTAGATATAAAAAAGTAAAAAATTTAATTTAGTGAAATTTATAATCCACCACAAGGAAGTGGGGTTTGATCAAGAATGTGAAGATGATTTAATGTCAAGTTTATTAACATAATAGACTAGCACTTGGTCACCAGGACAACAAAGAGCATAATTGTCTCAGTAGGTAACAGGAAGGTGTTTGATTAAATGAATCACCCATTCTGGATTTTAAAACACACTTCTAGGGCTAGCCAGTTGGCTCGGTGGATGGAGCATTGGCCTGTGGACTGAAGGGCCCCAGATTCAATTCCAGTCAAGGGCATGTACCTTGGTTGCAAGCACATCCCCAGTAGGGGGTGTGCAGAAGGCAGCTGATTGATCTTTCTCTCTCATCGATGTTTCTAACTCTCTATTCCTCCCCCTTCCTCTCTGTAAAAAATCAATTAAATATATTAAAAACACCCAAAAAACAACACACTTCTAATTATTGGAAATAGGATGATTTCATGATATTTATAAGTAAATATAATTATTATATTTTATTATATTTATTAATAAAAATAGTTCTAGTAGTTTTCAGAAGCCTGGGTAGAACTATCTGCTATTACCACTATTATTTAACATTGTCCTGAAAATTCTGGACTCTACAGTAAGACAGAAAATATACAAAAAAGTATAGGATTAGTTTCTTAAATAAGTGTGCAGGATCTATAGTGCAGAACACAACAAATATTTACTAAGAGATATAACAGGAAGCATAAAGATATAGAGAGACATGATATGTTCTTAAATGTAGAGATTAAAGTGTGTAAACAAATGCATTTTTCCCAAAGGGGATTTTTTTTAAAAGCCTGACAATTTATTCTAGAGTTTTTCTGGAAGAATAAACAAGAAAGAAAAGTAATAAATATTTTTTAAATGAAGAGTAACAAGGATACGCCAACCTTACTACTTATAAGAACATATAAAAGTCTAATTTCTAAAGCCAAGTGGTAGATCAAAAATAGGCTGGTATATCAATAAAACAGAGCAGGTAGTATAGAAAATAATAATCTTATAAAAATTAATATATAGTATAACTAGGTGGGGAACCTTTTTTCTGCCAAGGGCCATTTGGATATTCATAATATCATTTGTGGACCATACAAAATTACTAAATTAAAAAGTAGTCTACTATATTTGGTCAAACATTTAATTAACTCACCCCTAATGCCTTGGTAGGGCCAGACCAAATGATTTCCCAGGCCTTACTAGTATATGGCCCATGGCCAGATGTTCCTAACTCCTGGTATATAACATAAATATAATATTAAAATTTACATAATATAAATTATGCATATGAGAAAACCATAAATATATACATGAATATAGTTATGATAATTGTGGCATTACATTGAGTTGAGAAATAAGTGACTAAACGAAATATTAAATAATAAAATCTGCTGGGAAAACTAGGGACTAATTGGATAAACTAGTTTGATCTCTACTTTAAATCATATCCCAAATTAACATTAGGTTTTAAAAAGCATTAAAAGAAATTTTTAAAAAATTAAATAAATGATAATCTGATTTTGCAATGAGAAAAAATTGTGCATAAAGGCAATGGAAAAATCCCAAAGGATAAACAGCTCATACAAATAAATAAGAAATATAACAGTAACCCAATAGAAACAAATTAATAAAAATGTAAATGAAATTTAGAAATGAAGAAATGGCTAATAACATGGATACATGTTCATCCTCACTGTGATCAAAGAGATGCACAGAATTGTTAAAGTAACTTCCTCAATATTATAAGTTATTACAAGGTTATATTTGACTTGGTTGGAAAGACTTTTACAAAATATTTTGACATATACGTAGGTACTTAAGTTCCTTCTTGATGGTTCACAATAGGGCAGGACCCATGTGACAACTCAATAGTGCATGTGCTTCCATGCCATTGAGCAGGTTTCTCCCATGGGCTCTTCCACCCATGAAAATTACCATTTGGTACTCAATTTTAGATCAATGCAATGGTTCCCCTCTCAGCCAATCACCTCAGTGAGTTGCACTTCTGGGAAGATGGAGGGGGAGGAGAAAAATAATATTCAAAAAGAAAAAGTAAACTTCATATACTTACAGTTTGTGTAGATGGGTTTTCGAAATGGCTTTCCCTTAGAAAAGATAAATGCTACTGTGATACAGTTAAGGGTCCCGATGGGCCACAGAGTGGTACTCTCAAAACTTAAAATTGAACCAGGAATCAGAGTTGCATTTCCAGTCCAGTTTCTTTCCAAACTCATATTTGTTGAGAAATTACTTTGGTTGTCCAGAAAGCACTCACTACAAAAGAATCACCAGCATTTATGGGGCTTTTTATTTCATTTTTCTCCAGCTGGTGGGAAAAAATTAGTTTACCACTACCACAGAACCTCAGCTTTCAAACTGTTCCAGCCAATAACTACCAAGACATAAAGCTCTTGCAATGTCAAAACAGAAATAAAATTCAGAGGAAGTCAAGATTGTCCTTTGTGCAGCACTCCATTTAGAAAAAGTGATCTGTATCGAAAGGGCTTGAGTGGCCATTTTCTATGGAATTCCTTTTAATTCAGAGTAAATGTGTATGTGGGTCTCCCATCCAAGCACCAACCAAGCCTGACCCTGCTTAGCGTCCAAGATCAGGCTAGATGGGGTATGCTGAGTCCTGATTTTGAATCTGCTCACTCTCTCTTCACACAACCAAAGGCTCTTCCAGAGGATTTGAACATAACACTCTCCTGCTTATGAGTGTTTATGGCTTTGTTTTGCCAATAAATTAAGTTGAAACTTCCTAGGCAGGTCCAGAAGACCTCCAGACTCTGATCTCAATGTCTCTTTCCAGCCTTATCTTTTGCTAGTCCTTATAGACTCCTTATATTCTGAACATATAGGAATATTCCCTGCCCCCCTCCCCCCACACACACACTCACAAATCACCATTTGCATATCTCTGGGGTCATATGTGCTATTCCTTCTGAATGTCTTTATATTTGCTGGCCAGCATAACCAGTGCCCCCATTTTTCCCTCTTAGTGCTGCATTGTTTTGCAAGTATTCATTCACATGTTTTTATTTTCCAGTCCAGGGATTAGAGTTCCTTGAATATGGAGTTTTCCTTTTGGTTTTATTTATTTATTTATTTTGTTTTACTCAGATTTTCAACAAATCCTTAGCACCTAATACAGTGATGCCACATAGCATTTGCTCAGAAAAAATATTTAAGATATGGTCTTTCCCACTGCTGATGGAGCTTTGCGCAATGTTTATTTTTTTCAGTATCAAACCCACAAATCAGTTTCCAACAGTTTTCTTATTCAGCTTGAAACTTTTTACTATTATAATTGTTAATAAGTAACTTTTCTTTTCCAATTGTGACCTCAAATGCAAGACTTAAGTCTTATTATTCTTGGCTCCCTGGAGTCTAAAATGTGTTTTGCATAGAAGAGATGTTGAGTTAAAGGTTGCTTAATAGATTAATGAGGCAATCAGTAGTTAAGAAAGCATTCTTGCACAAAGTGGACAAACTAGAAGGGTTGAAGTATACAGAGTTTAACACGAAACTAGGATATCTAATTCAATATACTTACATTGCAGATAAGAAAGCTGAGGACTAATATGACTTAGCTAATTAATGATAGAGGCAGAACTACCCATCCATCATCCCTTTGCCTACACCATGTTGTCTCCTGGATTTCATCAGACCTTTACTTCTCTGAATATGTGTACTTCAATTTGGGGGGAAATCTGGTTTTGACACAAAAATGACTTCCATATTCCAAGTAGTAGTTGAATTTCTGACTTTGAGGTCTAAATGACAACTTTAGACATCATTTGGTACTTTTCAAACTATCTTTCACTGGTTCCTGGAGTTCTGATGCCTTCACAACCACAGTGGAGTGAGGGGGAGTTTGTACAAGCCCGACTTCTAAAAGAACAGCACTTGGCTTTCCTTTCCTTTTGGAGGTCAGGCAGGCTTTATTGGAAAAAGTAAGTTAAACATCTATGGCATAGTTCACCTCAGCTAATCCTTAATCTATAGTTAAAGAAATTAAAGCTCTGGGAATTGGAAAGATTTTCCCAAAGTAATTTAAGCAAATCTCTTACATATCAGGGGCCAGCTGGCTTCATCCTACTCACCAAATCCAACCCACCAACTGTTTTTGTGAATGAAGTTCTATGGAACATAGTCACACCCACTTGTTTACATGTTGTCTGTCTATGGCTGCTTTTTCACTCTAACAGCAGAGTTGAGTAGTTGCAACAGAGACCATCTAGCCCACAAAGCCAAAACTATTTACCATCTGTCCCTCTATAAGAAAAGCTTGCCCACCTCTGGTCTATATGATATCCAATCTACCAAGGAGTTAATTCAGCCAACCAACTGTCAGATCTATACCTCAACAACCAATGTAAAATGTTCTCCTATGCATTCCACATGGCTCACCACAGGACTCCACCCATCAACTGTGTTCTGTGATCTATCTCACCATTGGTATTTTGCAGTGTGTAGACACAACTTTTTTTAATTAAAATTTTAGGGTATATTTCAAACCCAGTTGTACAATGTCATTGGTAGTCATGGTATCACCTTCGGAAAGGAAAAGTAAGGAACTAACCATTACCTGTATCTGTAGACCTCACAGTACCAGGGCTGCTGCTTCACATAGAGAAATGCACAAATATGCACAATGCAGGTGAAACAGGTATTCAACAAGACTGAGAGCAGCAAAGGGGGAGAGAGGAGCTGTCCTGCTGGTCGGTATGGAGCCAGCTTTGGGTAGGCATGAGTTGAACTCACTGAAAGAGAAATGCATTTTCCCCAGTTACACTTTCATTGTTGAGAATAAAAGATTGAGATGCATATTATTTTGAGTCTTGCCTTATGGCTCAGATTCAGCACATGTGAGTTGAGAATTTATATCTAGGAAAGCACATTGTCCAGTTGCAGATCCAATGCTATCAGACTTTGCCTCTTTCCTTTGGTTTTACCTTCAGAAGTGAAAAGTATGGATTCAAAAGTTCTGTAATTAGTAAATTTGCCATATTGCATGGGGCAAATATTTTCTCTACAACCAGACTTAGCAGGAATGGTATATAAGAGAAGAAGAATGGCCTTTCATATGCATAAGCATTCCTATTACTTCTCCGTGATGATGGAAAAGTGGAGAGTTAAGAGGAGGAGAGTAAGAAAGCATCTAGGTAGACTAATCTTCATAGGGTAGCACATTTTTTAAAAAAGCATTTGTTCTGTTGTTCACTCAGCAAATATTCTCTGAGTATTTCTATCTATCAGGATAAATGTTAGAGATGTGCTCTGTTCCCTCCTGGAAATGTGTCTCAATGGAGAACTACTAGAGTACATTAGACTCAGTTAGGAAATAGAGCTCACAAAAAAAATCTTGCTTCCAGATGAGAATGTTAAAATATGGTATCTACATCCTCCTGAGAAGCCACACATTCTAACAAGTATATATATGAAAATGGAATGCACTGCATAGGGCAGAGCAGGAAAGAAGCATGGGAAGGTCAGAAATTAGATACATCACATTTAAAGGTTTATATAATAGCCATGTTTCAGTTCTTGCCTTCATATCTGTCACCTTGTCCCTTTTCATAACTTATCACTGACTTCTTTGATGTGAGGAAGAAAATAAAGTGTGTATGCTTAGGTTTGTGATGGGCATTGGGTGTCCAGTTTGGGATAATAAAACTCTAAAGTAGTTTTTCAGTTTGCTCAATGTGTTTTCTGGGGTAATCATTTTAAACTCTCTGTATAAAATGAATGTGTTGGAATGTCTACAAGGTCTCCAAAGGCTCTTCCAACTCATTTACTCTAAAGCTCTATGACTAAGGCTTTACCTTTACCAATTTAAGCAATATTTCCCCAAGAGGGTGCTGGGCTAGAAGTTATGGGGTATTCAGAAAAGAAGGACTCTCATCTGCTATCAAAGAGCTTGCAGTCTAATAGAAGACATAGATGGGTTGTGTAATAAAGGTTTTGTCTGGCCTTTGTCCCAGGCTATTGGGAGGTTATCTCAAAACTCTTGGAATAAAGAATTGGGGTGGCTTTTAACCCCATTTCCTGGGATATACCCTCTAAAATCCTTGGGATTTTTCTGAGTCAATAGGAGTATCTTTGTTATTCATGGTGAGTCCTGATAGCTCATGCCAACAAGATGACTCATGGTGGGCCTGAAGAGAGTTTGTGCTAAGGAGATGACTCAGGATGGGGCTCTGGCATGCCAAATAAAACAAAAAACAGCTGTGTGACTGGAGAATTGGGACTTTAAACTCCTGACATCAGGCTGATCTTCAGAGAGAGAAGAGGAGCTGGGACTGAGTTCAACTTCATGGCCAATGATTAAATCAATTATGCCTCAATAATGGAACTGCCATGGAAACTCCACACATGGGAGGTCAGGTGTGTTTCCCTGCTTGGCTATCCTATGCATGTTATCACACATTGATTTTCCAGGAGGAAAAGGCAAACTGACTCCCCAGGGAGAGGATAATGGAATATCATCTTTGGGACCCTTCCCAGATCTTTCCCTCTAAGTCTCTCACATTAACTGGTTCTGATTTGTATCCACTTGCTATAGCAAAACTGTAATCATATGTGTAGCACTTTTCTGAGTTCTGTGAGATGTTGATGCGAATTACTGAATCTGAGAGGTTAGTGAGAAACTCCAAATTTGTAGCCAGCTGGTCAGAAATGCAGGTGGCATGGGAACCCCCTAACTTAAAGCTAGTATCTGAAGTAAGGACAACCTTGTTGAGGTTGTGTCCTCCACCAGCAAAGTTTGGCCTAAATCTGGGTAGCTGGCGTGAGAAGTCATTAAAGGGCACACAGAAAGGGACACCCAATGTGGGCTGTGGTCAGAGCTGAGGAGAAGTGCAAGGAGACTGTCCTTCATGTGTAAGAAGACAGAAGGCAGAGGCTGCAGTGCTTGGAGTTCTTTCTGCACTTCAATACACAAGGTAGAATGTGGCCACAGAGTTCATAGAGAGGCCATGGGTAATGAAAAGAGGTGTAATTGAATCTGTGCACCTGACTTTTCCCACTTTGGACTTCTCTTTCTCAGATGCACATTGGGTTTCTAGCATTTCTTTTTATACAGAGACTAAGATAGATTGAAGTATTGGCCTCATCTGGGCAAAGTAGACTTTACCACTCCTTAATTTTGGTTTCACTGAGTGATTTTCAATGACCAAAGGAATGTTATAAGAGGTCTGAGGCCTTCTTGCACAGCTGGGCTTGCTCTCTGCTTTGCTCTCTGTGACCTGCAATGGGAACATGCCTAGGTCTGCTCATTCAGCCTGGCCCCAGGATGAAAAATATGGAGCAGACATGAATCAAACACATAGCCTGGACCAAGACCAACTCATCTACATTCTAAAGCAGAATGGCTTAGCTGAGCCCACCTATATGCATGTTGAATGACAATCAACCTATAGACACACGAGTGCGTGTTGTAAGCCTAAGACTTTTGAGGGTAGTTTGTTAAGCAGCATTTGTGACAATAACTGATTGATTCAGAGCCCTTATATAAAGAATATTTTAACTTTTTCCAAATTAGAAATGCCTAATATTTTCTGACAAGGATTCTGTACACCTGACTATAGATAAATTTAAAAATAATGACTGCCATTTTAGGACTCTTACTAGGTTCCAGAGACCAGGTTAGTGTTTTGTACATGTTATCTTTACTGGTATTTCCTCAAAAAGCAATACAAAATAGTTATCTTATCTCCTAGTTTGTAGGTGAAGAAACTGAGGTTCAGAGAAGAGAGTCCTTTGTTTAAATACCTACAGTGTATGAATGATGTAAACTCAGCGTTTTTTGCTCTACAGCATAATGCAGTGGTGTGGGTCTCATGAATTAAAAACGATAAAATGGATCCATGAAATACAAGCTTGGATAGCAGTATTGTTTCTCAGCAGCCAGAAAAGCTTCCTTGAATTGTCCAGGTTTCCTTAAAATGATGATGATGATGATATATGCTATCAGAGTGCATGCAGAGGAATGATATATTTTATTCAGAATTAATCATTACCTTCTCTGAGTTTCCACAGCATACTGCTCATATTGCCACTAAGGTGAAGGTGCCTTGCATTAAATTGAGTTGTTTACACATACACTCAGCAGACTATGAGCTCCCTGAGTGGGGACAACCTGTCTCATGCCACTTTTGGACCTTACTGAACCTAGCACAGGGCCTGCTGTATGGGAGAACTTAGCAGTTCTCATTCCTATTCTCAAGGTACAGATCTTAGTTATTCAGCATCATTTGGATATAATGTAGGTATGCTTCTCTCTCTTTTTTTAAAGTATATATTTTTATTGATTTCAGAGAGGAAGGGAGAAGGAGAGAGATAGAAACATCAATAATGAGAATCACTGATCAAGAAAATAGAGATTCAAAGGAGTCACCATTTAGGGTCATTTGCAAGGTGAATGAGTAGAAGTCAGATGAAAACAGTAAGAAAAGAAAGAAGAATAAAGAGACAAGTTGGTCTCTTGGAAATTAAGAAAGCAGCCTTGGGTGTTCTGGCCCTCCTCGGGGCCAGGTGCTTCTGAATTTCTGTTCTCAGATTTTTTAGAATTATATTCCTCTATTTTCTTGATCTAATTTGAGTATATATTATTGAAGAGAACAAAGGTGTAGCAAGGACAAATTCCTTTCAATAGGACTTCTAGGTCTATTAGAGTCAAATTGGACTTCAAGGCAGATATTATTTTAATTGACTTCCCTGACTTCATCTTACTTTTCTGCTGGATTTTCCCTTTAATATACACAGGTGGGCAAAAGTAGGACTACAGTTACTTGTATGCAAAAATCCATGCAGATTATGATTATTACAATAGCTTTATTAACTCAAAAGACTGTCACAATTCAACTGTAAACCTCCTTTTGCCTACTCCTGTATTATATCTTGTTTTATTAGGCGCCTTTGTGTGCTGATTCAGAATCTTGTGGAACCAAAGCAGGTGTGTATAGATAAGTAAGTATATAAATAAATTAAATGTGTGATAGTATTGTTTTTGTCTCATACTAACTCAAGCTTAAGGTCAAAACCATAACCTGGGAATTTGAACATGTAGGGGTCCTTGGTAAAAGTGATTTTGCGTTATCATTTAATCATCAATGACTCTTAACACCTGCAGATTAATGTCCACATTTCTCAGTCAAGATTCTGTGATCTGACCCAACTCATCTTTCAAATTTTATCTCTTGATGTTTCTTTTCAAATGTCCTACAGTGTGGTTAAATTGAAAAACTCATGCTCCATATTTGTCTGCTCTCTCTCGCTCATGTTGTTTTGTTCTACTTTGTTCCCTTCTTTTAGTAAAATAATGTTTGAAATCTATCTTTCCCGTTTTGTTATAAATGCTACCTCTTCCATGAAGCCATCCTAAACATCTCTCTCTCTATCCTCCATTACCATCTCTTTCCTAATCTCAGATTATCAGAAGCAATCTCTGCTTTTTCTGAACTTCTTGTTTCCTGGCACTCACTACTTTAGATGTGCATTTCATTCATTCATGTATGTGAATCCCCCACTAAATTCTGAACTTTAGTGATCAGTCTTTTATACAGCAGGCATGTACATGCCTAACACATAGTAGGAGATGGACATACCTAAGAGGATGGTGAGGGGCTTTTCATTTTGTAAAGAAATTAGCCCATTACCATAATTCCATAGTACCTACTAAGTGAGATCCATATTGGTCCTTCAACTGTAAGCATGCAAACATACCCCCATACACACACAATTACCTATATACAGAGTATATCAAAGAAAACTAGAGATTATCAAGAGATTTTTAAAAGGGAATTTTTAGAAGGAGCAAGAACTGTGTTTTTCTTTCCTGCATCACCCTAACCCAAAGAAGTGAAGGTCATAAGAACCACCCTAAGAGAAATGGTTTTGAGGTTGAAATATCAGAGGGAAGGGAGAGGGGGCAGTAGTGACAGCAAGCTTTCTCGTTTACTGATAGGTAGCACAAGCAGAAGCTATAGGAATTAACCAAACTAGAGGTGTCTTGAGAAGAATCTGCCCAATGAGGCAGTAATCTGGGGCTAGAGGACACTGCAATAAAAAAAGGCTTTGTGGTATGTACCACTAGAAGGCAGTTGCTGAAAGGAATTCTGAGGAGTCAGAAGGAGAGAGCACCACTATGTCAAGCAGAGGTCTAGTCCAGACCAATCCACAGAAACTCTCTGAAGAACCCAAGAACTCACCCATGGGCCCCCTACACATTGCCTGAACTGAAGATGTCTGCCATGTCAGGAGACAACTACAGCACTCCCGCTTAAGTAAAAGTTCTTTGCTCCTGTTGCTCTCATATTCCCTGAAACAGATTTTGAATGTAGGTGAATAGAGACCATTGCAAGGAAAGCAGAGACCATGGCCTTCTCACCTACTGCTTGCTCCAAACCATAGGTCAGGCTTGATATAGGGAAAGCAAAGCTCTGAATTAGATGAAAACTCAAAATGTTAATCTATAATACCTAGGTGTTTTATAACTAAAGATGAGTTCATTTAATAACTGGAATTGACCAGAAATGATCTGCATATGGGATAACTGAGCTTATAGGGATGGGAAAGCAATAGTGCCTAAAGGCACAGGGTAAAAATAAAACAAAAATAGCTGTTTCTTGACTCCATTTCTCAGCTACACCTTGAGCCCAGCCCATGTACCAAACTAGCTACATGTTTGTTGAATAATATTTGGATAAAGTGCTGCCATTCTGATAGAACATCATGCTTCTGAACTATTACACTTCTGAGACTTTCTCCCACTGGCAACAATGATTCTGAGTCATTCCAAGTTTCCCACTGAGCCTACTCTGAGATGAGAGGCTAACTGGCCAACTGGCATGAAAATCAACAGGATATTGCCATGAGAAAAAGTAAAGTATACCCCCTGCCATGGGAGTCAAATTCATAACCAATATCATGAAATTAAATATGTAAGAGCTCAAAATAACTTACTCAGGGTCATCTGGCATTCTGAGGAAAGGCTAAGACTACCACCCAAAGGTTTGGATTTCTAATCAGTCTACTTGTATACAGTCAAATTCTCTTCAAGGGCTCACCAAATTAGCATCATTGCAAAAGAAGAAAAAGAATATAGAAGCACATGGTGATATTAATTTTGTAACAAGTGCTCATAGTATGTGGGGCATTGTATTATTTTACTTCACATGTATTCTTTTATCTGATTCTCACAACCCTATGAAGACAATTTCTATGAGGAAGTTATTTGTTTTATAAATAATTTGCCGAAGGTCACAGAGATAGGGAGCAGTGGAGGATGGCAATGGCCTTCACCTTCATGCTACTGACTGCTAGAATAGCTCTTGGAACTTCCTGGTGTTCTTTTTCCTTTATGGCGTCACTGATCATATTCATAAGTAACATGTAAATTATTTAAAAATATCCAACACTGCAAAGCAATATCATTAATTCAAAATTATCTAGTCATGTGAATGTTAATAACATCCTATATAATAAAAGCCCAGTGACTGAAAGGCGGAATGACCAGAACGACAGGTTGACCAGTCACTATGACTCGCACTGACCACCAGGGTGCAGACATTCAATGCAGGAGCTACCCCCTGGTGGTCAGTGTGCTACCACAGTGGGAGCATCACTTGGCTGACCAAGATGAGCCGCTGCTCCCACTGCGAACCCTGGGCTGATGGGCAGCAACCCGGGCTGTGATTGTAGCCTCCTCACCCCAGGCTCCTCTTACTTGCTCCCTGACGCTTCCTCCGGATGCCTGCACTGTTGCTGCCAGGCTCGCAGCGCTGACCCTGAAGACTGGGAAGTGGGTTCGTTCGTGGCTACCCTGGGACTGAGGCTTACTTCCCCACCTCTCAGTGCTATTGTCCCTGGGCCCAGCCCCAGCCGAGTTCCCTGAAGAGGCTAGTGCTCCCGCTCCACAAAGATGCCAGACCAGGGAGCAGCTGCTCAGAGGGTGGGTCCACAGATGCTCAGCTGACTGGGATGAGCGGGGCTCTCACAGTGGGCCAATCCCTGCAGGCCACACCCCTCACCAGTGCATGAATCCCGTGCACTGGGCCTCTAGTGTAGAAAATATTTCTATGGGCTATGAATAGACATTTCAATCCTAAGAATCAAAATTTATATTACTTACATCTCTGATACTGATAAATTTTGTCATTGTATTGATATAATAAATGACTTCAATATCAGTTCTATGCTTTAAGATTCAACATGAAATTCACAGTTATTAATATCCTGCCCTGCCTGATGTTTTACCTGTTATTTTTCAAAAAACTTTCATTGTTGAACAAGGGAAAAGAGATGACTGCATCATTCTTTTTCTTTCCTCTGTTCAGGCAGTCACCTTTCTCACTTATTGTTATATCGAACCTGAGTTCTTTGATAAGAAATACTGTATCAGTGTCATCTGCAAGGAAGGAAACGAGCAATAGCTGCTGTAAGCATACACCTTGCTTTTGAGAGAATTTCACGAGAATAAAATGCTAGCATTTGTTCTCACACATCAAAGACTAAGCAAGAATCTGGTTTCACGTCAACATGAAGCATAGCTGAATAATGGAAAGTGACCTTTGGGCTTTAAGGATTCGCTTTCTAGATTTCCTATACATTTTTCTATGCACCAGGCACAAACCTACAAAGAACTCAAAATACATTGACAATTTTATGAGGCTAAAACCTATTTGTTTTCAGGATATTTAATGTCATGTCTGAGGACTTTAAGCCTCAATTTTCCCTCAAAATGACTTTCAAAAAAATTCATAGGAAATGAGGTTTTTGTAGTTAAGATGCATCTTTTTCTGAAGCTCTTACTTGTGTGAACATGTCTAGAATGTCATAGATAAATACAAATAATATAGTTTATTTACTAAAGAGCTTACTTGTTAAACACACCATCAAGGTAATGGCTATATCTTGCACGATATACTGGTAATTCCCAAAGAGTTGCAGTTGCTGAAAAGGAAAGAAAAGTGGGTATGACTATTGCTTCTGCCATTTTAGCATTTTATCATTTCTAACACTTTTTGAAAATAGTCAAGAAACAACTGTTACTTTTCTCTCCTCCTTAGGAAGAAAGTGACTTACCTTAGGTTTATAGCATCTTATTGGAGAGAATGAAACCAGATCACTGTTTTCCCAGTGTTTTACCTAATTCCATATTAGCAATGGGGGTGTGCCAGTTGGGAAACACCCTCTTACTGGCCACAGTAGTTCTGGCACCTATAGTGTCAGCCTGAATGGTTGAATTTTTAACATAATATATTGAAGCCTAAAAGTTCCCTGGGAATTTCAAACTTAAAATTTAAAATCAAGGCCAAGAAATACTCAACAGGTTTCTCTCCATTTTTGTTCATAGCTTGAGTTTACACCATAGTGCTCTTGGGGGTTCATTCACTTTCCCAAATTGAACAAGTGCTCCTACCCCAAATAAGCCCACTGCAAACTTCAGTCTGGTACACCTGCCTTTCTGAGATTTAGATAGACACAGAGCTTCCTTTATGTTCACATGTATGGAGTTGAAGTATTTAAATAAGAGTCAACAGTCTCTAGGAACCTGCCTTGCAATATTCCTTCTGCAGCCAGGCAGGTCTGTTTATCTGCTACACAGCTATTGAATGAGCACTAAATTATAATCTGACTCTGACTACTTTACAGACCAGATATATGCAAATGAAAAACATTTCTGGCCTCTTACAGGGTGAAAAGGCCCAGAAGTTTCCAGGTGCAGGTCCTTGGGGGACCTTCTAATTTAGGTCTAGACCATCAGAGTGGATGGCTTCTGCATGGACTAGGGTTCCAACTCTATCCATGAGACTTGGGGACTGAGGTTCTGCTTTCCTATTTTTGAGAGGATGAAAATGGTTCATCAGTGTCCCTCTCATCCTATAATTCTTCTTCTGTCTCCTTTGCCCTTCTCATATCTTTTGCCCTTATTTTCTGCTCAGAATGGTAAAATGATATATATGCAGGGTGAGATGAAATAGGGAGGAATTTTTAAAAGCAGTTTCAGTTTTTATTCTAGGAGCAGCTTATATAGAATTACAGAGGGCTTTGGGAAGCAGCCAGCCTTAACTTTCCAGAGGCAGATAAAGGCTTGGCAAAGGACAAGATCTAATTTGTTCTTAGTAATAGAGGAAAAACTTGAATCTAGACTTCCTGACTCCTAAGCCAGGTCTTGTTTTTATGCACCCAGTTGCCCCTTAGCCCTCTGTGTATGTGATCCTTGCTAGTAGTGGATGCTGGAGTCCTATGGCCCTTTCATTCACCTCTCAGATGTCTCAGAAAAACAGCAGACTAATTCCCTACCTGAAGTGGTTCCTGAACCTGTTGCCTCATTTTACTTTAGAGCAAGTTATGACTGAACTAATGAAGTGTACTTTCAACCTGAACATATTTCTTCCATACAGCTAATTAATTCTTTTTTTTTTTTAAATATATTTTATTGATTTTTCACAGAGAGGAAGGGAGAGAGATAGAAAGTTAGAAACATCAATGAGAGAGAAACATCGATCAGCTGCCTCCTGCACATCTCCCACTGGGGATGTGCCCGCAACCCAGGTACATGCCCTTGACCGGAATCGAACCTGGGACCTTTCAGTCCGCAGGCTGACGCTCTATCCACTGAGCCAAACCGGTTTCGGCCTAATTAATTCTTAAGTGTTTATTTTTATCATTTAATTTAGAATGTCATTTTTTAAAGAATTGCTCATCTTTTACTAATGGCACATCTAAATGTGTAATTTCTGGTCAGGTTCAGAAACAAAGTTTGGGCATGGAAGTTTTTCTAGCCTTTGAATCTTTCAAAGTCAAATTCAACAACTTCTCTTTCTTTTGATCTCAGTCTTTTGCCAAAAATATTCCACAGTTGGTGACTGATCCATTTCCTGCTGAGTTATATGTAGGCTGCTCTGAAGCTTTCTTCATTATCCACGGGAAGAAATAGAGGCTTGAAGAGGTCAAGTGTCTTGAGAAAAACAACACTCCTGCAAAACGGAGCCACATCTCTTTATTTCTAGCTCCATGTTTCATGCACAGCTATGCTAAGTTCCCAGTTTATAGAGATCTATTTTGAGAATTGTCATTTATTTATAAAACATTAAATCCTGTGTAGGAGCTGCACCCCATCAAGAATAAACCAGGGATGTAAATGCAATTAGAACTAGAAAAAATTATTTTGGTTCATACCCAATAGAGCAGTGATGCACCAATAAACTGGATTATTCCATACATGGTCAAGTATTTAAATACCCCAAAGGATGAAACCAGAGCAGCACGGCCTTCTCTGTTTAAGAAAAAATAAGAATACCGATTATGCATGATACACATCTCCCATTCTCCTTTATATTTCAAAAGGAGTTTAATTTTTAATAGCTATTGACATACATTCACTTAACCACTGATTCACCCTCTCAACTATTTCAACTATTTATTTAATTACTCACTCATTCATTCTCTCCTTTCATCATTACCTCACTCATTAATTTATAAACTCACCTTTACTTAGAGTTTATGAGGTACCAGAATTATGCTAAAAGTCATAGAGGATATCAATGAATCAGGCTCAGTCTGTATTTTCAACAAGCTTTCAGTGAATTAGGTAGATTAACATGTACATTATAAATACAATACATTATGATACGGTGAAAAATGTCAAGCATTGACTTGACTGTGACTCATGGCACCCGAACAACACTTGCTTCCTGAGGACTGAACAGTGTGTGCCTCAGAGTCCCTTAGAGATATAGAGCTAAAGTACTGGTGCTCTCGCATTTTAGGAAGTGTGGACGGGACTCCAATATTTGAAACAAAATAGGTTTTGTTGGTTTCAATACACCACGAAGAACCCAGGGTAATAATCTGAGCTGGTGTGAAGATCAAAAGAGATAAAGACAAAGTAAAAATTGCAGCTTAAAAAGTAAATATTTCTCCCCTTAAAAAATTCTGCTTGTGCCCTAACCGGTTTGGCTCAGTGGATAAAGTGTTGGCCTGCAAAAAAAAAAAAAAAAAAAAAAAAAAAAAAAAAAAGTGTCGGCCTGCAGACTGAAGGGTCCCAGGTTCGATTCCAGTCAAGGGCATGTACCTTGGTTGTGGTCACGTCCCCAGTAGGGGGTGTGCAGGAGGCAGCTGATCGATGTTTCTCTCTCATCGATGTTTCTACCTCTCTATCCTTCTCCCTTCCTCTCTGTAAAAACTCAATAAAAAATATATTTAAAAAAAGAATAAATCCCTTAGGTGCCTGGCAACCTAATAAGCTTGCTATTTATATATATAAAAAAAATTCTGCTTGAAAAAAAAAATTCTGCTTGAGCCATTGCTCCTTTAACTGAGGCTTGGTAGGGTGATGGATTATAACAGGCTAAAGAAAACAAGGTGAGGCAATTGTGCAATAGGGGTGTGGGAACTTGGGAAACAATCCTTCCTGCATCCTCCTCTTGTTTAGGCAGAAGCCAGTCCACAAGTGAGGCAGCCCACATCCTCTTTGTTTCCAGATCCCAGTGACAGGGACACCTACACTGCTCAGAGACTGTCAACAGAACAGGGACAAGGGATGGAAAACCTAAAAGCTAAATAATAACCACATTGCCTCAGGCAAATGAGAAAGGCCAGGAGGGAGCTGGGCCAAGATGCTGTGGGCCACTATCTTCCTCCAGGCTATGAGGCACCACCATTTGTTTTCAGCACAGTGAGTGGGGCAGAAGACAAGCTGAGAAGGGGCAAGCATGTGAAGCCTGGATCATCTTCTGATATAAATTTTGTGATTCCATCCTTTATTTTCTGTAATTGTGTATATTTAAAAAAAAAAATAAGATTCAGACTCAAAGGAAAGTGCAAAAAAACATGGCAAGTAAAGAATAAAGGGTGTTTGCATGTACCTCCAGAATTACTGCTATTCCTAATCAGCATGAATCTTAAGCAGCTCATTCATTTATTTATGCATTCCATAAACAGTAATGAATGCTCTGATGCATCCAGCGTAGTGTGAGGCACAATGATAAGAAATGAATAAGGTAAAGGACTTGAACTACAACAGTGTTTCAAAAGGAAAAAATGAAAACCCATGGATCTGGACTTATGCATCTAAAACTGTACCTCATGTCCCTCTAGAGCCGTGGTCGGCAAACTGCGGCTCGCGAGCCACATGAGGCTCTTTGGCCCCTTGAGTGTGGCTCTTCCACAAAATACCATGTGCGGGCGCGCACGTACAGTGCGATTGAAACTTCGTGGCCCATGCGCAGAAGTCGGTATTTTGTGGAAGAGCCACACTGAAGGGGCCAAAGAGCCGCATGTGGCTCACAAGCCGCGGTTTGCCGAGCCGCAGTTTGCCGACCACTGCTTTAGAGGATGTTTGCTCCGGAATAAGCATGCATCAAGGAGAGCGAGGGTACAATGAGCCTAACAGAGCTGAACCACATCTAATTTTTATAAATCTATGAAATACAGAAGCAAAGAGTTTCTACCCTGAAGTCTTACTAAGCCATCTGCCACTAGAGAAATCATGCATCCTGACTTGTAATTTAAAACAGTATATTGCATTCATAAATGCATCAGGCCACATGCATAAGAAAGGACACCTGAAGTTCAAATACCACTGCCTTTTGGTGGACCAACCAGGCACCTTGTGCAAGCACCCTGGAGTTTCAACTCCCTATGCAAGGTTTCCACACCTGGTGCCCCAGCTTCACCTCCACAAGTCCCACATGAGAATCCTCACAGCACAATTGGACTATTGGGGCCCTGCACTCTCCCATTAAAACCCTATTCCTAAATATGGCTCTCCATTCCCCCACCTGGAATCCCCTCCCAGCTACTTTCTGTTCACAGATATCCTGTCCATCCTTTAAGTTGCAGCTCTCCTGCTGATGCCTTCCCTCTGGCTAGAGCTATCATACTAAACTGCTAGGAAAGTTACTGTATTGTTGGATGTTAATTTATTTAAAACAAATTTATTTGAGCACCTCTCATTTATCATGCAGAAGTTCCTCTGTTTTGTGATGATATCTCCATCTATCTATATTCTTCACTGGGATGTAAGTCCTCCAGGGCAAGGTTCTGTCTCATTCTTAATCCCACATATTTCCAAACACAATATTTAAAAAGAGCTCCAGGAGCTGTGTTGATGATGGACAGCTTGAATGAGGGCAAGGGTCCTGAGCATTCTCGTTTTGTAGTTGCCATGACATCAATGAGTGAGGCACTAGAGGTAGCAAGAAAAAGGCTTGGAGAGAGTCTCCAAAAGCAGTGAAACATGATGCCAGGTTGGCTAGGAGTGGAGAAGAAGAAAGAGTAGAAGGAACTCTGAGCTTCTGAGCCTGGATGAGGCCATCTAAGAACCAAATTGTCCTCAGAAGCAGGGAACCTGGGAGTTAGGAAGAGGAGGCAGGGGAGGATGATGTTTGAGACTGTGGAAGAACACAGTTGCAGCAACCCAGTTTCTAGCTGTCTTCCTGACAGGGGCATGGAATTTCTAGCCTGGAGCCTTTAGGTGAGTGATTCCTGCCAGCAGCTGCCTATTCAGATGGACCAAGGGACACGGCAGAGAACTTCCTGGGGCATATCTCAAGATTTGATGATGTCTTCAAGGCTATTGATCTGAAAGTTACCTAAAGTTACCCCGCAACAGAAGAATAAGACTTATGTACAAATATAGAACCTATTGTATTATTCTTAACTACATTTAAAATATGAGTAAAGACATTGGAAATGAGCGGAGGCAAGGGAAAATAAACCATTTTTCATTCCTTCCCCTCCCTAACTATTGCCAATCAATTGTAAAAGTATTTTATGAAATCATTTTGGATGTTCATTAATTTTTTGGGGGGGACATAACACTATTTGGGGAAGCTATCTGATGGAATGTTCCCTTTCTGCTTCCTCACCCTGTCAACTGCTGAGAGAAAGGTTCCAGTAAGCTCCCAATGTACAACATAAAGGAAAGGAGAAATAAGAAAAGCAATTACTTTTTAAATACCAACTCTAGCTTTCAGCTCTCCACATGACACAGCCATTTATCCTTTAAGGCTCAGCCAAAGTCACCTTTTTGTGGCTTTTACCAGCATTCTCAAGCAGCACTAACAGCTCCCTTGCTTGGTACTCCAATAGCACTTTACCCATATGTCTCTTGTGACAATTATCACTAAGTTATAGTTGAATTCTGCCTAGAGCCAGACTCTGAGCCCATCAGTCATGGGGGTCCAAAAGGAAGAAGTGGCTTACTTGATGAGATGAGGCACACACTCGATGTTGGCTGTTTTTGAGGTGAAAGGTGAGGCTACAGATGCCTCCTGCTCTGACAAGGAAATACCCGCATGAGCCATTTTCAAAGCCTGGAATGACAAATCCGTGTTACACCAATGACTCCTCAGGCCAGGCTTTAACCACTTAAACACCATGAGGCTATTCTTAACATTATACAGTTTATAACTTTGCACATTTCCACCCCTAGATTTCTGATTATGTTGTCCCTTCCCCTGGGATATCCTTTCTCCCCTGATCTACTAACTCACCAACTAAAGAGATGCCAATTAAACAATGATTCAGAGGAAGAAGAATGGAGTGTGTGTGTGTGTGTGTGTGTGTGCACACGCACGCACATGTATGTGTATATATGTCTCTGTATTGGTTGTGGAATATAGACATCCTATATAATAAAAGGCTAATATGCAAATTGTCCCCTTGACCAGGAGTTTGGGAGTTCAACTGGGAGTTCGACCAGGGGGTGGGGCGGGCCGGCCAACTGCCCATGCCAGCCCGGCCCAATTGGCTGATTGGGGCAGGTTGGCTGGACCCATCTGTGCACGACTTTGTGCACCAGGCCCCTAGTAATAAGTAAATAGGAGTAGTCATTCAATAATCTATTTAAAAAATGACAGCATTTGGATAGACATTTATTATCACAGTTCTTACACTTAACAGGTCATCTTGATGATCAATAGGAAAATAAATCCAAACCCCACCATTCCCTAAGCTTCCTGACCCAGCCAACCAGCTAACTGCTAGAATAAAATATGGGGCATATAGCATCTTCCCTGGACACAGGAACTAGATCACACTCATCAATGACTCATACCAGTACATGTGTTGCCTCATTGAAATGAAGACTAATTCATTTCTCATCAAGACTGAAAACTGTTCACAGAAACAGACTCAGAGACACAGAGAAAAAACTGATGGTTGCCAAGATGGGAGGAGGGCTGGAGAGCTGGGTGAAAATGGTAAAGGGATTAAGATGTAGAAATTGGTAGCTACAAAATAGTCATAAGGATGTAAAGTACAGCATAGAAAATATAATCAATAATATTGCAATAACTAGATATGGTGTCAGATAGGTGCTAGAATTATTAGAATTATTAGGGGGATCACTTAGTAAATTATATAAAAGTCTAATCACTGGGTTGTGCACCTGAAACTAACCTGAAAATAATATTGAATGCCAACTCAGATTTAAAAATAAGAAAAGAAAGATTGTATTTCTAAGAGTAATTATAAACATATCAAATGAAAATACTTAAAGAAAAAAAAAGACTGAGCCCTGGCCAGGTGGCTCAGTTGATTGGAGTGTCCTCTCATACAACAAAAAGTTTGGTTCCTGGTCAAGGCACTTAACTAGGATGTGGGTTCAATCTCTGGTCAGGGGACATGGAGGAGCCAACTGGTCAATGTTTCTCTCATCAATGTTTATTTCTCTCTCTCTCCCTTCCCTTCTCTCTAAAAATCAATAAACATATCCTTGGGTGAGGATAATAATAGTAACAATAATAATTTTTAGAAGTCTAGAACTTTTCAGAAAGTGCACAGAGCAGTGACCAATAAGGAGGCCAGAAAGCCCTTGATCCTACAGGAATGTGTGGGCATAAAGCAAGATTGTGTATTTTTGCTGCCCTGTAGAACTGCAAAGTACCTGGATACTGTAACCGGTGCATACTAAATTCATGGTCAACAAATATTAAAATATTTCCTTCTTCCTCTCTGCTCTCTGAGTATTTTGCAGCTCTATCATATAATTTAGTACCATCTCCTTTATGTTAGGGTTATTTTTATGCATGATTCTTTCTCCCAGCAGACAATTAACTCTTTAGGGGCAGACACTGTATCCCTTTTAGCACTTGATTTCATTGTTTTGTCCTAAACTCCACATAATTAATAAGACTAGGCACTCATTTTAAATTTTGAAGAGTGGATTAAATACTAGTTTCTCATGAAGTATAAGGCAGGAAAATTCATAATAGTTCTCTAATTATGAACAAGGTTTTACACAGAACTTTGAATAAAATACTTAAGAGAGAAGTAAAAGAAATACCCAGATATTAAGTATCTAATAGGCTTTGAAAATACAAAGCAATCCTCTTCACTTCTTGTCCCACACATTGGCTACTAAAATATGTTCTTGTGTGCATAAATCTTCAAAGTAGAGTATTACTTCAACCATATCTTTAAAACTAATATTATAAAACATGTACTGCCTTCTATTGTGTATAAGAAGTAGTCTGCTGAGAATCATTAAATTTAGGTTTTGTTATCGTATCGTGTGTAACAACTGAATAGTTTGTTCTAAAAACACACAGAAATTGCTAAATATTTTGCTTATCTTGGTTCAGTCATCAATTTATATGAAGACTGAAGCCAATAAATCAAGAGAAGGATGAGACTTGGATGGGCTGCAACAGAAGAATTGGGAAAGATTACTAAGAGCAAAGATGTGTTATTGGAGACCAAGGTTAGGATCATCCATATCCTCATGTGCCCAGTTACCATGTTCAGATACAAAAGTTGGGCAGTGAGCAGGGCTGGTAAGAAAAAAGTGGATTCATTTGAAATATGGTGTTGGAGGAAAGCTCTACAGATACCCTGGACTGCCTGAAAGATGAACAAATGGAGCACATTAAGCCTGAAACAATGCTGAAGGCAAAAATGACAAAACCAAAGCTGTCCCATTTCAGGCACATCATGAGAAGGCAAGGCTCTTTGGAAAAGACAATAACGTTGGGGGAAATAGAAAGCAGCAGGGAGAGAGGAAGACAAATATGAGATGAATTGACCCCATAAGAGCAGCCCTAAGCATGACTGCACAGGAGCTGAGCAGGGCTACCGAGGACAGGACATTATAGACATCACATATTCATAGGGTCACCCAGAGTCAGAGCTGACTCAACAGCAGGAAACACACACGATTTCATTGAGTGTAAAAATTTGGAGGTAAAGTCAACTTTGAAAAACTAACCCTGAAATAGAAGTTTGGCACAGAGGATGAGGATGAGAGCGGCAGGATGAGAAAATAATGCAATTTGCACATAATTCAAAATCTTTAATCATTAGTTTCAAACTTTTCCTCCACTGAGGATTTACCAACTGTGTGACTTCGGCTAAAAAAAGAATTCACTTCCCTGGACTCATTTTCTTATTGATAACATGAGAGATTTAAACCAGCTAGTCTTGTAATATCCCTCTGTCTTAAATCGGGAAATCACAAATAATCAAGTGATTGTGGCAGAAGGGTGAAGAGACAGACCCCAGGGGACTGTGTGGTTTTTAAGGGGGGTATTAGTAAACTGCCTGCATTAGCATAAGTACTTTATACTCACCCCACAGTCATTGGCTCCATCTCCACACATGCCCACATAATAACTGCAGCGGAAAGTAAGAAAAATTAATAACAATGCTTCACTTGAATAATTTCTATCAGAGTTAACTCAAATGTGATGTGTGTCTGTGAGAGATAGAGGAAGAGAGAGAAAGTCCTGAAGACATGTGGAATCAGGCTTCAGGAAAATAGGAAAAATAGTTCCAGAGGAATGAGGCCATTGTATTAATTAAATTGTTTCAATCAACCATATGGAAGTGGTAGTGATATTGCAGGGATGTCTACAAAGATCATCACATACTTCAAAAGAAGCCCTGCTTTATTATAATCACCAAGGTGAAGTTTAAGGGTGCATAGTCATAATCATAGCACTTGCCACAGAACCTCATGCATAGATCATGATCTAATCCATCCGTGTTTTGGTTGCTAACTGCTGCTGAGAGTTTGGAGTGAGAGCAGCAGGATGAGAAACATTTGGGAAATAGTATTACAGATATAACTGGAGCTAGATACACATACTCTTGAAGCATCTTAGATGAAAATGAAATAATATGCTCCCATTATACCACCTTGGTGTGCAAACACAATGATATAAAATAAAAGAGTAAATATTAAAGCTGTTGCTAAAGAAAAAGGAATTTCTGATTCAAGACATACTCTGTCTTCTATTATAAATAAACTAGAGGTTTGGTGCACAAATTCATGCACCAGTGGGGTCTCTCGGCCTGGCCTGCAGGATAGAGCTGAAACTAGCTCTATGATGCACACTGACCACCAGGGGGCAGATGCTCAACACAGGAGCTGCTGTGATGTACACTTGCCATTTACAGAGAAACAGCAGTACGGACCTGGCCAACAAAGCAACACTTGGCTTCCCCCAAGTGGGACACAGGCCCCGCCACCACCCCAGAGCAACAGCCCACCAAATTGCAGCTACCGCTGCCAAGACCCATGGCCAGCCTGGAAACAGGTCACTGTGGGCTCCAGGTAATGACTTCATCTAACAAAACCTGGCTTCTTCTCCCTAGTGACTAGCCTCCCTGGAATTTCTTCAGCCCAGGAACATGACTTGCTTTATAGCCAGGTGGAAACATCTTACACTTTAACCAAATGTCTATGAAGCATTTTCCTGTGCCTCATTTCATTTGATCCTCACCGAAGTCCTGGAGTAGGTAGATAGGAGACTTGGCAGAATTCTATTTTATTTTCATTAGCCAGAAAACAGAGATTTAGAAAGCTTAGAAACTTGACCTGACTGAAAAGAAGTAAGAAATGGTGGACCTTGAAAATGACTTCGGGTTTTCTCACTGTGCAGAATATAGTCAAACACTGCTGCAGTTAAATATTTTACCCTTTGTTCTCCCTGTGTGATTTACAATAATAATCTCCTTTGTGTTGATATTTACTGCTGTGTTGCTGACAATTACCAGAAAGAGAAGTTGGGGTGTTTCACTGGGCTGGAAAAAGTTTAGCTAAGTCAGAAAGCAGGTCTAATTAAGCAAGCTTATTCTATATCTATAAAAGGCAAGTTGACTTTCGCATGTGCGATACATATAAAGCTCTTGCTGGCACCAATTGCATGCGTGTGTTTCTATCTGTCATTGTCAACCGTGAATTTGGTTGACACTTCTATTATAGAGAAAGGGCGAATAGCAATATTAAAAGATTTCTTCTCATTAATTTCCTTTCAATGTTCATGAATTCTAGCATTGGGCCACTAGTATTATATAATGGCCATGTAAGTGAAATAATCATTTTAGACACTGGTTACTAACCCAGACTCAAGGCATTATGGGAGCTAATGAGCAGTTTTTGAAACTCCTCCAAGAATGTGGGCAACAAAAAATAATAGTAAAAGCAGTCTCCTGATTTTACTATTAAAATATTTAAATATTTTAATAATATTAAATTTAATATTTTAATATTAAAATATTTAAATATTTAAACTATTTAAATATTTATCAGTATTTATTTAAAATTTCACTATTCTCTATTCCTTTTCACTTTCAGAAATCCATAGCCCAGAAATTGTAACATTCCCAGGAAGTAATAGTTAGGTTTGGACTCAAGAAGAACCATTTCATTCTGATGTGACATGGTCATCCTTATTTTTAATAAATAAGAAAGGACTTTCTTTTCTTTTTTATTTTGGCCTCTACACCCACTCCCTGCCAGGGCCAGATACAGTGAGAATATCTTTCACCTATTTCAAGGAAGATCTGAAATCATTCATGTATCTTCTAATGAACCCACCTCAAATAATTCCAGGTGAGAACTCATATGCTTCCTCATTTTTCCCCCATTCTGAGCTATAGAAGCCCTTCCTGTTTGTATTCTCTATATCCAAGCAGGCAATCTTCCTCTAAGATATGCCTTGTGGGCCACAGAACAAATGTTCTCTGGGACAGTGAACTTCTGAAATGTCCCTCAGGGATCCCCACCTCCTGGTACTTGGGGTATTGGGTAATGCTCTTCCTTGAGTGTGGCTAGACCTAGTGAGTTGCTTCAAATGAAGGGAATATAGTGAAAATTATGGGATGTCATTTCTGAGATAGAGATATAAAAAATGTTGATCTCTCTCTCTCTCTCTCTCTCTCTCTCTCTCTCTCTTTCTTTCTTCTTCCTTGCTCACTCTTATGGAAGCCAGTGACCACATTGTGAGCTTCCTTGTAAAATGATTAATGTAGCAAGGAACTGAGGGTGGCATTTGTCCAACAGCCAATGAAAACAGAGACTCAGCCCAACCAGCCTCAAGGAACTGAATCCTACCAACAACATGTGAGTTAGGCTGGTGGCAGATCCTTCTCCCTTAAGTGCTGAGATGTCTGCAGTTCTGATGGACACCTGATTAGAGCCTTGTGAGAGACCTGGAGCCAGACATAGCGTCATCTGAGCACACGTGGATGCCCGATCCACAGAACTTCAAAATAATAAATAGCATCATTCTAAGTTTTGGTGTAATTTGTTACACAGTAGATAATGAATACACTATCCTTTCATGCAATAACACCTACTTTAATTTCTGAAATTCTTCAACAAGGCTTGATTTTTGCCCAGGAGACATTCTTGCAAAAATGGTTCCATTCACCAGAATCTAAAGAGAAAAACAACTTTTGCAATAAGCTTAGAAAGAAGAACACTTCCACAGAAAAGGACAGCCCTGAAAAATCATTTCTGGCCACTGTTTGAATATAGCATTGGGTCGTGGTCATTAGACTAAATGTCAGGAAAGGGAATAAGGGGATTTAATGCTTTAATATGTAACTTTCATTCTCAGTCCTCCATCACAACTCTATTAATTCTTTCCAGGCCATTTTTCCCAGATGGGTTAACCTCTAATTAATAATAATAACTAAGAAGCAACAGAGTGCTTAAGGAAATATAGGGTCTCTGTGTTTTTTTTCTGAACTCTGTCTCCACACTTGTAGCATAGACAGAGAAAGGAGCAATAAATCTAGAGTTGAGAAATAAGCTTCTATTCTCAGCTCTGTCCCAATTAGTTGCACAAACCATCAACAAGCGACTTAACCTCTCTGAGTCTCAGCCTTCCCATCTGCACAAGGAGGAATTGGACTGAGAGCTTTTTGGAGGCCTTTGGGGACTAGATTCTATGGTCCTGGACTGGGAAGATGACAGAATTTCAAGACATGGAGAACAGATGGCTGCTGCCCTGGGCTTGTGTGCCACTTATCTCCTTCACACTGACAGCACAGCCCTGCACAGCACTATTTTAAAATAGACACACACACAGGACAAGATAACAAATGATTTTGAAAATAAACCATGGGCTTTTGTTTCCTCCTGTTGTAATTCAAGAATCCAGGCAGGAAGAGGAATAGAGTTCATCATGACATGAGTTGGTAGCTTTCAGAGAGAAGCTGACCCACAAAATAGGAATGTGTCTGGAACTATCCAGAGGGTCTCCTTGCTGGGGAAGGAGAGAGGAGGGAAGCTGGGATTGGACTGGCCACGGGGCGAGAGGCTATACCAGAACTCAAAACACCAAGAGGAGGTCATGAGCATGTGCAGGACTGGGTGGATGTGGGCAGGGCCAGGAAACTTCGGTGCCCCTTTGGGGACCTTTAGTCTCTAGCTCTGAGACAATCTCAGTGATGTCACCTTCACTACTCTATTCCCTTTTTATGCCTCACTCATTTGAGGAGGAAAACAAAACACTTCATGTTTCCAGTACTCACTTTTGGAAGCAAGCTGCTGAAATGCTGAAATAGCACTTTGTATGATTTCCCACTCATTGCAAAATGATAACGGTTCCCTTGTTCTTCAGGAAGCACTGAACTGTTTCCAATGTTAATGTAGGTTTCCTAAAATCAAAAGGCATCATTTCCATGTGAGCTCTTAAAGGATACCTCTGTTTTCCTATGTTTTCTGGAAGGAAGTATATTCATGTTTCATAACTATGTGAGGCTCGGCAAACACTTAATGTATGACTTGCCCATGGAACTTATACTTCTATGGCGAAAACCCTCAGAATGTCTCCCAAAATAATATATGAACATGAAATACTTTGACAACATGATGTTCTGGATCCTATCCTGGGAGATAATATGTGTGATGTCATTTTACCTAGGAAATCATTCTGAGGTACCAGTCAGTGATTCTAAGAAGAACAGGAAGGTTCTTCTCTCCTCTTCCTTCTTCCCATCTTGCAACCTTTTATTTCTTAAGATAACTTATGATTCATTCCTTCAAAAATAATTTTACACTCTACACTGTAAAGTTCTTCTTTTAGCCCCTGACTTCTCCCCACCAAGGAAGGTGCCCGGATCTTCCACACCTTATGTTCCACTGCAAAAGCACGACTCCTTTTCTGAAAGCCTTTCCCCCTGTCTTTCACCTGTCAATGTCCCCCACCCCCCACTGCATTCCAGTCCCACAAGAGAGCATCTGATGAATGCGCATGCACACCTCATGCCAATAGGTGATAATGGTTTTTCATGTGACATTTCTCAGAGGGCCTTACATTTACATAGGTCTCTAACATTCAAATAATATAAAAGGTGAGAAAATTTTATTCATTAGAGGTATCTATCTTAGGGAAGACATTGTACTTGGAAGACAAAAACATTTGATGTGCCAAATTGGAAGGCAAAGTGCAACCCTTTACAACCCCCATTAGGAACCAGCCAACAGAAAGCCATGCTCTGAAGCATACCACTGGAGGCAAGGACAGGACTCCTTCTGCTTTTACTAGAGTGTGGGGAGAGGAAGTGTGTTGATGGGGAGCCAGGGAGAGGAGGAAAACCGAGGCTGTGATGTGACTTCTTCCAGCAATGACCAAAACAAAGGGGTAGCGTGAGTGGGCTGTTTGTTAAAAATTAGTGAGGACCTGAGTATCGTCACACAGTGAAACTGAGGCAATAAAAATTGATGTAGAACTCTGCTGAAAGCATAGAGGAAGCTGCCATCTTCCACAGCCCATGCAATGTTGTCATCTTCACACAGCAGGGGCAGGACCGCTCTGTACAGTGGTGCAATTTGTCTACTGAACAAGGGCCTTCTCTACACTTAACAATCCAAAAGGCTGGTCAGCCTAGAAGAAGAGAGCATCCTTGTAATTTATCACCTGGGGGGCCATCTCTCTGAATTTACACAAAGAAAGGTGGTGCATTTAGTGATGGGATGGCAGGCTGCAACCATTTCCTTCACATGAAAAAGCTGTTCTGTCACAGGTACACAGGGACCTTACTCTTGAGAGAAGCCGACACCTGCCACCTACATGTCAAAGGTACAGAACAATCTAAATGCCCATGATTTGGGTGGAATCAAACAGACCCAAATTTGATATTCTGCTCTGAAACTGGCTAGTTGTATGTCTTGGACAAGCTTACCTCCCTAGGCCTCAGTTTTCTCAGTTGTAAAATGAATAGTTTACTCAATTGTAGGGTAACTGTGAGTATTAAGTGGGAATTATGGGTGTAAATTGGTGATTCTCAACCATGACTGAACATTGGAAACACCAGAAGGAAGGGCTGATGCCAGCTCCCAGGCCAGAGGTTCTGATTTAATCAGTAGAGCCTTGGCACTGGCCGCTTAATCATCCTCCAGGTTATGTCTACATCTAGCTGGTGCTGAGAAGTGCTGGTGGAAATGCTAAATGCTTTGCAAACTGTAAAGCTCTGGACAGATGTGAGGATTATTACGGTGGTAACTTGTGATGCCAAGAGAAGGCTGCCCAGGGCCAGCACTGTATCTATCAGCTCAGGCCACAGAGGGGCCTTTTAGAGTTTGCTCACATTCTGCCCAGGTCCATTCTCTTGGTTTTCAACCAGCTGCCAGGTCACAGAGGCAGGAACAAACTCTTCTGGTTCATTGGCCTCAACGAGGATCACTTGGTTCCCTTGAGGAATCATTTCGGAGTTTTTTGCAACAGTAATGGCTGTTTGCAGGTTGTCACCTAGATGACAAAGAAAGTCAGTTTGCTTTATGTATAAACCTCTCAGCAATCAGAATTGAGCTCCTCCTCTCCTGAGTGTCCATACTACTTTGTTGGTGTTCTTTGTCAGCATTTATTGCTTTCCACCTTATTTTATCATCATTTATCTTCCATTCTGCCTCAGTCTGTCTGCCCCTAGTGGTCAACTTCTGTCTGCATTTCCTTCCCACCATAGTTAGCATTCTGGTATTCTGAATATTGCATATTTCCAAAAAATGCACAATGAATAAATAAGTGGTGGTCAATTTATGACTAATCCCAGGAGACTGACAGCTCTTAGTGGTGGGGTAACATGGTCCAATCTGACAGCATAAAACCATCCTTGGGATCTGGATTCCAGTTAAGCAGAGAAAAGAACACTTAGTGCTGGGCCATGCTTCAATTTGATTATCAGGTGCCACGCCTATCACCACTGCCTTGAAGGACAGTCCAGCCAAGTCTTACACCCTTTACAAGGAGATCTATTGGGGGGGTTATTGATGAAAACACATTCTTGTGTTTAAGCATTTATTGTGAATCCCTTAGCAGTACACTGATTTTGGTAGAAAGAGTAGGCATTAGACAAAGAAAAGAAGATATAGTAATTGCCTCCAAAACTCACGGTGGTGTTGGGGGAGCTACACATGTTTCCAGGTAACTGTACTACGGGGTGACAAACTTGACAGCAAAGCATCTTTCTTTCTGCCTCAGTCATATGAACTCAGTTCACACAGTATTTTTCTTATGCCCAGGAGACATTCAGCTTATCAGGTCTCCAGACACACATACCGGTAATCATCACAGTCCTGATGCAGGCCTCTCTCAGTTCCTTCAAGACAGGTTTGGTTTCCTTTTTCAAGCGATTCTCCATTATAAGAAGTCCCAGAAATGTTAACTCTGACTCCACCTTCTCTCTATGGATTCAGGAGAAAGTGAATATTAAGGCTTATTTATATAGCCTCAAGAGTTGGATTTATTTCTTGTTTTTAAAATTTCTAAGTTTTATCAATGTACTATGTGCTCATCTATATATATAAAAGGCTAATATGCAGAGTGTCCCCTCGGGAGTTCGACCGGTAGACCGGGAGTTCGATTGCTTGCTATGATGTGCGCTGACCACCAGGCCCCGTCCAGCAGCCAGCAGCTGGGGAAGGAAGGCCCCAGCTGGCAGCCGGAAGACCCCAATCAACCCTGATCGCTGGCCAGGCCTAGGGACCCTACCCATGCACAGATTTCATGCACCAGGCCTCTAGTGTTTAATAATTCAAAAAGAACCCAAAAAACTTATAATGAAAACCAAAAGACCATGTTTTCACACTGCCCTTCTACTTCTCAGAAGCAACAACCACTTTTATATCTTATAGCTGCCTTTAGTTTTCAACTCCATTTTTTTTTTTTTTTTTTTTTTTTTTTTTTTGCAGTGAGATCATAACGATTTATTGGCTGTATTAGCTCAATGATCATTTCAATACATCGCCTACATTTTGTAGTGTGAAATTCATTTATAACAGAGGAATAATTTAATTCTGAAGCCAAATGAACTGCTCTTTGCCTTCATGCAAAGTCACCCACTTTTGATTTTTTTTTTTTTTTTTTGCATAACTTAATTCAATTTTTCTGCTCTTGTCACATTTTCTCCAGCTCCTCCACACTTTTTTTTCTGGGTGGTTATAATGTTATTATCTTATTATTGGTCACTAACCAGGGATAATTCACTTTTCCAATTGATCTATGCTGCTCATAAAATGCCAAATCAACTGGAAGCCCCGGAAGCCAGTGATTAGTGAGTTCTGAAAGCCAATGTAGACAGAAAACTGTGTGCGATGGGCAGGGGACCAGGAGTTGATGACCTTCCACGTGTCGAATTTCTCTGGGTTGAACAGGCCCACCGTCAGAGGAGCATCCACAGGGCAGATTCTCTAGGGCGCAGGTGGTGGTAATGGTTTGTATCAGACTCTTGTTGTGTGTACTTAATATTTTACACGGTCCATGCTAGCTCATATTTGCTTGAAGTCAGTCTCTGACAATGTCAAGTTCAATGGGTCCTGTAGCTAAAATGTCCTCAAGCACAATGTTTCCCTTGGGGAAAAAAAAAAAAGCTGGCAACACATGCACTATTGTAGTGTAGCCTGCACATGAACCACACTGATTTAGGTAAAATGGGAATGTGTACTAGAGGTCACTAGGCCCTCTGCCATTCTGGCTTGAACCTGGAGAATGTCAATCATAGACGAACAAGGTTGGGGCACAGACAGTTGCTTGGTTCACTTTACGGTAGAATCACCCCTGAAGTTGCGAGCTGGAAGAAAAAAGGGTGAAGATGGAACACTGAATGGACTAAAAGGAGAAGCTATAACATTTTTTCTTTAGGTAGGAGGAAGCCATTAAAAATGACAAATTTTGCCGGAGTCCAACCCCAGCAGGTCCAGGGGTCCCCAAAGGTGTGGATGGAGTCGGCGAAGAAGGAATGACAGGGAGACGGAGTTCAGTTGATCAGCAGCCTAGCCAGGATCTCCAGCCAAGTTCTGGTCTGGATCTCCAGAGAGGTTCTGCTTAGGATCTCCAGCCAGGTTCTGTGTCCATGTTGTCTTACTAGGTTCTCCAGCCAGGTTCTCCAGGTTCTCCAGCCAGGTTCTGTCCAGGTTCTCCAGCCAGGTTCAGTCACCAGGTTCTAGTCAGGTTCTCTTGCCAATTTCTGTAGTCAGGTTCAGTCCAGGAACCTTTGCCATGTTCTCTCCAGTGAAGTTCTTCTGTCTCTGTAGGTTCTGTCTTCTTAGTCCTGTGTTCTAAGTTCTGTGTTCTAAGTTCTGTCTCTTGCTGTCTTGTTACATCTGTATTTATACCAGTTGATTCAATCCTATCAATCTCTATTACAAAGGTTAGGGCGTTTCTTATCTCCATTCCAGGGAGTAAAGATTATGTAGCTTAAGCATGATTGTTTGTAGTTAAAGTGATTAACTACCCACCTGGCACTTAGTTAAGGAGTTTTATCCCCTCCCTGACTTCAGGGAAAAAATCCCTACCTGGGGAAACAACCTTTCTCAGAGAGGAGACCTTGGTTAAAACACATAGTGCCAAGGTGAGCAAACATATTAAGAACAGTATGCCATATATGCCAGGTCCCTTGAAACAGCAAGCATGGACCGGCTCCCGGCAAATTCCCCCTTTTTTATTTTTAAAAAGCGGGCATTAAAAAGAAAACCCCGAAATGCTCTCTTGTATCCATTTTAAGAGTAGGATTGGCGCTTTCCGCTATTACCTGAGTCCTGATCTATCACCCCAGGGAGAGCTTGCCAATCCTGCACTTTCCCGGGGTGGAAAGGCTGGAGTGGGGTTAAGGATAGGGCTCCTTGGGCCTACCTTCTCCCATGCCTTTACATTTACCTTTCCTTCCTCAGAAAAGCATGGACATACTTCTTGTATAAAACGTTCTGTCTGACTGGGAGTAACCTTAATTCCTCTGCTAGCAAGCATATGTGTTAAAAGATCAATACAGAGTCTTATTTCTTTAGACTCAGTATGGCACATCTTCTTAATCTAAAGATCAATACAGAGTCTTCTTTCTTTGGACTCAGTATGGCACATCTTCTCAATCTAAGAATCAACACAGAGTCTTCTTTCTTTGGACTCAGTATGGTACATCTTCTCAATCTAAGTTCTGCACTATCCACCTTCTTACCCTACTTATCCTCATAGGGGGGTTTGCAGCACCCTGGTGGAGTCCTATCCGTCCCGAATGTGGGGGTTCTCAATAGGGGGGGGCTTACCTAGGGGAATCCTGTTCCAGGGGTTCCCAAAGGTGTCGACGGAGTCGGCGAAGACTATCCACCCTCTTCCTATGGTGGAGTCCTATCCGTCCTGAGTGCGGGGCGCTTACCTAGGGGTCCCTTTTCGGGCGCCATATGCTGGGGTCCGGCCCCAGCAGGTCCAGGGGTCCCCAAAGGTGTGGACGGAGTCGGCGAAGAAGAGATGACATGGAGACAGCGTTCAGTTGATCAGCAGCCTAGCCAGGATCTCCAGCCAGGATCTCCAGCCAAGTTCTGGTCTGGATCTCCAGCAAAGTTCTGGTTAGGATCTCCAGCCAGGTTCTGTGTCCATGTTCTCTTGCTAGGTTCTCCAGCCAGGTTCAGTTACCAGGTTCTAGTCAGGTTCTCTTGCCAATTTCCGCAGTCAGGTTCAGTCCAGGATCCTTTGCCATGTTCTGTCTCTAGGCTCTGTCCCTAGGTTCCATCTCCAGTTTCCGTCCAGGATCCCTTGCCATGCTCTCTCCAGCAAAGCTCCCCCATCTCTAGGCTCTGTCTTCTTAGTTCTGTGTTCTAAGTTCTGTGTTCTTAGTTTTCAACTCCATTTTTTAAAATAATGTGATTATCTTCCAACTCTTCTGGGTTTTAAAAATATTGTTAATCATTTATATTTTTCATTTCCAAGACCTTTTTTTGAGCTTAAAGTAATTTCAACTTATTACACATGTGTTAAGACATACTGCATACAGGATACTATAGTAATAGTTGAATATGCTATTATTCATTTCAACTTCTATTTGTAACCTGATACATGATATTAGCCAAGGATTTGAATAGTTTTCAGAATTTGAAATTGGAGGCTTGAAAATATAATTCAAAGTTGGATAAGAACACTTCTATCTGGAGTAGAATTTAAGTTGTTACATCCTTCCTTCAAAAGTCCATTCACTAAATAACTACTTGATTTTAGATCTTGTATTAAGCACTTTGGTGAATACTCAGATAAACAAATATAAATCCTGTCTTAGTGATCTCAGAAAATATTATAAAAGAAAAGGTACCTTAATATAGAACTTGTTGAAGTCCCATCATTTAACTTCATGAATTTCCATTATAAATTGGATTACTACTTTCTCATTAACTAGAACTAAAAGGAAGATCCAAAATTTTTCTCACTGATTAATTCTGGTTTTCATCCCTACTTTATAGCTCTTCTCCTTGTTCACCATTTCAGGCACTCTGGACTTTTGTGACTCTATAACATTTCTAGCAAAGTCCTGTATAAGGACCCTTGTGTCCACTATTTCTATTGCCTGCAAAGCTTTTCCTCTGGATAGCTGTATGCCTTTCTCCCTCACTTTACTCAAATCTCTGTCCAAAGCTTGCCTCCTCAGAGGACTTCCTTGATCACCCCATGGGAAAGGGTGGTGTCCCCTGTCATTTTTAAAAAATACTCTCAACCTGCTTTATTTTTCCCCTCTGTGCATTTTTTACTACTTGACAATATTGTATAGGTCTATTTTGTATACATATATATTATCTATCTATCTGTCTATATACATATATTTTTATATTGCTTATGTATATTTTATTATCTATTTTCCCCAATTAGGATTTAAGCTCATGAGGGCAAGGATTTTATTCTATTCACTTCTGAATCCTCAGTGCCTCAAAGAGCATTTCACACAGTCAAGCTCAATAGAACATTGCTAAACCAATAAAAGGGGACATCTTGATCAAATATTTTTTCTGTTTTATAGCTTGTGTTTTATTTTCTAAGTCATCTCATAAAACTCTTCTATTTCCTTTTCTGACGGCAGGTTTTTTTTTTTTTAGAAGTTTTTCATTTTCTAATTGGAAAACTTAACTAAATATGATTTGATTCTAAAAAATATCAAAAACCCTATCCCTTATCCTCTTTGAAAATAGTAACTAAATTCCCAGGAGCATACTAGACTCCTGAAATTCTCTTAGAAATCTGAGATGGCTAGAAATCTAGCACATTTTATCCTTATTTTTTTTATTTTGGTATGTTTAGAATAAAGTCTATCTCAGTAGCAGCTTTTAAATAAGAACATCACAGCTGTCTTTGTCTGTGGCAGCTGGGTGGTGGCTGCATTCCATGTCAAGCTACATAAATCTTCCTTTCACACGTGATCTTAATGTTCGTTATTAAAATTTGTGTCTTGAAAAATTATACAATCCTGTGTGTGATGGGTCTTTATGCTTGTTCAAGAATAACTAACACCTTGAATGTTAAACCTGAGAGTGCCATTCATACATTGCAAAATGAGCTTTGTGGTTCTATTTAGAAGATTAAAATGTCATGGCTGAAAGGCTCCTTAGGGACCATACAATCCTGCATTTTACAGATAGGAGAAGTTGACACTATAAGAATGATTACTGATTACATTCCAGTAGATAGACTTACGTTGCAAATACTAATGTTGAACCAAGAATATCTGTATCTTTTGTAGGGGAGCTAATTTTACATAAAAGTATATATCAGCCACACAAAACCAAAGATAAGTGATACATAGATGATTCATTATTCAATTTTTCACAGTATTTCTCTACTTCTTTGTCATAGAAAATTCAAAAACAGCCTTTAAAAGTTGAGAAACATTTAAAAAGATCTTCAGATTATCCTCTAATGAGGACAATTCATCTCTGTAATGTAATTAAAGATACTGAATTATATTTCATACTAGGGTCCCTTGGCCTGGCTGGAAATTGGGCTGATGGGGGGTGGTGGTAGTGGTGTGTGCGAGGACCACGGGAGGTTGGCTGTGGGACTGCACTGACCACCAGGGGGCAGCTCCTGCATTGAGTGCCTGCCCCCTGGTAGTCACTGAGGCATCATAGTGACCAGTCAACTGGTTGTTTGGTCACTTAGGCTCTTATATATATAGATAAGAAATGCAGTTTGCACTCACTACCTCTTCAGATCTGAGGGGGGTATGTTATTGGGTCCTGAAAGAACCTAAGTCTAAAGGATTCTGGAGGACTTTCAAGGTGCCAACTGTCTCTTTCCCTCAACTCTTTTGTATGTAGTCCTCCCAAATAGTGTTGGTCATTTTTATTGGGATGATGGAATTCAGGGTAGAGAGAATTTGCTACTAGCATCTGGGAGTCAGGACATCTCAACCCCCAACCATGTTCTGCCACTAACCAGCATTGTGATCTAATCAAGTCCCCCCGATGTGGCTCACTGTTAGCCATCTCTGAATTAAGGAGCTGAATGAGATTGAGTCTTCATCTCCAAGAACTTTCTTAATGATTTGAGCTATCCATTCATCTCCAGGGGCTCCTTCACTTCATTCACACAGAACAGATTTTTGAGTTTTTTACCTGGACAAACTGTCCACTTCTGAAAGCTTTCCCAGGCTCAAGGTTTTATGGGCAAGGGCAATGACACGGAAGCCTTGCATTGTGTAATTCCCCAGTTCCTGTGGGAAGTTCCTGGGCACTGCCAGGAGAGAAAAGACAGGTAAATGCAAGGTCACATTGAAGGTCACTGAACTCCTATGCAAGGCTCTGGGATGCAGTTGCTGTACCTTGTTTTAACCTTCACTCCATAAAAATACTTTAATAGAAAAACCACAGCTTCTAGTTAAAGGCCACAAACACTTCATAGTGTGTTCTTATTACTCTGACAGAAACAAATGCCAAAGATGTTCTGGTCATCAACTGAGTGTCAAATACACTGGCTAGATTCAGTATGGACAGACCTCAGGATTGTATCAAACTGGATGAAATGAGAGAAATATCGATTCTCTAAATCAGGGGTCAGTGAACTACAGGCCAAATCTGGCCCATTGTTTGTTTTTGTAAATAACGTTTTATTGGAACATAGCCACACCCATTAGTTTCATTGTCTATGGCTGCTTTTAGGCTACAATGGCAGGGGTGACCAGTTGAAACAGAAACCATGTGGTAACAAATCCTAAATTATTTAGTACCTGGCTCTTCACAAAAATGTTTGTCGATCCCTACTTTAGATAATGGATGACACAATGCCAACACGTCTGTATTTTGACATGGTAATCATAACTAAGGATAGTATATTTATAAAATCTTTATGGTTTATAGTATGCCTGTAAAGGCATTAGGAAGAAGCACAGTATAATGGGCGGTATAGCAGCTTATGTAGCAAAACACTGATTTCCAGTCTCCACTCTATTACCAACTAGCTCTCTGACCTTGGGCATGTTAAGTCTCTCTTCTGCACCTCCATTTTACAATAGAAAAAAGGAGGGGGTTGTAGCTCTCTATGTACCCATTCAGCTCAGACTTTCTGAAGTAATCTTGCAGGCGGGTGTAATTTCAAGGAAGCTCCTACCTCTCTATTTCTTAAGTACAGGAGGGGAAAAAAATCACTGAAGGTGACATTAGCATTTGTAAAGGATCAGAGTTTAGAACAATAGGAAGAATTGGAAGGACTACCAGAAGAATAAGAGGTGACAAGTGACACCAAACCTGACAGAGCAGGGTTAATAGCTACTGGTTAAAATGTCAAAGAGATACTTATATCTGTGTGGCTGAAAAAGTAGAAAGAAAAGTATAGGTCATCAATCTATAAAGGATAGAGTTAATGAGAGCTATGAAGATCAAAGAAAAGGGAGGTACTTCTAAGACACAAATGACTTTAAGTAGAGAGAGAAGTTAAAGGAATCATTTGCCAAATCAAAATTCTGTGCACGAGTTGATGGATATCAGCAATCATAAGGCGAATATAGATGAAAATCAAAAGGAAAAGGCCAATTTATCCAAATGAACTCATTTGAATGCAATAGTATTCTTATAAACCTGGGCTGCTGCTTAGAGGGTGCATATGTTTATAAGACTATGAAACAATACAAATCAGCTCAAAATCTGGCCCAGAAAGATGAAATTATTGTGAAAATGATCTATTACCTTGCTCTAATAGCATCTAATTTACTGTAATCACTTTTTTTCCTACGACTTATCTTTTCTACATTCTCCTTCCATTGATGTCTCTGAGTCTCCTTTAGAGGTGCCAGTCCCCAGGAGGTGACAGAACACCCCTTCTGTAGAATTGGTCTAGTGTCCAGCCTCTCCCTTTGGCTCTGTCTTCTGAATTGAATGCTTCTCACTATCACCCACGCTGGTTCTCTGAGCCCTGTGTAGCTTCCTCTTCTGGCTCCTGATGCTCGCTTCACATCTCCTTCTCTGATACCCCATTGTGGTTGGGCATTTCTAGCTGGACCACAGCTGGGCATTTACTCTTTGCCTCTTTGCCTTGAAAGTATCATGTCTGCCTTATCAAATCTATGAGTCCCACTTCCCACACACTGAGAAAACAACCACCTCTGCACTTATTGACTTAGGCTTGTTTGCTTTATGTGTTTGGACTCTTAAAGCACTTTCACTCCCGAAAGGGAAATGTGCCAGTTAGTACCTGTTTCGGATCTGCAGAACTTGACCAACATCTCGGGGGCGCCCTTCATGTAGACATGGAAGTGATCCTCACCTGCTAGCCCAGCAACCACAGACATCCTCTGCAGGCTTGACGAGAATGGAAACTGGCGCAAGATGGTGATAGCTTCCACAGGACTCTGAGAGTGGACCAAGAAAAAGGCGTTTAGCCCAGTCAGGATGGCTCAGTGGTTGAGCGTCAACCCAGAAACCAAGAGGACATGGTTCAATTCTCGGTCAGGGCACATGCCTGGCTTGCAGGCAGGTTCCCCAGTAGGAGGTGTGCAAGAGGCAGCTGGTGATGTTTCTCTCTCATTGATGTTTCTATCTCTCTCTCCCTTTCCCTTCCTCTCTCTCTAAAAATCAATAAAAATTTAAAAAGAAAAAAAGGGGCTTTTAAGAAGCTTTTAAGTGAGATTTAGTAGATACACACCAACAAACAGAGTTTCCTTTGCAATGAGCTCAGGGACATCATGAAGTGGTGTACTTGTCATAACATTGGTATTTTTCTGGCTCCCTCTAAGGCAATTCCCTCATCAATGTCTGCAAGGCCCTTTCCGTTGGCTGCCTGGAGAAATCCTAATCAGTTTCCAGGCCAAGTTCATAGGTCACCCCTCCTTTGAGGTGCTTTTCTCTCCCAGAAAGAGTATGCACGCCCATCTCTGGATTCCTGTGGCACTGTGTTTGGCCTTTATTATAGCACTTGGCACATTGTATTATACTTATTTGTACCTCTATTGATTTTTCTACCAGCCCGTGTACTCCAACACAGAGCCCAACGTGTCTAGCATTGAAATCACTCCATCCCTTAGCACCAAGCACAGTGCTCTAGCGTATATAGGTACTCAGTGGGTGTTGAATGAATTAATGGATAAATTCAGGAGTAAACAAATAAGCAAACCAACTATGGACACTGTTAAAGTAAGGCAAAATAATAGGGATAGAGAAATATGTGAAATTCAGGGGAGTTTCATCTGTTTTAAGGGGAAAGAGCTACATGATTGAAAGAAGCAAATCATACCCGACTGGCTTTCGGTCCTGGTTTTATGATTATGTTTGAGTCTGACATCCTAAATTTGCAGTAGTCTACATTGCAATCTTCCATTATCTGTTTTAAAATAAAAAAAAACATTCATAAGGTTCCTTAGGGAAAAATAAGAAAGAAATTTCTCTCATTTGCATAGCACTTTAATCTTTCCAAAGCCCTTTTCACATACTTTCTCTTCTAGGCCAATTTTCTTAACACCCCATTGTCAGATTTCTGTTGTGTTGATTTACATTAAAGGATCTTCTTGTAGAATGTGGAAAATCCAGAAATATTGTGACTGCATTTTAAGTAGTGATTGATGGAAGAAGTGTGAGCTATAGGCCAATGGCTCTTCCTAAATGGTATGTCTAGTAATTGAAGGAGGGCTTAGGTGGAGATTTACTCTTCAATGGAACTGAGCACATTAGCTTTCAGATGATTTAGGATTGGGTCTTTAGATAAACATGGGAGTATTTCTGATGCTATACCCATGCTACCAGCCTAATTAGGTAGCTAGATAATTAGCAAGTTAGCATATTTCAAAAAGGTTTATATTTTTTGGATATTATGACAGTGTAAGTCATACCACCTGAGAAACTAATATTAACCTAATATATGGGAAAATCAGTCAAATATATGCATAATAAAGGTCAGAATATAAGAGACAATAGTGATGTTCGCTCTGTCACCTATTTAACCTTGGAAATATTGCTGCATTTTTCTAGATCATAGTTTCTTCTGAAAAATACTCTAATATCCCTTCCAGTGCTAAAATTCTTACAGTCTATAAGGACTTTTTCCCTCCCCCTTATGAAAGGTTCCTAACTACCAAAAGATGCTTAACTCCAGGCTGCTTCTCACCCAGCTTTAAACTTGATGAACATTCTTGCACTTTTATGCTTTGTTTGGGGTGGATATAACTGTTCTTAAAAACAGTTCTGACAGAGTTAATATTAATGATTTATGTTTCCACACACAAACCTAACGCATCTGTCATTTGTGCAGATAGTCAACCCTTCTGTTATGGAAAAGGGGGCACTACTAAAACCAGGGTCAAAGTCACATATAGTAACAAGGGCCCTGTGTAATTCATTATTGTGCCAACTCTAGTGATGTTGGTAGGACATTGCTTATAATAATTACCCTGATTCCTTCCCATTAAGATCCAGGAAAGTGAGTACTGTTTTGTCTTGGTGTCAAAATATCTCTAAAACAAATGCTCTCATTATAATGTACTGATATCAGTAACTTCCCTGTTTAACAGGTTTCTTCTTTTTATTATTCTGGCCTCTAGAAAGCTACAATTTTCCTACCATACATCTTTAAATTACATTTTTTGTGAGATGTTTTTAATGTCCTTACAATAATTTGTTTCCATTTCTTTACAACTCTGTTTAAAATGCTGTCCTGTATTTGATGTATCATTCTAAGTAGCTTTAGAACATTTTTTTTGGAGGACAGGAGAATGTAAGTAACTAATTCATTCGTTCATTAATACCCTCCATATGTTGGGCACTTTACAATACATGGGGCCCTTTTAGGCTCACAGTCTCAATGCTCACCACAAGTCTGTGAGCGAGGCTTTGTAATCTCAAATGCATGATGAGGCACAGACTCAGAGCCTTGGTTCTGAATTTGGGGTTCACACTAGAGAGTGGTAGAGTGGAGAGGTCTTACCACCTTGTCATGACAGTTGCCAAGATGGATTTATGACCTTCAACTACCACTCACACTCAGCTCAGAAAATTGAACCCATTGGACTGAGAGCGCCCCTCCCCCCACCACACACACACACACACACACACACACACACACACACACACACTTTGGTGTATAAACCTATGCTGTCTAATACAGTAACTACCAGCCATTTGTAGATATTTAAACTTAAATTTAAATGAAATAAAATAAATTCAGTTCCTCATTTGCATAGCCACATTTCAAATGCTCATTAGCCACATGTGATAAGTGGTTACTATATTGGACAGCACTGCTTTAGTCTACTGTTTCTCTGAGGATGTTTTGAAGAATATTTTTCTCCAAAACAGATTTTGGCCCATAAATAAGGTTTCTGTGGTCAAATAGGTTTGGGAAATGCAGCATTTCATAGCTTCTCTTGAATATTCACAATACACCACAGTATATTAAAGAAATCTTGCAGTCAAGAAACTGATTTAATTTTGTTTAAACAGCAGTTCCCAAATCCATCTGATCATGCAACCCTATTTCATGTTGCACTCATTAACAGAGTCCTTTGGCACAGAGGCTAGAAAATTCAGGTAGGATCAGACTTTGTTTGTGCATGATTATAAATCTCTGGGTTTCAACCAAAGTTAGAAAAGCGTTAGCATTCCCAGTAAGGATTTCTTCATGTTTTCTTCATTCTGTTGAAGCAATAAACTATCATCTTACCCAGTTGGTGCCCTCAAACATCTTGAGGTCCAGAGGGTCTCCCTGGATGGTCCCATCCAGGAGGATCAGAGAGTGGCAGCTGGCCATGGCGGCACACAGTGGGCCCCAGGGCAGAGCCTTGCCTGAGGTAAAGCTGTGGACTTCCTGGAAACTGGTAAAGAAAATGACTACTAAGTTAAGGCCTTCAACAAAATCATTTTGCACCTGTGCCCCTTAAATCTCACTAACACGGAGCTTCAATAATACCCAATCCCTATGTCAAAAACCTTCAATAGCTCCCCATGTCGAGTATGATAAAGTTCAAACACGAGCCTGGTATTCAAGGCCCTGACTGCTTCAGTTCTATGTTACCTTACAGATTCTACTCATACTGGTGTCCTTGATGCACAATTTTTCCAGACCCAAGTTAAACATCTTGCGATTTCTACATTTGCACAGGTATTGCCCTGCCCTTGAGCCCTTGGAGAGTTTGCAGATATCAGCTCACTTGGCTTCCTTATTTTCTAACTGGAGTGTTCTGCCTGCACATTGCTGTTCAGAAAACCATCCTTTGAGATGGATGTGAATCTCCTTTTCAATAGTTTGCCACTGGTCAATCAATGCTGTCATTTCAGCATATAGAATCACAGGGACTTCCGTCAGGGTACTTGTAGCCTGTGCACATGATGGCAGCATCTCAGGAAGGCACACTGCTTAAGGCTCAGAGCTGATTCCTGCAAACTCCCCAGAGCTGTCTCTAGGAAGTCACACACCAGAGGCAAGAAGTCCCTAAGCCATTGGTGCAGAGGAGATGAATAGGATGCCTGCCCGGTGGCTCAACTAAAAGCATGCATGGACTGCAATATTTCTCTCTACTCAGCCTTTTGGCCTTTGCCCCTATTCCCTGAAACTCCTGGCATGGAAGTCAGCAACTAAAGCTTGTTTTCTTCTTTGACAATAGACTGGTTTGGTTTACCTTCTTCTCCTCCAGTCTTAGAGCTAAATAGAAATTATATCTAGATGTTTCTATCTCCCCAAAATTTTCAGAGTACTAGGGGCAAGGGAGTGAGAGGCAGGGTTGAAACTACAAACATCCTTTTCCCCTATTGTGATTCAGACCAGTAGAGGCCCTGACTGTCTGGACAAAGACCTGGACTGGACCTGTACACAGGGGCAGAGACTCAGGAGTAGGGCTAGAGCCCAGGTAGTTTGTTGAGGCCCAGACCATGGGTCTCCTGCAACGATGTGCGTGCTGCTTGCCTGCTGTTACTCTGCGCCCTTTCATTCTGCTGGAGTGTAAACTAAGGGAAGAGATGGAGCTCTTCTTCTCTGGATTCCCTATTACACTAGCTGCCCAGGAAGTCTTTGCAGTTTTTACTTAAGCACAGTCCTGATTTCACTCTTTACTGCTCTGTTTTAGTCATTCAGCTTCTTAATCACTAACCTCATTCTATTCCATTTTTCATGTGGAGCTTGAAGGCCTACTTTCCCTGTCTAATTCTGAAATTAGAACTCATTTAATTTAAAAAATTAGAATAATTGGGAGCTGGTTCCAGACAATTATTATACATATTTTATGGGGCATTGATCCCTCAACACTGGAAGAATGGATTTGAGTAGCCCCAAGGCAGCCTCACCAATCACACATTCCTTCTTCATGAAGGTGCCTACCAGTTGTCAGCAGTGGGGACAGTTCCCCAGAGGTCCAGCCCATCCTCTGTAAGAGTGCCAGTCTGGGGGGGAAAAAATAGAGTCAGTATTAGCATAAGATTTGGAGCTTTTAATTATATCATGACTCACATAAAAACCAAATTCCAGACCTAGCTGGTTTTGCTCAGTGGATAGAGCATCGGCCTGTGGACTGAAGGGTCCCAGGTTCAATTCTGGTCAAGGGCACATGCCCGGGTTGTGGGTTTGATCCACAGTGGGGGGCATGCAGGAGGCAGCCAATTAATGATTCTCTCTCATCATTGATGTTTCTATCTCTCTCTTCCTCTCCCTTTCTCTCTAAAATCACTAAAATTATAAGAAAAAAATACATAAATAAACAAGTTCCCAAGAAATTAAAGTAGATCCAGTTATCCAAAGCCTTCTCTTTGGAAGTATCAAATTTTAAATCAGAGAAGGGCACCTGAAAGAAAGGTTCAGCAGGTGACAAATGATTCCCAAAAGACCATGTTGATAATTAGATGATTCTAATTACTAACCATTACAACAAAATGGAAGTGATTTGTTTCTATTAATGTTTTGACTTGTTGTTAAATGAGAGAAGTTCAGTGAATGGATATCTAATAAGAACCAGCTTTGGCTTTTAGTTGGCACTTGTTATCTTTCTAAAGAAGAGCTCAGAAATTTTTTCTTTACTTTTTAAGACTATTTAGTTCACAGTCTGCCATCTGGTTCACACAATTTCCTAAAATATGGGTGATATGGTGACTTTCCAGATTGATAATAAAATGTTGATAAAGGGCTTTGAGACTAAAAAGAGCAACAAAGTGCTAAATGAATATTAATGAATGTCCATGAATGGGTTTTATTGTTAGGTCAAGAGGAAAATAGTTGGAAGATTTGATTTGCTGTATTATGGGAGAGTATTTATCAGAAAATGTAACAGAGAATTCAAAACAGAACTGAGGACAATCATAGCACTTTTAATTTGCTCATTGTTTCACAGTTGGTCATGAACTACATATCCCAATGTCTTCAGTACGTACGCTAACAGCTTTAGGCCTGCTTAATATCCATTCAGAGTAAAGAGCTGGCCACCAACAGCTTTAGGCCTGCTTAACACCCATTCGGAGTAAGGAGCTGACCACCGTTGTGTCAACATTATCAAAGCAAAGCAGAGTACTACCAAGTGTTGGGGAATATCCTATTTCAACACTGACACCTAGGTCTCTGACGTACTTTTTAAAGGTCATCTCTGTATAAGACACTGAATTTTCAGTTTTCTACTAAACAACATCTTCTATCATTACAGCACATCACATTAGCACAGTACTTTACAGTGAAGTGATCACAATGCTTTCAATTCTTACAACTGAGTAAATAGACACAATCACAGGCTACAGGTGACCAGAGCAGCCTTAGGACACAATGGCCTGTAAATAAGAAAGAAAGAGCCAGCCGAAACCGGTTTGGCTCAGTGGATGGAGCGTCGGCCTGCGGACTGAAGGGTCCCGGGTTCGATTCCGGTCAGGGGCATGTACCTGAGTTGTGGGCACTTCCCTAGTGGGGAGTGTGCAGGAGGCAGCTGATCGATGTTTCTCTCTCATCAATGTTTCTAACTCTCTGTCTCTCTCTCTTCCTCTCTGTAAAAAATCAATAAAATATATTAAAAAAATTTTTTAAAAAAAAAGAAAGAAAGAAAGAGCCAGAATCCAGTCATCTAGAGTCTTCCACTAGACGACAAATGGTAAATAAATTTGGCAAAGTATATGGAAAGACAAAGCCCATACTGATTTTTAGATTAAAGAATTAAGGAATCTTTGTTGTATTCATTCATTTGGACTTTATAGAAAGCTAACATGCCTGTGTGAGTTATTTCTTGAAGGGCAAAAACAAGAAAAGCTATTTGCTTCATTTCCCTCCTGCATTTTATAAGAAACACAACCTATGTGTTTCCAAATCCCCTTGAGTTGTTCCATTTCAAAAAGACTTAGCAACTTAATCCAAACTGAGATGTTTTTCTGGTGATTAGATTATGTTTTTAAGCATCAATATTTTGAACACGAAAATAGAGATGGTACGGCAGCAAATAGAAATGGTACCATGTTATTTATCTGCGTGAAAATGACCATAATATACTAAAGCTGACCATAAAATAGAAAGAAACCTAAATTATAGCTGAGATTCTAAAGAGAATAAAATAGATAAAGAAAACTTCTTGGCATAAATATTAGCCCAGTCTTGGGCTGAATTGAATAGAAAAGGGGGAACTTGTTTTAGAGAACTTACAACAAACCGACATTAACTGGAGATACACATGGGAACAAGTGTACTCAGAAACCCAGTGGTAAATATCTCCTAAATTGAAACAGCACTAGATGGAAATTCAATAATTCAATTAATTGTAGAGTACTTTTATTCCAACATCGTGCTGGTAGAGCTTTATAATGTGAGAGCTAGAAAGAAACTTGATAATCTTATCACAAAAGTCATGCAGAAAGTTAGTCTAAATTCAGGATTCGATCTCTCATCTTGCTAACTCCCAATCAGGACTCCTTTACACTATCACATGACGTCATGCCACCAAGAGTTTGGCCAAGCTTGCTGAGGAGTGGTCCCTAACACAGACTAGCAAAGAAGCACATGAGGATGGGGAGGAAAAAGCTTTACATAAGAAGTAAGATAAACAGCCTGTGTAAAATTAGCTGTAGAAATAGCCAAATATAATGAACATATTTTATAAATCCCCTTCCTATATTCTAAACAGTAATGATGTCGCTGGAGTAAGTAATGTGAGTCCCTATCAGAAAATGTCCAAAGGGCTGTTGTTATCTGGCCCTGAATCTAAAAGGAAGCTACTATTAAGTTAACCCTACTGGCTCCTCACTGATGGCAATAGAGGATTTCCTTTGCCAAAGGAAACTGAAAGAGAATAGAACTAAAGCAATCTAAGAGCTATGCCACTTCCAATTGGGGATGAAGACTTGTCAAGCCTGCTCCTGTCTCTCCAGTTTGTCCTCTACTCTCCATTCTTGACCTCACTGTCTAGGACAATGAGCGTGCTCTTCAGTTACCCCCAGATAACCTCCTGCTTCAGTCCTATCTCCCTTCTATCCCTTCTTATCAAACGCCCCCATTGGAATAACTAAAACACACCTATAAAAATGTTACTGGCCCTGACCGGTTTGGCTCAGTGGATAGAGCATCGGCCTGCGGACTGAAGGGTCCCGGGTTCAATTCTGGTCAAGGGCATGTACCTTGGTTGCGGGCATATTCCCAGTAGGAGGTGTGCAGGAGGCAGCTGATCGATGTTTCTCTCTCATCGATGTTTCTAACTCTCTATCCATCTCCCTTCCTCTCTGTAAAAAATCAATAAAATATATATATATTTTAAAATGTTACTGGTCTTTTTTAAAAAAAATGGGAAGGACTCCCATTTGCTTCATGACAAGGCCCTGCTCCTTAACTTGGTACATCAGGCACTGAACAATTGGGCTCCTCCTCTCCAGCTGCATTCCCTACCGAACAGCCCACATTCCAGCCACACCCCAGTGAACTTTATCCTCCTGTGCTATAGGCCCTCACATCCTTATGTTTCTTGGTTGCTTGGCTCTGAGCCTGCCTTAGGCCCATTCTATCTAACAACCAAAACCCAGCTCAGAGATGACCTCCCACCTGCGCCAGGTAACTGCACCTCTATGCTCCACTCATACCTGCATTAAGCATGCATCTCACTGCATTATCATCATCTTCACTTCCATTTACCTGCTTCCTCAGCTAGATCATGAACTTCTCAAGAGCTAGGAACATCTCATTATGGGGCCCTCTGCCAAAGCGGGTTAATTAAAAAGTGGTCAAGCCTTTATCAATTATTCAAATGCAAATGAACTGAAGACACCACTGAGGGAACAAGCCAGGCCATTGCATTATAGCAGTGAAGCCATGAGGCAGAGAAATGAATATGCTCACTTCAGTTCAGGACAAAGCACTTCAGGGAATCAAAATGTCCTTCATATTTTCTTTTTTTGCCTGAAACAGCTGTCATATCTATAAGTTACTACAGTAAGAGATTGTTTAGAAACTCAAAACAGGGACCAAAAGTATTAAATTTCACAGGAAAGAAATGCACGAGTGATGGCTGACCCACTTCCTGGGCCTCAGCACAGCAGGCTTCTAAAACATGATCTCACATGAGCTCACTATGTGGCCTTCTCTGGCCTCAGTGCTCCCATCTGTGAAATGAGGGCGCCGGACTAGACATTCTCTGAGGCTCTTCCCAGCTCTAAAATCATCAATTGCCAAACTGCAGAGTTGAGTTCATACTTTGTCAAAGCACACGAGGTTTATTTGTCCGCACATATTGATTCTCTGTGGGGAGATACAGAAGATTTTCTTTTTCTTCAGCCTCTTTTGTGCATACATGATGCCTGTGGTCAGGGCAGCTGGCAGCACTGGAGGGACAGTTCCGGTGAAGAGGAGCAGGGCCATGGCTACGGTATGTCTTGGTGAGACCTGGGGAGGGGAGGGACACACAGGTTAGCCCAGCCAAGCAGGCTGGCACCCTTCCTGGCACTGTCTCCCCCAACACAGGAGCGCTAATGACTCAGAAGATTCCTACCGAACTGGCTCTCTCAGCGGGGCTGAGGGTTCTCTTGGCTGTGCTCAACGAATGAATGAATTGCCTCCCACTGCAGAACACAGGAGACTCTGGTCCTCACCCCACACTCTCCATGACCTTTCCTGCCTCGGTTTCTCTCCACATAGCATTCCTTCCACTCAGAGTGCCTACCCCTTCTTGGCCCATCCATACACCCTCTGGTCTACCAGGGCACTGGGACTAGTCTAGAGTTATATTTCACACAGTGGCCTGACTCTTGGATTATAAACCTCTCTCCCTCTCTAGCCCACAAACTCCTTGGGTACAGCAGCTGTAGCTTACTCATCTTTGAATTTATCTTATTCATCTCTTGATAGAGAGTTTAGCACAGTTTCTGACACAGAGGAGGTGCTCAGCACACACATTGAATAAATGATAACTTGCTAAAAACTATGACCAATATTTTGCCAAGATCTCAGCAAATATTATGTGCTATAGGGAGGCCAATAATGAATATAGCTGGCCCTCACTGGACACACACTCTGAAACGGGCACACACACATTGCTTTGTTACTCCACAATAACCTCATGACGTATGTACCATTATTTTTTCTTAATCACTTAATAAGTGAGGAAACCAAGGATTAAAAATTAACTTCTTCAAGGCCTCATGTTAGTTAAATGATGAGGATCTGAACTCTAGTTGATCCAACTCCAAGGCACAAATGGGTACCAATGTGTTTTACTAACAAGCCAGTTCTCCTGGAGTCAAGATTCCAGGCAGATCTGAAGAAATTCACAGGCTGGTAAAGGCAGGGCCAAGATCAAGTCATGGGGTGGTTTCTTTTATTTTTCACATGCCCTAGATATAATGGCTCAATCCTCTCCAACCTTGCCTAGGTGTTATTTTTTTTAAATGAACCATAAGTTTGACCATAAAGTCCTCTTTTGAGTACTGAAATCACAGCTTCAAATTCAGTAGCAATGGCTGCTAGATACATCTTTGGTCCAATCTCAGTCTATTGCAAAATCCATAATTGCCTGCTTTTCCCTCCCACAGCCACAGAGGAGTTTTGACTCTAAGGACTCGGCCCTGTCTAATCTTGAACCAGTGCACATAAAGGAGGTCAACAGCACCATAGGTTTTGACCCCAAGAAGATGGGGTCTGTAATTAGCCTTGTTGCTTTGGTGCATATTAGATGTTGAGTCCTGCCCAGAAAACCTTCCTTCCCCATCATTGCCAGCACCTCCCGGTCTCAGGACAGGGTCTTGTGCCTGTTTTCCTGCTGAACACTCCTACTCCCATTTGAAACTGGTATCCTGCCTCAAAGTTCAGCCCCCCGGGGTTTGACAGTCTGCCTCCTTCTTTCAGGGTCCATTCTACTCCTGCCAATATACCCTGGCCTCCTCCAGACGTGCTCCACGGAGTCTTACTTCAGATTGAAAGGACTATCAGAGATCAAATGGGAGCATGAACATCGCCTAGTTATTCTTAAGACCGTGTCTCTGCCCATAATATTCACCCCTCTCCCCCTCCAACACACACAGAGAATGTACTTGATGCTACCAGTTGGGGCATTGTAACTAGGACACCTCCACTCAGTTTCATACCCATGTTTGAATCTGTTTATTCACATTTTTTTCTTCTTTCCTTTGAGCCTACACTGTTAAGATCTCAGATGTCTCACGGAAAAGATGACATAGCTCACAAGAGAATCACACTCTCAGGACCAGAAAGGACCTCAGAGATCATTGTGACAACCTTTCCCTCTCCAGCTATCACAGCAATGAAGAGAGAGACATTCAAATGAAACAGACACCCTGGATCTTAAAAGGAAGTGGGAATCCATGCAGCATGAAGCTCTGTAAAAGTAGACATTGAATTTCATCTCAGAACCTAACAAAACACAGGGCCAACCATTGCCTGCATGGTATGTTAAGTATTCCCTGGACAGAGTACACCCTCAAATATGTCAACACTCACAAATAATCCATATTTCTATGCATGACATTCAGGATCTCCTTCAATCTGATCTCTTTCTACCTTGCTAGACTTAATCTCTTAATTGCTTGCTGGTGCCAGAAGGCCCGTGTGCATTTCTTCTTTTGTATTTGCTCACTCAAATTAGTATGGCCTTCCTGCCCTCTGATCTGATTAACGAAACCCTCCCCATCACCTCAGGCTTAAGAGATATGTATTTTTTCCGAAGCTGTTTGGCTTGGGTATCACCAATGCAGTAACTTCTTATCCCCATCTCAGTGGTGAAAGGAGCAACTTTTTGTAGCTGCACCATCTAATATAATTTTCACTAACCACAAATGGCTGATTAATGAAAATAAAATAAAATAGAAAGTTCACTGCCTCGGTTACACTAGCCATATTTCAACTGCTCAATAAGCATGCATGGTTAAGGGCTACCAAACTAGACAGTGTCTATACTGCATACAATATTTTCATCATCTAAGCAAGCTCTGTTGGACAGCATTGAGTCACAGAATAACAGGACTCAGTGGTAAGTCAAACTCCTTGAGAACACTATACTATTAAAAACCCTTACCCTCAGTACTTACTCTGTGATACATATACACACCAAGGGCATAGAAAAAACCCACAACTCCAATACAGGACAGGAACACTATGAACTTGAAGGCACCACTGTAGAGTTTGAAGTTCAGAGGCCGGGGGTAAAGGATGGATCTCACCAAGTCCCCTTTGGCTGTATTGTAACCTGCATGAAGATAATTACAGGCAGAGGAAGGTCCCTTTAGTTTCCCCAAACCCAAAATGGTTTGTATTGAATTAAGAATTGGTTAGGAGGGCGGTGCGGGGGGGGGGGGGGGGGGGCGGGTAGCGGTGGGGCGGGCAGGGCGGGGGGAGGGGAGGAGGTTAGGGGGTAGAAAAAAAAAAAGAATTGGTTAGGAGGGTCATTTGACTATGGAATGAAAACAACATTGCTGTGACCTAACAGTGTATTTACATTTATTCTCCTCACAATTCGCTGGGCACAAGAAGTAGCATTCCCGTAGCCCTGCTTGGTTTCTCTTTCTTTGCGAGTCACTGTGTCAGTAGCTCACATTGCAGTTTTAGACCAAATATGTATTGAAAATAATAGAAAATTAAGAGAAAAACAATGCACAAGGCAAGTAACTTCTTAAATATATATATGCCTCTGATCATGTCATTTTTAAGCTCAAAAACCGTCCAGAACACCCACTTTTTAGAATAAAGTTCACATAACTAGGCATGGCATTTGAGGTCCCCTTAAAGCTGTTCCACCCCTTCCTTGCTAGACTTATCTCTCAATTGCTCACTGGTCCCAGAAGACCCCTGTGCTTTCCTTCCTTTGTGTTTTTCAGATGTAAATTAACATGTCTTTTCAGCTCTCTGATATGATTGGCTAAATCCTTCCTATCAGGTGTGGCTCAAAGTGCCACTTCATCGAATTCATGTTTTCAGAGTCCTACTTTTATAGTTCATATCAAAAATAATCTCTCTGCTTTTTGGAATGCCTATAACACTTGGTCAAAGACATCTACACTGCTCTTTGTTTGAGTTAGCTATAAATCCATCTGTGTCCCTCACCACACCATAAATCTTCCTTAAAGACAAGGAATACCTCACGATTTTTTTTTCTATAGAGTCCTCAGTGAATAGCACTTAGTAGATACTCATTAATATCTAAGTTATTAATATCTAAGGTTGACTACTATACATTCTAGATATGAGTCAGTATTATAAATATAAAACATGCCTTAATCCCACTACTTAATGGACTCCTGGTCTCCTGAAACATGGCTTTTCAGGCTTTGGAGAAAAGGGGCAAAGTTCCCTGTACCCTGTTACCTTAGCACAGTGGTTCTCAACCTTGGCTGCACATTAGAATCACCTGGGAATCTTGTTAAAATTGTGATTTCTGGGCCTCGTCATTAGTAACAAAGAAACACAATTTCCCGAGGATGAGGCCCAGAAATCAGGATTTTAACAAGATTCCCAGGTGTGCATAAGCTGCTTCAAGTTATGTTTTATAGATGTGACTTGGTGACAGATTGAGGAATAGGTTAGAGAAAGGTTGAACAAAACATAAGGAAAAGTATTTGAGGCAAAGTTGAAAGCAACAGTTAAGAAATGTTTCTGTTGTAATGGTTTAGACAGGATATGGTGAAGGCCTGGACACAATGGGGGTGAAGGAGAGGGAGACAGGGCTCAGGACATGTTTGTAAAGTGGACAAGATGTGGTGCCCTATTTGGTATTGGAGCAAGTGAAGAGTTAAGATAAATACGAAGACTCTACCAGATGGTGATGTTGTCAACAGAAAGAAGTGCTAGAGGAGAACGAGATCACGTTTAAATGCCTTGACTTTGGAGTGTCTATGGGGCGCAACCAGGTGGAGATAGCCAGCAGGGATCTTAATAGCCGAGCAGGCAACTCTTTGAAAGAAAAAATGCTCTCAAGTGATAGTGGTTGAAACTGTTTTCTTGGGACTCAGAGTGGGTGGAGAGAAGAGAAGACAAGAAGCCGAAGGACACAAGAAAAACCAAGAATACACTTTTGCCTTTGAGGATATATATACTTTATCCCTGTGTTTGATGCATCATCTACAAGGGTTTTAACAATGAACCGTTCAGTTGAAAATGGTGGAAAAATGGTGGCAACTTAGAATAAGGGCCGGATTGAAAATGAGTGTGGCTGTTATTGCCGGAATGTGGCAAACTTCATAATCACAACAAGATTCCCCCAAATCCAATTCCCCCACCTTCAATCATAGACTAAACTTACAAAAGTGGAATTGACTCACCTGTTCGCAAAACAACTGCTCTTACTGGCCCCTGCTCAGTGGGCTTGACCTGGATCACTTCTGTGCCACAGAAAAGAACATGTTTCCGATAGTCCTCTGAGCTGTGGGATTTCCAGGGCATTGTATTCTCCATGTGGGGCAATGGCGTCTTTGTAACGGGTATACTTTCTCCTAAAGAAGATTGTATTTTGTTGATTTTGTGTGAACTCGAGTTATTTAGAGCTGGTGCGTGCCAGTTTCAAGAAAGTATACAGACCACAGCTAATCGGGTCTGAATGCTCATCCCTTGAGTCAGGTGACTGTTCTTAGGGATACAGGATACAAAATGTGGGACCCTTGATTCTATTTCAAATACTTATTTAAGTTCTTCCTATATTTCCAACATCTGACCTAGTTATAATTTTAAAAACAGCCTATTTTAGCAAAAAGAGTCACCACAATCATTCCCCCAAGTATTCTTTAAGCCCAACACTATTCTAGGCAATAAAGGAGCAAAAAACATGTACATATTTATTATTATTTGCCTCTCATTCATCCATTCATCTGCCCATTTACCCATTCATTCAACAACTATTTTTAAGTGCTTACTCTGTTCCAGGCACTGTTCTAAGTGCTGGGCATATAATGATGAACAAGACAGACAGAAACCCTGCCTTCCTAAAGCCCAGGGAGCCAGACAAGTAAGTAGCCTCTCTCCTGGGCTCTTATCCCAATCATGGGCTGTCCATCCCAACCTGGACATCCCACTAGCATCTCCACCTCATCATATCTGAAGTCCATATCAATATCTTCATCCTTAAACTTCCTCTTGGCTTTCCTATTTCTTTATGGTACCACTCTTTTGCTAAATCAGTTTTACAACTAATTCTTCCTCTTCCCATACTCTGCTCTACTCTTTCATAGAATCATTCTCTGAGTCCTGATGTTTTTTCCTTGTGAATGCACCTCACCCAGTCAGTCTGGAACTCTTCTTTCATCTAGGTCCCACTGATTTCACTAGTAATCTCTGTCTGACTCATAGTAGTTGCATTAACCATGGATAAGCTGTGAATTATTTAGCTCTTTGGAATACAAACACATTCTCTGGATGATCTGAGGCTACAGTGGGACTAATAAATCTCTTTTATTAATAAGTTCTCAACCACAATCTGCCTTGACTTCCTGAGTTAAAAAAACAACAACAACCCTCCAGTCCTTCCTCCTATGTTTATCCTTTACTCTCACACTACTACCACACAACACTTCTGACCCCACAAGAAGCAATTTTGTGATGCCTGCAGGTTGTCCTACAATCTACCTCAATTCTGACACTATCTATCTAGCGATAGCATCAGATCCCACAGGTTGAGGGCTCCGTCCCACAGGACCGCTCCCACCTCACTGCAGATGCCAATTGGAAATCTATGTTGTCACCTGTGCTTCTGACCAATAAACCTGCGGCTCTCACTACCCCTCTCCTTGGAGTTGATTAATTTGCTAAGTGGCTCACAGAACTCAGGCAAACACTTACATTTACCAGCTTATTAAAGGATATGTTAAAGGACAGAGAAGAACAATCAGATGAAGAGATACATAGGGCAAAAGCTGGGAGGGCCCCTGGTGCCAGAGTTGGGGTGCATCACTCTGCTACAAGTGGATGTGTTCATCCACTTGGAAGATCCATGAACCCTATACCAAGCACTGCCCCTAAGTCATTGCTTTAGAACAATTATGACATCTATCCATTGTGTGGATTTATCAGTTGCATTCTAAATGACCTTGTAAAAATAATCTCTTGGCAAATCTCCAAATTGCTGTGTCACATTGTTTTTAAATCAACCTTTGCAAAGGCAGATACTTAGAGAATTACAAATGTTTCTCTGCCTTTAGATCACAGAATATTAATTCACAATTTATAATTAACTAGAGGCCCAGTGCACAAAATTCATGCATGGGTAGGGTCAGGGCCTTCCTTAATTCTGCGCTGCCCACTGGTGGTCAGTGCATGTCATAGTGAGTGATCAAACTCCCAATTGGCCAAACTCCTGAGGGGACACTTTGCATATTAGGCTTTTATATATTTATATATTTATATATTTATATATTTATATAGATGAACTAGTAGCACAGTGCACAAAAATTTGTGCACTCGAGGGTGAGGGTGAGGGGTGGGGCCAGACCCCTCAGCCCGATCTGCACCCTCTGTCATGTTCCGGGACCCTGGCCACTCCTGGCCTAGGCACAGGCCTACAGGCTTGGGGCGGCCTGGCTCCCGAGGCCCCATTTTATCAAGAGAACAAAGTTGGCGTTAGTTATAGCCCTCACCGAACCCAGTACACTGCATCTGTGCATACAACTGCCTCGTTCAGTGCCTGCTTCGCCCCACTGAATTACTAACATCTTGAGGACATAGCTCTGTCTTTCCTGCTTCACCTTCAGTGCCTGGCCTGGTGCCAGGGACCTGAGAGGGTTTGCTGAGTGAGTGAATAATGAGTGAGTGAATGAGTGAATGAATGAGCGAGTAAGTGAATGAGCAAGCAGCTACAGGGCGGGAACTTCTGCCCCATTGCCATGGCAACATGGCAGAAGTTCTGGCCCCACTCCCAGCTGTGTCTAACTTGGATCATGCATACTTCCCTCACATGCGTTTCAAATAAATCAGTAGTTCTTCCTTCTCCGTCAGAGAAGGAAGAACTACTGATTTATTTGAAGTAGTTCTTCCTTCTCTGACGGAGAAGGAAGGGGATTGTGGCAGAGTGACTACTCCTCCTCCTTCCCCTCCTCCCACCCCAATTATTCCTAAGAGAATGAGGAGGCAGTAGTTATAAGCACAGGTTCTGAGGTCAAAATGTCTGGGCTTAAGTGTTTTATTTTCTTCATAAAACTTTCAACTGTTGGAAACTTATGTCATTTACCTATTTTCATATTTTCTGTCTCCCACTATAAAGTCAGCTCCAGGAGGGCCGAAATCTTATCTGCCTTGTTCCCTGCTGTATCCCCAGCATCTGGTAGAGTGTCTGCTCCATAGTAAGGTCTACTAAAACCTTTGTGAAATGAATGAATGAATACACAAAGGAATTTAAATATCAGCACCACCACCTCTAAGTCTTGTGACCTAAAGCAAATTACTCACTCTCTCTAGGCCTTAGGTTCTCCCACCTTTATATAGTTGTGGCTTGAATGAAATAACACACGTAAAATGTTGGCACAGTGTCTAATATGTATAAGAACTAAGAAAAGTCAGCTATTTTGCCAAGAGAAATTTTTAAAATGCTGATAGGATTTCCCCCATGGTATTCCCTTTTGCCTCTTGACTGCTTTGTGAGGAGCTAGATCTTAAAAGGCACCATTGTCTCAAGAGGCAGGAAACAAAGGACTGAGGAGTAGATAACTACTTTTTTGGTTTCAAAAGTCACTCATAAGTTTGATCATAAATTTTAGAGAGTAAGAACAAAGCTTTTCCCTTTCTCCTACTACTCTGCTAGCTAAATAAACATCTCTGGAAAGGCACCTGAAAGAAAATCCAAAGGAAACTTGGATTGTGGAAACCCAGAGCCAAAGGCACCTGGATCTGCTTCCTTTTCCAGGTAGATAAGCCTGGGACATTTCCCAAGCCCAGAGTGAAGTGGAGGCACCAGAAAGGATGGGCTGCCCTAGACTAGATCCCCTTCCTCGATGCCTTGCACAACATCAGCAGCCAGACTAGGATCTGAAGGACCTCAAATTCATAGGGATAACTGTTTGATTTATACCAGGTACTTCACAATGCACACTTCCAAGGGAGGCAGAATTTGGAACCAAAATAATAATTACGTGTAGCTATAAAATAAAGTGAAGCTTCTTGCTTAGTTGAGCTTAATGCAATAGGATGAGGCTAAGGAGATGATGAGGAGGGAGATCTTACAACAGGCATGTGCTATGGATGGGAATACGCAGCTGAGGGAAAAAGGAGATGAGGCAATCACAAAAAAATCACAGTAGCAGCTTTGCTCACCTTAGAATCCTCCTCCTCACTCCTATGGCCCTTCTGACTGAGAACAAATGCCAATTCCATTTCCAATTCTAATTCTCTCACTTGCTAGCTGAGCAGCCCTAGTATCTTTTCATTTCAATTTCCTCATCTGTAAATTGGGTATTATAATAGTTCCTAGTCAATTTGTTTTACGCCACAGTGAAGTGATATATAAAAGTTATTTGTAAAATGTATGAAGATGCTAGGAGTATTTGCTGTTCTTACATAAAATAAAGACTTCTACATATGTAAAGGTCTATTTTGAAAATGGGGGAAACTACCTGAGCCACATTTGTGGACCAATGTTCTAGGAATACATTTTCACTTTCAGGAAGTTAACCCTAATCTGTTTGTTCAATCAGCATCCTTCCCACAAATATGTACATGAGCGGAAAGATCTATGTAGGCTGTGTGATCAAGTATTTAGAGCATGGTGGTACTTGCTCTTTTTGAAGCAATGAATGAGAAAGCTATATTTCTGTTTTATGTGTCTGTCTCTGAAATTTACTTGTATCAGTATTTAAGTTATATAGATATTAATGCTGGTGACTTTATTTTTTTAGAAACAGACCCTAGGAAAAGTCACTTACTATTTAAGGTGACTTTAGGTCAATTTTGCACATTTATTGAAGGAGAGTTTTGTTTACCATTTCTACTTCTCTGGAACTCTCTGAGTTTTCCTCAGAATCCAGGCGAGAACTCCACACTGAGTCAGACTCAGGCGAGTAAATACTGCTTTCCTCCCTACCTTGTTTTTCCACAACCAGGCTCTTCGTCACCAATGAGGGAAGCCATTCCTCATGGGCAGGCTGCTGGGAAATGTGACAGTCACTGCCTTTGAGTGAGGAGGACAGTTCTTGGGCTTAAGGTTTGCACAGTGGGTACTATGGCAACATCCCGGATGAAGGATTTGATTAACATGCAAACCTCATCACTGTCATTATAAGAAAGTTAGATTTCAGCACATTAAAGGGTTATTTTGCAATTACATTGAATATATTTGTGTTTACCACATTTTCTTCTCTCAATTTTAAATTAAGCAGACTCATTTTTAATTTGAAACCAGCTTGTGTTAAACAATTTAGGAATAGATAATGACTCCCTTTACATTTAGGTGATGTTAAAAAGTGTGTGTGCACGTGTGCGTGTGTGTGTGTGTGTGTGTGTGTGTGTGTTTTCATGTCTTTAGCAATTTGGAAACAGAAAAATGCAACAATTTGTAAGCACAAAAGACAAATAGTTTCTATTTCTGTGCTGCTGTAGAATCTCTTCTTCTCTCATTAGGACTCTCTCTCTTCCAAAGGTACAACTCAGTCTCCTTCCCAGTGACAACTGGGATTCAGATTTCCATCTACAGAGAGCAGGGCTGGATAAAAATCTTTGCGCCCTGCCAGTTGTGAGATTTGGTAGTTTTGGGTTGTGTTTTGTTTGGATAAAAATAAAAACCATTCTCATATTTATGAAGAGATTGTCCATCAAACAGTGTAGTGACCCCACCCTCCTCAGAACCCAACTCATCCTATTCACGTCACCCATCAGGCAATTAATTAATCACATGTCGTATTAGGTTGTGTTTTTTTTTCTAGTTTTGTATTTCTCATGGCTTGATTCTTTTATTGTTAAATGTTTACTATTTGCATATACTGTGTCTCCCTCACCCCTCCATCACTGCTTAGCATGGGCCTGGTATAAGGCAGTGTGTATACACTGGTCTGCTTTGCTAACACTTGGCCTAGTTGTTGGACAGGAAAAAGAAGCTCCATGATAGCTGCCTACCTGTGAGCATGCTTTCGTTCACCACACAGCTCCCGTCAATCAGAAGAGCATCACATGGCAATGAGCATTTTCCTGGTAGAATGAGGGCATCTCCAGGAACCAAGAGGCAGGATTCCAGCTCCTGCTCACCTATACAACAGCAGAGTTTCCATGACTAGCTGACCTTCTCCTGTTTTTACTTAAAAATGAAAGGGACTGCAAACTCATGTCAGCCTGTTGGCAAGAACTATCCAGGGTGCACACCTGCCCCAGCCCCTTTCCACTCAATCACAAATTCCCAGGAACCGGGACAAGGGAATTGATTCCTGGGCCATAGCAAAGGACCAGCTCAGCAACAAGACCTCAGCTTGATCCTAGTACCTGGGACAGTGCTCTTCCCAGAGAAGTCATTCAAGGACATTGGTCAACAGAAAAGACTGCCTCTTTGTTGCTGCTTACCCTCCTTGGCTGAGTTCCTGACCCCCTGCAGCACACTCCTTCCTTTGAATGAGAATGAGTGTAAACCTTCAGACAGCTTCTGCTGCCCCAGACACAGCTCCTCATTCCTCACAGAGAGCCACGGCCACCTCCCACTCCCCAGGCTAAGTCCAGAGCCAATGCCAGTGTCCAGCCAGCCATCTACAAGCTTCATTCAGGCTTGTGTTCTGGATAACAGATCAAAATATCTGATGCAGGGTCTATATGGAATAGTTAGGAAAATTAAAAAGCCATAGGAAGGCTTATCCAGTAATATTTAAATAACTGAGATATGGAGGGTAGAGGAAATCTGAAGCAGCCCATACATGGGGTAAGAATGGTTTAATCTGGGCTGGGATGAGGATGAGCCATGCAAGGGTATAAAATTCAACAAGGTTCTCACTCTCAGAGTTCCTGCAGGTACAGGTCAGCATTTGTGTGATCTTGTCTTCTTAAATTTTCCATCTCAGATGCCTTGTTTGCCTCACTTTAGCCCCAGTCCTGGGTTCAGTCAGAAAAGCCTTTTTCTCATGGACTAATAATAATAAATGAGACCGATTCCACCCTGAAATATTATCATGCTAACAATAGCAGAAGACATTTCACTCACCTTTGCCTTTTACGGTGATTGTAACCTGGACTTTGTTGTGATCCTCCACAAGGTTGTGCAGCTTAACTGATTGCTACCAATTGAGAGTCAATGTTTTAATATTAGTCCACAAGGAAAACATATAAGGAAACCAACATCTCAATACAGTAAATGCCGAGGCTGCTGTCATAGCCAAACTAATTCTGAGCAAAGACTCGAGTTCAACTTTTGATGCTCCTGCTTCCCTCTCTCAACGCCTACTCTACCCAACCCCCTATCTACAGAAGTAGATATGCTCATTGGTTTTATGCTATTTCAATCCCAGGAAAAATAATGCACAGCCACTGCCCTCACAGACCTAAAGCAAAGCACAAAGGCTTCACTTCTGGAGGATGTAAGATTAGATTGGGCAAGAATGAGATCACAAACGGGTCACTCCCCCCTCTGTGCCTCTGTTTCCCTGTCTGCAAAACAACAACACTGAAGGCGACTTGTAAGTGGCTTTCCTTTGGAAGAGTCTGTGAATGCCTGGGTTGTGTTTTGATTGACCATGGAACGGTCATCCTCTCCTTTATGATGAGTGGGTTTTCACATTGGGGAAATCTGCAGAGTGGAGTCACACTGCTCTGTTGGAATCCCGATGCTGCCACTTATACGTTATTTAGCTTATTTAACTTTATTTTCTTCATCTGAAAGTGGAGATGATTATACTGGGTATCTATTCTATACGGTTGTTTTAGTTCATTGTTACCTTAATTATTCCTTTGGATAGTATTGGCTAGTGTGGCAAGAGCTCAAAGAGCGTTAATGATTAATAAGAAGTTGTTTGCCTGAGTACATCAGGTGGAAGAATTTGCTTGAGGTGGAATAACTGAGATATGACCCTGTGCAAAGCAGTCCAGAGAAGTGGAGGCAGTATCTCTTAGGATAACTCAGGAGACAGGGAGGCAGAGGTGAGACTGCTATGCTGTCCACACAGTTTACCACACCCACCGTAGGGGGCGCTGTCAGCTGGAGGGAGTGGGATGCTGCCCCAGCTGGGGCATCCCTGGAAGGCACTGCCCATCTTTGTATAGGTGTCAGTTACTTAGATACCAATGAGTAGAAGAGGTCTGAGTACTGTGTGAACAGTACTTACACACAGCTTAAGCTAACTGAATTACAAACCCTTTCCTTTTAGATGTTAGAGTATATTATTTTTATCTGTTCTGTGGATGATTTTTGACATTACAAGTGTCACCAAGCTAAGACAAGCATTGCACACAATTATGCAACTTTCCTCTTGAGAAAACATAATGAATTCTGTGTTAATATTTATATAGAACAATTTATTATTTACTTCAGCTTTGCGTGAAAAGCTAAACTTCAATCATTTGGACCAATTGAGTGGAAGAAATTATATTACTGTCAGGCACATATTCATTTCCCTAACTTGACTTCCTGAGGCTTGCCTGTTGGGACATCCGCTTTAATGATGGATAACGGTGAGAAAGTCAGCAGCGGTTCTGTGGCAAGAACACTGGATTCCATCTGGAATCCCCATTTGTGGATCAGGCTTCCCCACTACCAGCTATGTACCCGTATATCAGAAATGTCATCTTTTAAGTTATTTGTCTCCTCTGTAAACAAATGACATTGAATTGGACCACTTTCAAGCTCTAAAATGGCATTATACTGATTAATTTTATATACCAGAGATTTATTCAAAACCTACAAGGCTTCATAAAAGGAATATCCAAAGTATCTAAATGACTGAAATTATTATTATTTTTTAAACAGTTTAAAATATTATGCTACTGCTTTGTGACTAACAATGTTCTAAGCACTTAGAATATAGTACTTGATTTAAAAAAATCACAAGATGGTGGCAGCCACAGAGCTGGAGCAAGCAGGAGGCTTGGTTGCCCCCGGCAATGGAGGAAGCCAAGCTTCCCGCCTGCCCTGCCGGCCCTCAGCTCCACTCAAGGCTACAAAGTTTCAATTATCGAAGATAAATAAACCCAAGATACCTGCTTCCAGCCTGCGGGCATGGCCAGCCTGAAAACGGCCCTCAGCCCCTCACCCAGGCTGGCCAGGCACCCCAGTGGGGACCCCCATCCTGAAGGGGGTGTGACCAGCCTGCAAACAGCCATCAGCCCCTCACCCAGGCTGGCCAGGCACCCCAGTAGGGCCCCTCACCCTGAAGAGGCTGTGGCCAGCCTGAAAACAGCCCTCAGCCCCTCACCCAGGTTGGCCAGGCACATCAGCGGGACCCCCGCACCCTGAAGGGGCTATGGCCGGCCTGAAAACAGCCATCAGCCCCTCACCCATGGGGTGAGGGTCCCCACTGGGGGGCTTGACCAGCCTGAAAACAGCCATCAGCCCCTCACCCAGGCTGGCCAGGCATCCCAGTGGGACCCCCACCCTGATCCGGGACACCCTTCAGGGCAAACCAGCTGGCCCCCACCCATGCACCAGGCCTCTATCCTATATAATAAAAGGGTAATATGCAAATTGACCCTAACAGCAGAACAATTGGGAATGACTGGTCACTATGACACACACTGACCACCAGGGGGCAGATGATCAATGCAGAAGATGCCCCCTGGTGGTCAGTGCGCTCCCACAGGGGGAAGCTCTGCTCAGCCATAAGCCAGGCTGACGGCTGCCAGCACAGCGGTGGTGGGGGGAGCCTCTCCCGCCTCCTCAGCAGCACTAAGGATGTCCGACTGCAGCTTAGGCCTGCTCCCCACTGGCAAGTGGACATCCCCTGAGGGCTGCTGGGCTGCCAGAGGGATGTCTGACTGCCAGCTTAGGCCTGATCCCCTGGGGAGTGGGCCTAAACCAGCAGGTGAACATCCCCCGAGGGGACCCAGACGGCGAGAGGGCACAGGCCGAGCTGAGGGATTCCCCCCTCCCCCGCCATCAAGTGCACAAATTTTTGTGCACCAGGCCTCTAGTGTACATATAACAAAACAAAAACAACAAAAAAAGGAGGATTTGAAAATGTTCAAGTAACTTGTCCACAATCATTTACTTACTAAGTATTAAGATTGACAATCTAACCCAGGTTTATCTAACTCAAAAGCCTTTTATGTTGATGGATATGTTTTCCTAAAGTGCTTTAAAATAGCTCTTTTTCTTTAAGAAGATAAATATCTTTCATGATAAACTTTGTTAAGTTATTTTCTTGCTTAGCAAACCCTTTTAGTCAATGCCATGATAACTTCAACCTAGCTTAAGAGGATGCTAATCAACACATTTGGAAGTGGTGAAGAATGCATTAAGAATTCTTGACTGTAATTCTCAAAACTCATTATGGCATAAAGTTGGATTTGTATATGAGACTTAGCATTCTTTGTAACCTGCCATGCTTCCATTGCTTTGCTCAAGCTATTCCCTAGAATGTTCATCACAGTTTTCTACTAGCAAACTCTTTCTAATTCTTCACATAAATCCCTGCTCAAATGTCACCTCCACGCCATAAGTCCCTAACATCCCCAAGAAGAATTAATTGTTCTTCTCTCTGTGTTCCCACCTGTGTTAGTGTGCTAATCACATTCCATTATAGCCATCTGTCTTCTTGTCAGGCCTCCCCTGCGAGTCAGGCAGTTCAAAGAGGGGACCACACATTCACCTATGTATCCCCTGAAGTCTCTCACATAGTAGGCCCTCAGCAAATATTTATTTAATAGAACTGAATTATTCTACTTCCCAGCAACCCTGGGATAGGATAATGTAAGCATCCTCTTTGAGCTAATGTGCTCAGAAACTCTACAAACACAGGTTTCTATGACAACCAACCAGCTAGGAGAAAGCAAGTGCTGTGATGCTTGCCATGATTTTGAAGCTCGCTGCCTGATTTTCATTAGGCCCCCTCTGGCTCTCTAGTCCCTGTTCAGTGGGACCAGAATCCATTTCCAAGACTATTTGCATACTGTTATTATTCGGCATCTGTTGCTATGCATCGTCCTTGTGTTTGCTGTGGCTGGATTTCCTCCAGAGATAAGTAATGAGGGCATTAAATCAGGTATCTCTTAAGCCCAGCTCAGTCATGAATGAAGCAGTATGGGCCAGGCACTCTCAGCACTATTTCTAGCAGCCACCCATGGAGCCAGCAGTGGAGTATGCACTACAGTTCAATAGAAATACAGTTGAGTGCTGAGGTTTGCACTCAAACTTGCACCAAATATTAGAAAGGGACTGACAGTGTGTTTCTTGCTTTGACAAAGTATGCTTTCTCTGTGTGGCATGATTTAGGACGACAGTAGATGCAGGAAGACTCCTGTAAATACCCCCTCTTTCAACTTTTAAAGGCCTATATTTGTGCAGCATGATAGGGGATGGCAGTAGATGCACCTTCTTTCATTCCTACCAACATCCTTCCCCGAATCTGCTTTTTGTTAAAACATATATAAAATCAGTCATTTACTATCCCAGTGAAACTCATAGGTCTCTTTGAGATTTTGTCCAGTCAGTGGAATGACACCATTCTTAACTTGGAGTCTGGAAATCTGGACTAAGGTCTACGGCATGAGCAAATCAGTTCACCTCTCTGAATCCCCTGTCCCTCCTCTCAGGTGGTGGGAGGTATAACAATGCTATGTGTATCATTTTGTTTGCCGTGCTCCGCATAAGCACATTCATTATGGATGCAGGAGACCATTGCAAACTATAAAGTGCTAAACAGGTATTGACTATTAAGGATTTATGATTTAAGCTGCAAAGATACAGTCTCAGGAAACTGGCCCATTTTGTATAGTGTTACAAGATGCCTTACAGGTTGGGTCAGATAAGCTTCTAATAACAAATACCAACTGCTAATAGGATTAATGTCTTTTTAAAGAAATCTTGCATTACGGCCATCAAATCTGAAGTTCCCATATTAGTCACTGTTTTGAGTAAAAGCATTTAGGAATTCTGTTAAAATGTAGAACCTGAATGTTTAAATTCCCTTAAGGATTTTAAAATAAATATTTTAAAAATTGTAAATAGAAAAAAGAGAATACCTAATTTCAGAAGAGAACATATTTAGAAGCAGAACAGGAAAACCAGAAACCATAAAAAAAAGAAAAATATATTTCATTAGACACATTTTAAATAACCGACAAAAGT